CAGAAACAGAATAATCATTAAGAAAATCGAACTCGATAAAATACAGAGGGAATTACTCCCAAAAGCCATAGGTTTAAGCTGGGTGCAACAGTTCAAAATGGTTATTAAAATGCAATTAATAATATGAATACGATTTCGGTACAACACAAGGGAACATAAAGGAAATAATAATTTAAACGATAACGACATGAGACGTTAGACGGTATAAAGAATATTATCTATGTTTAATGTAATATCATATTCGACTTTGAAACGTAGCAAACGAAACTCAAAAAATATTATTAGTCTATTATTACTCTTGTTAGTTAATAACAACCAACAAATAACAATGCGATTACTGGTTACGCTAAATTCTTTCGTGCTTGGGCCGCAATGCTTCATTATTGCGGCCCGTGAGCTGTACACGTGACACACGAGCTTATAAAACACAATATTTTGAAATTTAAACGCCAGAATGAGCACCTGCCCGGAACTCGGCGTAATAAGGTCATTACGAGGAGTCGACTTCGAAACGGGCTGCGTGTTTCGCTCTACACCGGAAAAACAACGGAGGAAGAAACGAAAACGATTTTTGTGCACGGAACGTCCGCGTATATTGTAAAGCCTCGAAAAAACATTAATCATGTACAATTATTAATCAATTACAATACGATTTTTTATTAATTATTACATTATAATATTGAGTTTATAAATAAACTAATAGATGAAATTATTATAATAATAATTAATAAATTATTAATAATTATTATTATTAATATTGTCTTTGGCGCGACGAGTCGAATCCGTTTGGCGAGGAGCGTCGTGCCGGCGCGATGGTAATGAAGGTGCGGGCGGGTGGGAGAGGAGCGAGCGGCGCCCGTCCGCCCGTCTTCGCCGATGTCGCGTTTGGTTGTCGGGCGCTCCGACGGGCGGCGCCACATTACGGTCGACCGTCGGGCGGCGCGGTCATGACGTCACGAGAGCACACGGTAAAGCGCGCGCACACGCACGCACAAACTTACGAAGCGGCGGCGGCGGCGCGGCGGCCGACTCACATAACGGAGTTCCCCCCACCGACCGTACGGCGACGGATACAGCTGTGCGGCGGCCGGGGTGGCGGCGGGGGGAACGGAAAAAACGCACACGACGCGCGCACGGCGCGCCGCACATTCTCCAGTTCGCCTTCTGCCCGTCTGCCGGCCACAAGTGCCAGCTCTCGTTCCGCTCGCTCATCACACGGCTGCCGCCCGACGACGACGTCGCTCTGCTCGCTCGCTCCGTGACCACCGACGCCGCCGCCGCCCCGCCCCGCGCCCACTGTGAGAGCGCGCGCGTGTGTAATTGATTCCATAATCTGTCCCAGTCTAATTTCGCGCGCCCGTCTGTGTGCGTCGCCGTGTCCGTCCGTCTTGGTGTTTTGCGGTGCGTTGTTTTCGTGTCTCCGCGCGACCGACCGCCAAAAATCGCATACGACCATTTATTGATATTGTTAATTTTTTTTTTCTCGTTTACCGTGCGTTGGTTTATGTGCTGCGGTGTTTGAATAATTATTTTTTGCGAAAAATATTATTTTTTTCCGACTACTTGCGATTGTGCGTGATTTTTTTTTTCAATTATTCAATCAGTTATTGGTTATACCCGGTTCGTGCCGAGATCGTTGACGATATTAATGGTGCACATCTGTTCCGGACACATTTTCGGATTACCGTTCTTCCGCTCCGGATTCACCGGTAAGTCATCGGATTTGTATTAACAACACCCACACTCCCGACGATATCCATATCAACCAGTTCATCCCGCGTATAGGTCGTATAGGCCCGATGACGTGTTCTATGCCTCCGGCGCCGTCAAAGTTCGTCCGCACGTGGCGGTGCTAGGCCAGTAAATTTTTTTTTCGCACCTAGTCTCCTAGGAAATTTTTTTTTTCGTTATATCTCGAAAAGCGCAAATTGACGTTTCCGCGCGACCATGAATTTTTCGCAAATTATTTCCCGTCCGAAAAATGTCCGGACATGTCTTCCGTCGATGAATTGCGATTATGAATAATTTTGCTCATTTCGAATTAGGTCCGGGCGAGTACATACTAATATTATTTATTAATAATGCCTAGTACAATCGCTTTCCAAAAGATATCTATGTACGATTATTATTATTATGTTATTATAATGATACACCTGTGGGCGGCGGCGGCGGCGGCCTAATAAGCGGCCTTGCCTGCGGAGTACAGTGTCGTTGTCGTACCCGCCCCTGCCCCTGCCGAAGACTTGTAACCCGACAAAACCGGCAGCCCCTCCGCGCTCGCGGATATGACGCCGTCGTGTCACGACTTGCGGTCAGCCGCGTCTTCCGCGGTGAGGTGGCCTACATAATCGTCACCGATCCGCCGACACATCTCTCGTGGCCTAGCTTTTTCCCTAAACGTCGTATCATTTTTTTTCGGACCCGTTTTATTTTTTATTTTCGCGGCTGGAAAAAATTCGCGGATCTGTCGGCCGGCAAAAAAATTACATCTATGAATCGCGTTTTCCGTCTCGATCTCCTCTGTCCGAGATTACCCATTTGCCGTTCTTTTCGCGGCTTTTCCGTGTGTCGCGCGGAAATCCGTTCGAAGTTTTAATTTGATAATAATAACAACACACGGTGACGGCGTAGTCGCGGCACGCGCGAAGGTTGCGTGTGCGAGTGTGCGCGCGCCGTGTTGTGCTCCCACGAGAATAATACCTCCTCCTCCTTCTCCTCCGCGGCACGGGGGGATCGAAAAATAACAAATTTTATTATCTGGGTCAATGTCGCGGACGCCCGCCCGCCCCGGTGGCTGCCGTGGCCGTTTCATCGGCGAGTGTCGTATAAACGTTTATCGTTATTATTGTCGTGTTAGGTGTGTAGTCGTAATATTTCCAGTAGGATCGCTTTTTAATCACACCGAATTTCGCGAGAACGATGCACAAACTCGCGTGTGTGATCCGTTCAAAACGTCAGTCGGACGGTCGTTTACCCGTTTACTCGATTTTTCACTATCGTTGCCACCGCCACCGGTTAGTCGCCGCCGTACTTGCGGTTTTGCGTTTTGTTCGGATCATTCGTCACGCACCGGAATGGCAACTGCGCAGCGCCGCGCCGCTTGGACGGACTAGAGAAAGTGTTGTCGACTTGCAGCGATCGTAGCGTTGTTGTTTTTTTTCCCCACATAGGTTACTTATTTAGATCTCGTCAAAAAATTGCGTCTCGGAACGATTTCCGATCGAACGGCAGTGTAGTATCGAGTTGCGGTAGGTTTATCACCCACTCCGGTAGTTGAAAATATAATTATATATTGGTCGGGTATAAGTGTGTAACAATAATAATATAATATAATATGTCCATCATCAGTAGTTCGTTTAGCCCTAATTGGTTCGTTTGTAAAAACTAATAAGTAATAACAATTCGTGTACTTGCACAACACGACGTTTTGTCGTCGGTATACCAATTACCAATATAGTTTTTGCCGTAACGTTTGCGAACAGTATTACGTTACAACCTTGCGGTCTTGTCCTTTTATATAGTTTACCTTGAAGCCGAGATATATCGTAACGTCGATGAAAAGCTTTTCCGGTAAATTCGTATAGTATTTACGTTTGTAACTAAAAATAATAATACTCCTTATTAGTGTAGGTATTACGTTTATTTTTTTCTACACGTAATTAATGTGTCGACAGCAGACCACTTTCTTTGACATTGGGATTCGTTCACGATCCGAGAATAATATAATATAATATTATATTATATCGAACGTCGCCTCCGGCGGCAACTAAATAGGTACCACCCGAACGGGGAGTAATTCGACGAAATACCTGCAGATATCGGTAGTCTTTGAATCCTATGTATTTGGAAATCCGTGCACTAACGGTTTTTAAAATACAATCGCTTACTCGGTAATTGCCAAGGTCGATTTGGTGCACAAGTCTTAGGCGTTTACTGATTTTTGCAATGACGTTGTGTTTCGCGGAGTCGATGATTTTTGCCGCACGCGTATATGTTTGTGTATATTATGCTGTGTTATGATGATGTGCAAGTCGTGTACATCGTCTCGGCCTTGCTTTGGCAACCTCCAAGCGGCGGCGATGACGACACGCGATGACCTCCCGACTAATATTTACGCGTTAAATTTTCTCTCTCGATTACTACTACTGTCACGACGCCGCGATTTTTGTGAAATTATCGCAGGTAATATAAATAAAAAAATTTCTGAAAACGTCGTTGCTCCGCATAGGTAGGTAGGACCACCACGGTATTACACAATCTCATTTTAGTATCTTTTCGCAGCATAGTAATATTATGTCGACGGCATATTTCAGACGGTCGTCTTCGGATGACGTAGGTATTATGCGCCACAAGTACCTATATATAATATAATAACCTATTCATCATACCTATTATTGTTGTATAATATTTACACGCAGCGCTCGCATTAGAGTCTCGTGTTTATTTGACACGGCGCAGCGGCAGTCTCTCTCTATTTTTTATGTATTCGTATTACGGACGTCCGATTTCGGTTTGTTTCCCACACACCCTCCTCGAAGGGTGCTAACCACCGCCGTCGTCGTCTCCCGCACATAGGGGTGCGGCATGCATGGGTACACAACAATGTGACGCCGAGGGGCTCTTTATATTAAAAATACCTGACCCGTTGGCAAAAATGAATAATATTACGTACCTACCTACCATCCGTCCGTCGGCGAACCCTTTCCGAGATGTAAAAATTGATTATTGCCGATCGTCGTTTTGTATGAAAATCGTTTCACCCCACCTTATCTGCCTCCCCACCAACCACAGACCCTGATCGAATGTTTATGTCTAGTCTCTTGGACGAATCTGTTATAACAAACACGACATATACCCAATTATTGTAACGATATACAATGCGCGCGTATTACCTACCTACCTATAATACTTATTGTATGATATTATTTTAAACCGATTTTTAACAGTCTTTTTCCCCGTTTCGTTTTGCAGAATGATATGCTATTGGTGAATCACGTCAAATGCTCGTGGAAATGAGACCCGTTGAGTCCAGCGAGAACATAACGATCATGGACGAGATCGACGAGCTGTTAGGCACCCGGAGGAGTTACGGCTGGAACTCGGGTTCGCGGCCATCGATGATCAGTGCCAAGTACCGGCTGAAGGAAGAGCGGCGCAAGGTGCTCAAGATATCCGTGAATAAGATGAAGAAGATCGACGACGCCGAGAGTTCGTTGTGCCGGTCCGTGTTGATCAACAACACGGTGAAGAGGCTGCAGGCCGAGACCAGGGACGACCGGACCACGGGACGGACGTCGCCCGCCTCGCCGCCCTCGCCGACGTCCGCAGGTTACGGTTACCACAGTCCTCAGCAGTCGCAACCCTGCGGCGGCCAGGGCGGTAACCCGCAGCTCGTGGACATCACCAACCTCAGGGAATCGTCCTGCACCAACGGCACCGGCGGCGTTGGAGTTGGCGGTAACGCGGTCACGGTCGGCAAGACCCTGGCCAACAACAACAACAACAATATAAGCAGCAACAACAACAATAAACCGCTGACGGAAGCTCAGTCGTTAATGTTGGCGGCCGACCACCACCACCACCATCACCACCTACTACACCACCACCACTTACAACACCACCACCACAACAACAACCACCATCACCACCACCACCATCAACAACTACAACAGCAACAACACCACCATCACCTACACCACCACCACCACCAGCAGCAGCAGCAGCAGTCGTCGTCTGCGACCGCGCCCTGTGGACCGTTACCGTACGGGTACGATGACGAAGTGGACGACGAAGATGTTGACGACGAAGAAGTGGACGACGACGACGTGGATGACGACACGATCGCATCCATAATGATGCATCTGCCGTCGTCATCACCCCGTGGCAAGCGGAAGCGGTGCGTGGACGAACCACTCGACGATCTGCTTTCGCAGTTCATCAACAACAACCAGCGCGAGGACGAGGATGTAAACGTGGTCGACCTGGACCTGCACGAGTATCCGGCAGCCAAAAGACTGAGAACGGACGAGGCAGCCGCCGCAGCGGCCGCAGCAGCGGTGGCCGCCGTCGTGGCGGGCACCACCCCGTCAGCAGCAGACGCCGCGCCGTTGGCCACCGACCTGTGTTCGCCCGACTGTTGGTCGCTGATGGACGCGTGTTGCGACGACTCTCTCGACCTGTACGGCGGCCAGGTGCCGGCGGCGGTCGAACACCAGGACGTGCTGCTGCAGCCCACCTCCGTCACCGCCACGTCGGTGGACTGCTGTTCGTCGCTGTCGCTGCCTCCGCCGCCCCCGTCACTCGACGAACAGCATCAGCATTACGGCGTGGGCGCGTCGTCGTCGTCGGCCACCGGGTCCACGTCGCCGACGAACCTGTCCTGCGGACAGGCGTCCATGTTCAGCGAGATGCAGTCGGCAATGTTCCGCAACCTGATCGCCTCGCTCGAGTCTTAACCGCCATCGCTGTCGTCACCCGACGACCGGAAAGGTGGTCGACCAACCTAAACAAAAACGTATATTTTTGTTTTCACTTATACGACTGTCTCCTAAAGTATATATATATTTTATTTCGTTTAATTGAGTGCACACCCGTCTTTACGACACGTGTGTGTGCGCGTGTGTATGTGTGTGGTGTACGTCTTATCCTTTTACTACGTTTTTATGCACACGATCACGTGCGATATGTGTTATTATTTTATATGCAGTCCGGGAGACTTATTACAAAAAAAAAAAATGACCATTTTATTTTATTTTAATATTTTTTATGTGCAATAAACGACCAATTCGCGCAAATGTTTTTTTCGTTTTTCTCTCTGTACCTATCTATTATTTTTTTTCGTCATTATTATTATTATTTTTATTATTATTACTTTATATTACTATTATAAAATATATATATGAAATGTATCTTTTTTTTTTGTTTTTAAAACGTTTTTCATTGTTCGTACGAATAAGTATGCATTTGATTATGTTCTTCATTTTACGCATAATCATATGTATCGTGAACGACGTGTACATAGATAATCATGATAACATAATTATGAATATTGTATTTTTTGTTTTTTCGTAACTGTAGATAATCAAACAAGGGCTGTGTTAAATTCATCCAATCGGTCTCTTTTTTTTTTTAATCGAACGAAAAGAGTATAAAATAAAATTATATAATATTATATTATAATATATGTATGTATAAAATTAAAATATAATATTATGAGAATGTATAACTATATTATATGATATTAAACAACATAGACAATATATTATTATATTAAAGTAGACAATTTTATAGAAAACCGATTGGGGTATAGGCTAATCGGTAGTGATAGTACAAAAAAAAAATAAGAAAAAAAAAATGATTAAATTCTAACAGTTTGTTTTTATTTTGTGTTTTCGTTTTTTTTTTTCGAGTAGAATCAGGAGCACAAGGGAGGGGGAATACTTTACGCGAGTTCTCATATTCGGCAGCCGTTTTCCTATTAAATACGTATATACAAATATTATTATATGATTAAATAATTATAATAATATTGTATATATATATATTATATCGATATAAATATATAATATATGATAAAAGAGAGTTGTTTAACAATTTTTTTTTCATAGTGTTTTTCGCTGCTACTAGACAAAACTTTTTTATTAGTGCGATTATAACGTTTAAGCTACGTAGGAACAGTCTTCCTGACTTTTTCCAAACTTAATTTTTTTTAAACTGTGTGATAATAATATATAATATTTACTATAGCGAGTCTAGCATAAAATTTTGTATAAAACGAGACGTATAGGTATACGCGTGTAGACGATAATAAACAAACAAACAAAATAATATATGAACACTGTCCGGGCGGCTAATATTTATATATCGTATTACGACATTACTTCAGTAAAAATTGTTTTGTTTCTTTAAAAAAAAGAAAATAATAAAGAACCGCCATCATAACCTAACCCTTTAATTCACACTACGCGTGCAGGAGAAAGTGCAGCGGTCTTTCGCTCATTTTGTTTTATTCGTTTGATTATGTGTTGTTAATAATAAATTGTTCGTTCAGTTCGCGAAAACGAAACAGGCCCCCCCTCCCCCCTTCAATAAATGAATAAAAATACTCGTCTGGGCTCCGTTACTTAAGTCTTCCTTTATTTATTATTATTATTTTTATTAATTATTATGTATTTTTTTTTTTTTTTTTTTTTAAAAACGTGAGATTATCAACAATATTTAATTGATGAGTATAAAATATGTTACCCGGGTGATAAGAAATAATAATTAATTGATACAATTTTTTAAACAAAACAAAAAAATTGATAAAACCGTAGATACGTTTATATAATAATGAAATTATATGAATATATTTTATTAATATTATTACGATACGAATAAAAAAATATTATATTGTATTTTTTTTAGAGCTTTATTATACTGATTATGTATGAAAAAAAAACCATATGTATTCGCTAATAGAAGTTGTTTTTTTTTCGATTGAACATTACTTTTTTTTTGTGTAAAATATTGCGAATAATATAATACATTTTGTTATTCCTTAAAGACGTTGCGTTTTGTTCATTTATTTACACCTTTCCGCGGCGGCGGCGAAGACAGCCGTCGATTTCCTCTCCTCTAAAATGACATACATAGTAATAGTCTATATATTATTATCTATCGATTTATATTTACTGCAAGTACCCATTAAAAGGGTCTGAAACGAAATCGCAATGCAGAGATCTGTGATTGCGTGTTTTATTATTTGGGTATGGCGAAAAAAAAAATTTACTCAATGACATGATTATAGATATCACGAAAATAATAATATACTCATCAGGCGTGTGCGTTGGACCACAACCTGCCGAGTGCGAAAGTTGTATGTGTGTGCATAATATTATTTGCTCCATGGAGGACGACTTTTTTTATTCAATTTAAAAATAGCACACGGTGGTTCATAATAATAATATTAATATCGACTATTGAATTTATCGAATATAATATATATACCATTGAGCACAATGTAGGGTATAATATTGTATCGGATATTATTTTTTTTTCGATCCGGGAGAAGATATCTATATACTTTATATTGAATGTAAGCGAATGAAGCTGCCGTATATAGGATCTACTGAACTGTTTTACTGATAGGTACTTACCTATATAATATATATACATATAATATGTACCTACGCTCGACCAATAAAGTAAATCTTTCGACCAAAGTTCATTCGGGGCGGCTATAATGCCCACCACCGTCCAGTCCATCCACCCTAACTCCTCGCACGATCATCCGTCCAGCTATATAATATATAATAAATTATATACCGTCGAGACGATTGGTTTCGATCAATTGCGAGACAATATAATATTATGTACCCAGCAGGGACTGTAACCGGACCGAAAATAACCGGTTATAGAACCGGGAACCTTGTGTTAATTATTAACCGTAACTTAACCGAAACCATTATTTTCAAACGTTTAAAAAACCTAACCAAAACCCTAACCCTAATTTTTAAAGTTCAATTTTTTCGGTTTTTAAAGGTTTTTTTCGGTTAGGTCACTATGAGTCAAGGGGAAGGAAGTCATACTGAAACATCTGGAACTACTAACCCATCTTCAAAACGCAAAAAAAAAATAGTATGGTTACATTATAATAATATGTATTTTATGAATATAAAATTATTATTATATTGTAAAAATATAAAATCTTGTAAAAGAAAGCTTATAAAATATGTATTATATTTTATTAATTTTTAAGTCTCAACCTAAATCATAATAGACTCTTAGGCCTCGGCACTGTTATTTGAGAATTATAATACTAATAAGTATTAATATTAAACCAAAATGAGTGCTACGCCTACCTTCCAATTTAGAATCTTTACCCTCAACAATCAACATCAATCATCTGAAAGTTTTTGTATTGAGTTGTGGTGATATTTTAATCGTCTCTGTCATCAATAGTCAACACATTAATGAAGTTTACAACAATAATTGTTAATTAAGTAAAAATGTAAATACTAAAGCATAAGTTTGTTAGTTGTAATTTTAAGTTGGAATATATGTTATCATACGGTTTTTGATTGTTAAAAGAGCTGTCTATCCCTAGACTTGGTTGAAAACTACCAGGTTTATCTGTAGGTACCTATACATATTTTTTGGTTGTATTAGTACGGTTCTATAATCGCTTAAAATTTTAAAATATTTTTTTTTTTTGTAACAGGTTAAAACCGGTATAAACCACAACCGTAACCGCAACCTCCATTTCATATTTTTGAAATTTATAATTAAAACCGAAACCTTAAAAATATTTTTTTGAAAAACCGAAACGAAACCGAAACCGAAAAAACCATAAAGGTTACAATCCCTGGTACCCAGAGCTTACTTTAAAGATTTTACAGAAGTATACTCTTGACTTTGATTTGGCGCACACTCGCACAAATACGGACCACCGACAAACAATTGCACCACCCTCCGTTTTTTCAGGCCTATATAGGCAGGGTACATACTTCCAAAAACTTTAAGGCTTTTGAAACAAGTCCTGCAACATAATATACCTATCGGTATATCGTGAAACACACTCGTGACGCAGTGGCGCCGAAGTATTTAAAATATACTATGACGTCGTACATCAAGGGTATCCCTCTATCACCCCTCCTAATTTGATAAAAGAATTGGATGCAATCAAAGCACCTATGCGTATTATAATGCTGCAATAATATAATTTTACTTTTTAACGTAAACTGTTTATCCACATCAGTGGGGTCCCCTGCAGTTGGTACCTTACGGCGGGCTCTCCATCTAAAAAATCTACTAAGGCATATTATTATGCCATATGGTTAAATTTACTAGGTGATCGGCAGCACTGGCGTGAAGTATACATTTTTCAGGTCCCAAAACATCCAAATTTGTATCTCGCGTATTCATTATATAAATTATATCATATCATTATATAAATTTATAAACGTTCCATCCAAGACATAAAACTTAATATTGAAATATTAAAATGGCGTGCGGAAAATTGAAATGGGTATTAGAAAATATACAACAAATGTACAGTTTTAAAATACCTACCTACTCATAACTTGGTTTGAAATGATAATATCAACTTATGCCAGACCCTAGATAATATTCTTTCTTTTATAATAATGTTCTTCTATATTAAAAATAACAAACGGACAATTTTTAAGGAGTTCGATATAGGCAATTTTATATAATTGCTTGCATGCTTGTCTTGAAAATGTATGCATAGCAGGGGTTCATTATAGTGCGTGTGACAGTAGTATAAAATAAATAGTTCCCACAAAGGTAGAAGTCACCACCGGGGTGTCGGGGGCGTGAATGGTAATAAGAATGTTTGTTTAATGCTCATTATTTATATTATGTATTTTTTGTAAATCCTATCAATGGACCTGATAAAGTGATGAGACTACAGAAAACTGATTTAAATTCGTTAAAACGCCTCCGCTTGTGATGTAACAGGTCACACCTTAAGATTTTTTTATTTCGATTTCGGATAATCAACATTCAACAAGTCATACATTTAAACTGAAGGGGGTAGGAGCCGCACAGAGGTTGAAAACACAATTTTAGGCGGACAAAATTATTTTTTATTTCTTATGATATACTCAAAAGCAAAATAAGTTAATTTTTAAATTTTTATTAAATTTTGTACAATTTATGATTCTTGTTATACACTAAACCAATTTAATAATTTTCGTTATTCACTGTCTGAATCACTGTTAGACCTGCTAGATGATTCTGAATTATTTGAATCAAAAGAATTAATGATTTTTTATCTTCATCCAAATGTTTTTTTTTTGTTTTAGTTTCATTTCGAATGCTATAGATACATAAGGGTCTGACGAGACTAGTAACATATGAATTAAGTTTCATTTTGTTGTAATCTTGACATCTTACGCGTATTATGTTGTCTTAATTTTCTGTAATCTCTATTACGGGCTTCTTGGGCATCTTCTGATAATAATAATATTTCATGACAAAAATATGGTGAAATTTTTCGACGTTTAGTTCTATCGCTACAGTCGACAAAGGGTTTTTGAGGACGTCCAACTGAAAAATTCTCAGTAGAAGAGGATACAGCTTGTAAGATATCAGCAGGCATGATAAACTCTTTATCGAGCAACAGATTATTTGCATAACGAAATCTAGAAAGCGTACGATTGCTCTTGGTCCATAGTTTTGATAGTACAATAGTAAAGTTTTTTACTTTATCGACAACCTTTTTTTAAAATTCTGATTCCCAGTTATCACCATCATATTTCTGTTTCAAAATTTGAAGTAAATAATTTCTTGTTTTACAATTTAGGGGGTTATTGGACCTCTACCGCGTAAAAATAAAAATAAATCGTCAAACGTGTAATTATTAGGTTTACCAGAACTACCTGGAAAACATAAAATAAATAAGACAGAGGCAAGTTGGGGTAAAAAATTATTATATCACTAGAAAGCTGAGAACTTACACTATAAAACTATTCTACACATTAACGATAATTTTTCATAATTTTTTAGATAGGGACTTTCAAATATTTAAAACATCTAAAAAAATTCCCTATTTTTGGTTGCAATAATATACATTTCGACACTCAAAAATGAAATATATCAAACTTTTTATTTACATCCAGCTTGTATATCCATGTTTAAATATATAATTATAAAATTTGAAATCGAACAATATAATACAAGTGTTTCAGCGAGCACGCTTCAACATACTAAATTAAATCGTCCTAATTATATTTACGGACGATTATGCATATATTTATATTTTAATCTATGCTGATAACGACTGTTATGGGTAGTATTATTATATTGGGTTCTAATTTTATATTTTACAGGTCATGTATAAAGAGATAATGCTAATTTTAAACCAATTTTGATGATTTCATTTTTATACTTTTGTCTACCTAATATTTAATTTTCGACCACTGTGAGCCTGTGTGTTTTTTGGTACAAAGACATGTCTTACAGGAAATACTCTCACGCCCTGTAGAACTGTCGGATTTCGATAATTTTTTTTTAATCTAAAAGAAGAGAACATTTTGTAAGTCGGATCAAAGCCCGATTTTGAAAATTATAATTTTAGAAGCAGGAGTATGCATTTGAAAAATGCACAGTATTTTTCCTTTTTCAAACGTATTTTTCTACTACTATTTATGGTAAATAAAGATTCGAGCTTTGATCATGAGCTTTGTGCATGCGCTTGCTTACATATCTTTATCAGCGAGTGTAATTATAGCTCACTCACACTAATATCGATTTACATTCTCACACACATGCACGTTCCACGCAAGGCCGATACAACATGTGAATTAATTGCCTAAATTTTACTAGGGATGGGCAAAAAACATCGATGTTTTAAAAACATCGATGTTTTTGGTCGATATATCGATGTTTTACCATCGATGTTTAGTCTTTTTTTTTTTCCATTTTTTTTATAGCCATCCTAGGTGTGCATCAGATTTTAGCCCTAAAGGCTGAAGGGGAAAACATTTTTTCGATGTTTTTACTCCGATACATCGAACACATCGATATTTCAAAAAACAATGTATCGATACATCGAACATCGATGTTCAAAAATTTTTGCCCATCCCTAAATTTTACTCCTTAATAAATGACCGGCACCGACACCCTAAACTTAAAGAATTCGGAGAACAAAACCTGAAAAAAGTCGAGTGATTTCAAATATACATAATAACAAATTAAAATCTGTTTTCAAAAGTTTAATCACATTAGCGCATTACTATAGGTCCATCTGTATGATTAACAAACAATTGGTACATTCTGATTGACTATAACTGACCGTTTGCAATCCCCGTAAATGTAAATCTGTATCCTGGACGTAAAATTAGCAGGTAAGACGTCCTCTTGACTTGCAGGCACATACAAACATCTAATTCTCAGTTTTTTTGTTAACCGAAAGAGATCAGAAGACAACGAACTGAAAAAAAAAATAAACAATCAAATAGGTGTAACGCTTATAGTTGGATAGTTGGAATATGTTATGCCGTTATGGAATGAACCACAAGTGCTTATACCAATGATTGATACCATGGTTTGGGGCTTACACCGAGTGTATATCCACGTTGTACGTCCCAAGTAATAATAAGGTATGGATATGGTTGGGAAAAAATACTATGATCTAAAATTGATAGGTAAATATTAGGTAATATTTTTCAGTACTAAATGGTTCAGATGGACCCACTGGTCCAGTGATCGGCCGTGTTTTAAGGAGAAAAATATAGGCAAATTTATATGACGATATTATTGTGACTTGTCGGTGTTAATTAGCATAAGCGGGTGTGAGTCTAATCTAGAAGTTTTATTTCTCCTACGTAAAGTTTTCATCTCCTAAAACGAAAACCTTGATCGCAGTGTAAGTATGGAGTAGCAAATTTAAAAATGTATCTCGAAAATAGTTGCAAATTAGTTTAAGAATATTGACATGGGCCTGGAGTCAACAAGCTCAAATCAAGGGACACATTTCACGGACGTACTTGTTACAATATCTACTAAAAAGTATGAAAACGATAAAATGTCGTAACGAGTTAGGATTTACATGATTTTTGCTGTATTTTTTAAACTATGAATTATTATTGTTCTCGTTCATTAAAAATTAAACCAATTTCAAAATTGTTTTTTTTCAATATGTCATCAATTCACAATAAGTATGTAACTCAATAAAATGGCCCGTTTTTATGAATTTTTAAGTGCTTTTCAGTTATTTTTTTTTTGTAAACCATGTTACCCATATGGTAGGCCATAATTTATATACATTACATTTAAAAAAAAACACTAAAACTACACTACACTAAAATATTCCCACTACATTTTGAATTATTGGGCTATTATAACTTATAGTGGCTATACTGCATGGCTTTTTAATTAATTAACATACAACGAATAACTGTATAAATATCGAATGGTTCAGAACCAAATAACCAATAATAGTTAATTATTTATACAAGCATTTTCAGTTTTCGACGATCGGATACAGCTTTAGCGTAGACTCCGTAGAGGCAAACTTTTGCGGGAATATTCCATCCCTTGTTCCTCTCTCGTCGAAACTTGAAACGGTTTTATATAAACTATGTAGAACGTTGTGTATCGGGTTCAACGTTCGGTATTTGTGTGTATTGGTGCCTTGAAAAAATTCTCTCCTCGAGAATGCGAAATCAACAATATAAGAATTTATAAAGACAAACGGAGAGAAGAAAATAGCCCTTTCAGAGCTTTTTATTTTAGATATTTTATTTTTTTATCATTATTTTCGAGTTATAAACGAATTAATATTTATATACGATTTAAGCTGACATTGAGGAGAATATATAAAAAGTTGATAGAGTATACTCGAGTTAGTATAATTGTAGATATTCTATTCTTATGTAGATTAATCGACTTAACTTTAGTTTATTTTTATCCAAAAATCATCTTGAATAATTTTACGAATTCCAATAGTTATTTTTTAAGCAAAGTTTTAGTTAATCAATAAAAGATAGCACAATGATAACAAATAAATAAAAATACTGTACCCATTTATACCTAATACCTATTTGAACAAACAAAACACGCGGAGAAACCACAAACGTGTGTAAAATAGTGCCCTCGTGTCTGCCCCATTGTTTATTATCGATATAAAACAAAGACATTGATGATAATATTTTTGTTTTGTAAAATGGTAATAGTAAAACAATCTGCAATCAATATAATGACAATTGCATTTATAATATTACATGATAGTATCTTAAAATTTTCGAGTTTTCGACCTCAAGAATCGCACTGTATAATATCTTCGTATACCACACCTATATAATTGATTATAAATAATAGGTAGTATTTATAATCAATGGTAAGATGTACAGAGTGATACACCAAGTATTCTAATTTTTGGAATTTTTAAGCATATTTAAGTTTATATTTTCAAATTGTTATATTTTTCTATAATTTAAGGAGTGTCTTGTGACAGGTTTGCAAACTTGTTTTTTCACCATTTTTTACTTTAAATTGTTAAGTAGATGATTTAAAATAAGTTGCTTTCAAGCGGTAAAACTTTAAGTAGGTACTATGAGGTCCAAGGATAATAGTCTTTATGAAAAAAGGGATTCGATGGGGTTTTTAAAATTATAGTGATGGTATTATCTTAATGTATTAACATTCAACATATTATAATTTATAAAAATTGCCTGAGTACCTATTTAATAATAGTAATTATTAGACTAAATACCTATTACATCTATTTTATAACTTTGAGAAGCCATAATTATTAATAGGAACTATTATCCTTGGTATAAAGACATTTTAATAATTTAAAAACATTGTAAGTACCTAGGTATTCATTCGAATTTAATTTATTAAAATGTTTTTGTTTTAATTAGATACATTGCCATTTGAAAAAAAATCATTGGCTTAATAATTTACAGTAGGATAAAGGTTGGTTTTCATTTAAAAAAAGGGAATTGAATTGCCACTCCTTTAATAATGATATAAAATCTAAGTATCTATTTGAAAATACGATGGTCATTAAAAAGTATAGGTATATTAAAAGTTCTAAAATTCAGAATTTGAATAAATGTATAGAACGTAGTCAGTGAAACACCCTGCAGTTTAATAGAATATAGAATAATATATTATAATATAATATTACATTAAATGTTGAATATTATTGTGAGTGTGACTGTGCAATAAAACGTATAATTTACATTCCTATAATACCTAAATAATTTAATAACTGCTGCATTTAATTTCGACGACAATTTTAAGTTTCACGTCGAAGATAGTGTTTTGTAAATAAATAAATTGAAACTTAATCAATGGCGACTGTGACGCTGCAGTATACATAATAATATTATATAGTATTGATGTATTATAATATATTTATATAATATACATTATACTGCGACGATACGACTGAAATCTGAAATAAAATAATATTATCATCTTTATATCTGACGATGCACCGAACAAGTATTAATATTGTTATTCAAGTCATCAGCGTGTATCTGCACGTTTAATAATAATATTATTATATTAGGTATGTTATGACGTTATTCGGTTTGCGTACTATGTCCTACTTATACATAACGTATAATGTCGTTTTAATATTATATTAAATACGTTAAATAAAAATAATAATAATAAGTAGGTAGTAGGTACCTAAATAATAATAATTATATTAGTTTATAAGGTATTTATGATTATGACGTTTACGCGGAGCCTTATTATTAAAAAATATTAAATATTACTTTTGAAAGAGTAGTTTGTTCTCAGTATATATTATATAATCTGAAAAATCCGTGCAATTTTTATGAAAACAATTTTCGAAACAGCGTTCTGGTTGTAAAAATATATTCGGTAAAATAACTGAATAAATATTTATGGCGAGTGTTTTAAGCTTATAAACTTTGAAGATTACGCTGCCAAGAATTTCGTGCCATAAATAAAATCTTTTAGTATATATTATTATATTTTGGAAAAAAAAAATGGTTAGTTTACAATAGCTTAATAAGTATTTATATATTTAGAAAATTATATTTGAGTGTATAGGAATAATTCTATATCCTATATATATGTTATTAAACTACCGCGAAGTGTCGTGGTGAAGCAATGATACATAAAAAACGGGCATTTTGACGTTTTTTGACTCTTTTATATAGTTATCATATTTTTAAGAGTGGTGTTTACAAACGTGTACTACAAAAAGTGCATCTTATACAATATTATACTTACATTATATATGTGTCCAGGTCTCAAACGTGTAATTGAAATTGCTTTTTAAGAAACGATAGAGTCGTAGGTAGGTTAACCTATAATGCAGCGACGCAGCGTATAAATATTATTATAGGTACACTAAGTTATAATTGTACGTGTAATATATATAATATAATATACTGACGTTTTTACCTATAATACATATTATACATAAATATAATAAATAAATCAGATCGATTTAAAAAGAATACAGATTTTAAGAACGACAATAACTATACAGCGATTGCAGTTGTATATACTGCAGGTACAGTGTGAGTGCATTGAAATGGAAAATATTGAAATATTGAAGGAAAAACCAAACAAATTTCCTTGATTATTTATTATATATACCTATGCATATAAGAAATGTAAAATATGAGAGTAACACAGAATAGATGTCTGCATCATCTTAAATTTTATCTATTGCAGATTAATTTTTATATAATACTAGAACTAGGTGATCCCGTGCACTTCGTTGTCCGGCAACCAATTATTATTATCATAATAGCTTCAAAACCCATGGCAACCATTTATAAACAAAAATGTCCATATGAAATCTCAAAATCCCTGTTTGAGCACCTCCCTGGGGTTGGTCCTCTCCATTTTTAAATTAGCCTATCTTCTGCCCAGAATTCTAATCTATCTATATACATGTATAAATATCTGATCTTGTGCACTTCGTTGCCCATTAAAATTGCCAACTCAGTATGAATAATATGTTTTACATATCACCATGGCAACCATTTATATTCAAAACATTCCATCGGAAATCTCAAAACAATTTATAACTGGTTGCCATGGTAATATGGACACACACACAGACAGACACGCAGACATTCATTTTTATATATATAAAGATAGAAGAAGACGATATAGATCGAGCTGTCTGCGGTTATGTTTGATGCTCACGGCGTTATTCATCGAGACTGTGGGATACGTAAACTTTTTATGACGATTATATTATTATACAGATCGAACTCTTTGGTTATCACTGTTATCAGTTGGTTTAGCTGCACCGCAAGAATACTGCAGTCTGCACTATTAATGTGCAGTGAATGTTATCGTATTCCCGAACAGTGTATTTTCCTGTAATTATATTCCTTGTCCACGGCCTTATTGCCTCACAAAATTCGACTAAGATAGTTGCACAAACACAAGTTTGTGTGTAGAACCTAGAAAATTAGAGCCTTTGTATAGAGCTATCGTATTCGTTTTTATATTTTATGTTTCTGCGAAGACTGCACTGCAAAGTAAACAATAAAACTTTTAAGTAGGTATACAAGGTGTAACAGAACGATGTGACAAATTAAATAATATTAAAAAAAAATGTTTTCATATATAATTTATAGACGCTCGCACTATACAGGTACAGTACTTGCTTTAAAATATATAGTTTTATTTTTTAATATAGAAAATAAAAAAATTTGAATTTTACTATATTTTTATTGGATATCGTTATGGTAAAAATGTTTAGAAGTTTATTTTTTTAAATTATATAAAATACCAACATTTTATGGAGTGAATTTATTTGAAATATAGGGACATTTAAGGATATTTTTTTGGGAATTTTGAGACATACCTACGTAAATCTTAAATTATTTACTATCCATAATATAATTTTCATAGTTTTTTTCATGCGTTCAACTTGTATATATTTTTCATTTTTATTAGTCAAGTCGGACCGTTACACCCTGTATATTATTATTCTGCAGTGTTCACAAATCGTGATAATATAATAACTTATGAGTACGTTAATACGAAACAACTTACGTCCTACGAGATCCGAGTGTATAGGTACTGTTTAGTTTTCCGATTTCTCATATCGTATCGTTCTGTCGTTCGTCGATAATCTGTAACAGTATATGCGTAAGTTCGTATGTGCTTATGTATAATAATAATTACATTATTGATACGCGCTCGAGATTCACTCGAAATTATTGTCATTGTGCGTACCTATTATTGCACAGTTATCGTCGGATCGTAGCCAGTACTCATGGCAGTAAATTGATTTTTCGTGTTTTGGCCAATAAATCCCTATCGGTTCGTGTTGTATTGATTAATTGATTTTTTTTGCCTGTTCTCATTGCGGTATTCGAGTGTGCCGATCCGAGCCGCAGACGGGTATATTACAATACAATAGGTAGTTTATAATATAGTCTGAACGAGAAAACCACCGAGTCGGCTGACGATATACATATTATATGCGAATTGTCCGTTTGTGATTCAAAAGGCGACCACTATTACTATACCTTGGTAACCTGCAGCTGTGACGTTTTTGACAAGATGCTGTCGTCACTAGGCCGCGTCCAGTTTTTTCTCCTTTGCTTGCAGGTGTCGCACTACGGTAAGTACTGCAACGACCACGAGTGGTAAAGTTTGACTTTCGTTCTATATATAACTACCGGTACTTAAGTGGGTACGTTTTTATTTTTATTTTTAAGCTGTCGGTAACGGTAAGATTTTCTTCATTGAAACGGGCGATTTATTCCCACTCGAGAATACAATTTATAAATAAACTTATGAGTGATGATGATGATGTGTGATGTGGCTAAATCGATTTTCCGTTAAAAAAATGTATCGGCATAACCGACACCAACGACGAACGAAATTCAAACACGCGACATAATATTGTTCTGAACGCTTCGGGTCGACGAAACTAAATCAGTATCACCTAGTAGGTACCTACCTACCTATATAACATGCCACCACGGTCATTAATGCGTGACACATTTTTACTTCACCGCTGTTACACAACATTATAATATATATTATTCATCGAAGAGAGATAAATCTGCGAAGGAACGAGTGGTGAGAGTGTGAGATTATCGTGTTTGTTTGTTATATCTCGCGAGTCACGTAGGTACCTATATATATGCGTACTAGATACATATGCGTTACATTATAATTTATAACACGACCTTTTTAAAATGTGAATTTTCCAAACGATTTTCCGACACATTTTCAAACCTTTTGTCCACCTCACAAGAGCCACGTCTATAATAGTAATAATAATAATAATATACTATGTACAGTAATATTGCTGTATTATGCTGGTCGCAATATAATCGTTTCCGTGCATAATATTATTGTACTGTCGGGTCAAATTGAATTATTCCGAAACAACTGGGATTCGCGGTGTAAAAAAGGAGGGTATACGAATAGAGATCCGGGAGAGGTCATCAATATTTAAAATGTAGATCACGCACACATATTTTCTTCATACGTTTTTGAATACTTTATAATATTACTGTATAATAATACGTGTAGTTACAGGCACTATAGGTAAAGGTATATGGTATATACCTGCTCTCTGCAGTATCACGGGTAATAAATTTCTCTTCTTTTATCTACGATTAATTTTATATCAATATCCTAGATTTAAGATGGCTTATTGTTTAATTTAAAAATCATTGACGTCGTTTGTGAATAGTACCCAATAGTTAAATTAGGTACCTACCTAATATATTATATATTTTAATTTGTAAACCAATCGATTATTGTGCTTATTATTTCTTGACGAATAATGCTCAATGCGGGAATACTCTAATTTCCATGTATCATTTATGCATATGGTTATATGTATATTTAAATGTAGGTACATATGTTATACGACATGATAAACGGAAGTCGGCCATTTGAACGTGTTAAGATAAAACCGTTATTCATATGAGCACGATTTCAATGACCGTATTTACGTGCGCTATATGTCAGGTTAGGATAAATCGTTTTATTGGAGATGTCTGGAGTGCGTAACGTTTTTAATTTTTACACTCAACCAGACTCTTAAAATCTGTAGAAATGGGTGTAAGCCAAAATAATAAAATAAACAATAATAACCACCTATTATTGTGGTATGCACCCTGGGTAACTTAAATGAACTGTGACGTATTCGGACTAAATAAAAAATATATTTTATTCTCGGGACGCACTCAGGTGATACCTACCTTATTCCGGATGCACTCAAGACTTGAAATAAGGGTCATTTCGATGCACACTCGGGGAACTAATTTTTTATTCAAGTAGATGAGAAGATAATAATTGGAATTTTTTTCCGTAATAAACAATATTATTATTATTATAAGTTCGACAGTCCAAATGAAAACAATTATAATCATATTCGATTTACTTTATAGGCTTATAGCTTTTAATTTCTAGTACGTTATCATATTATTTATTTTGTACAATATGTAGGTTCGTGCATTATTAATTTAGTCTACGTTTACTTAAAACATTTCAACTGTCGTTAAATTCTTTTGTTCTTAAGTACTATTATTAAGTACATGATGGAAGTGCTACAAAAAGTTATATATTTAACAACTGTAATAAGTGTTTAATTGATGATGGGTATAAGTAGGTATCAATTAACTAAAATTATTAAATAAATAATACATTTTATTAACAAATTTTATTGAAGAATAATTTATAAAAAAAATATTTTCGTTTATGATATAAACCTACACACAGACATGAGTGAAGTAAATGATAGACTAATTATTTTTTCATTTGCATAACAATCCTCGTCCAACACTAATTAGTAAAAATCCACGCTCAAATAAATTATCCAAATACCCCTTAGATGATCCAATGGTAATAATTATGAAGTAAAAGTTGTAATGGGCAAATAAGTTTGATAAAATTACTTACCGTAATTTTAGGGTAAGGTACCCGTCAAACGGGCCGCAACGTCCTAATATAAACAATGATTATAATATGTACACTCATTTTATTATAAACGTATACAATTTGGACAAAAATTCATAATATTATTAAATATTATTGAGTTACATTTTTTTCTTAGTAATAAATTGAAGAAGCGTGTCCACGGGGAAGTCCGTGGTCCTTCCATCCACCAATATAGGTGTTGACAGGGGCAATAAAAGGGTAAAAGGTTATATGATGAGCGTGGAAGCCACTTATAGTGTATTATGGTTATTATTTTAAATATTTGTAATACTGAAGGTTTTCACAGTAGAGATAGGTTTAGTAGCTATAAAATATTATATTATATAGGTATAGTAATAATGTTTATGGATTTTTAAATCACTTTTCAAAATTACATGTAGTCGATTCGTATACATTTATTGGGAGTACACTGTTATATAGATGCACATTGTCTTGTGTATATAGTCCACCCCTCCATTTTGCTTCATACCCAATTGTAGGAACTCTGTCCCTATCTGTCGATAATGCGGGTGTTCATTATTACTTTTTAGTTTTTTCGATTATAAAACGATCTTACTTCTTACGAGCCTCGTTTATCTATATTTGGTACTGCTCATAAATATGACCCTCTGGTAAACCACCGCCAAAACTGTCGAGCGTTTCTTGTTAAATACTATGCATAATAATAAATACTATTCATTCCGATATTCTGGACCATTGCATATTACGGACAAAATTATTCTTAGGTACCTATATACTTCTTACCTACTTGTAATATTATATTATTATTATGTCCAAGTCAAACCTAAAAATATGATTATTTTAGGAGACTTTTTCTATAAAAGCTATGAATATTAATTTTTTACATTGCGTTGTTATACTTGACAAAAATACGGTGGATGGATGGTGTTGAGTCAGAGGGGGGGGGGGGTGCATGGCCACTTTGCCCCTTTTCACTTGGCTACACTACTGCATATATTTTAATGACTTTATTTATTATTATACTATTATGTCGTAAATATTATCATTATGACATTATATTCGTGTACACACACATGATATCGGCGTCACTACGAGAGTCGAACAATTTCTGCAGACGCGGTATTGAATCTAGGTAAAAGCGTCCAACATACCTTCTCTCACACGAACTCGCGTTGCCATAAATTATGATAATAATATTATTATGGAATTAAAAAAATATTCAACGGTTGTGCTCAGGAATTTTGAATGGGGAGGGGGGGGGGCTTAAAAAAATAACGAATTGCCTGATCTAAAATTGAGAAATACAATAATAATTATAATTATATATTAGGTATGTATAAGTACATATAGGCACTACATATTATATATTTGTCAAGTGTCCACGGGGGGAGGTTTGAACCCCTTACCCTCACACCCTTGAGCACCCCTCTGGTTGTACCATATGTATGCCGTGTGCGGTATTGATCTATACCGAGCGGTGTGCGAGTGTCAGAGGCTTCGTCTCTCTCGTCCTCCTCCGCGGACATGACCACTGTGTTTACGATGGTATAATATTGTGTTATATACCTATTTGCGTGCATTATGACGAGTACGACCGTAAATTGTAAAAATGTATATTATTATCGTTGGTGCGTGCAGTGTGTGTATATAGTTGTGAATTATTAGTAGGGCATCGTTATCATCATATTGTTGTTATAATCATCAATTTTTCGGGTTTCTGAGTGGGCGATGAGAAACCGCTTTCACTATAATATTGTATGGCGGTAGCTATATATTATATCGTACCTACCTACCGACAAAAATCTGATAAACACTGCACACGTCTTGTTTCACAAAAAAAACAAAGAATCTAAACGCGTATTTAAAACTAGCAGGAATTTCGCACGTCCGTTCCGAATGCGTTTATACTTTATAATGTTACCTTCCGTTTATATCATTGTTTTCGCTACAAAACCCTGCAGAACTCGCTTCCTCTTCCATATATATCCTAAAAAAATCATTAAAAATAAATATGTAACCCCGGAGCACGAAACCCAACGCTTTATCGACTTTTTAAAACGCAGTAAACTGCAGACGACAGAGGAAAACGTGGTGTATATTGTATTAATGTACAATATTTTATGATAGCGGTGGTACGATCAAGTACCTACCCATACCTATACTGTGTATAGTGCATACATGTATTATGTATACACGTTCGTCCCCCTCCCCCCAATCTGAATTTTGCAATTTTTTTTTGACTGAATAATTAGTGTCCAATTCCTGTGAATTTTTCAGACCGGCTTTTATAATTTTTGATCTACCCGTTTTCCCGGAAAGTCAACCTTTCAGATCTACCCATCTTATTTTAACTCTTTGCGTATCATTTACGTCGGTGCAGATAGACGAAAATCGCTTATGTAACCATGTGCGAATAGATCTAACAGTTTTTGACTGCATAATATATTTTTGACGAGTAGAGTAATATAATAATTATTGACGATTCACCGAGGGTGACTGCCAATTTATCGGTCACGATTGATGAGTTAAATTACTATAACGGCCCCATACAAAGTCGATGGTTCAGAATCGTTTGTCACCGGTCGAACACATAGTTTTTGTAAAAATAATTTGTACCTTTATAATATTTTAAAGTTTTGAATTCATAGTTCTTACGGTGGTCTGGATGAGGTGACTGCAATATATAATAACGTAACCCTGGAGTAGATACGTATTATGTCGAAACTAGTGTTATTGTTAATAATTGCAGTAATATCGCCTAAAACTCGCATAATATAAAACAAAAATACCTTCGATCTTCAATGTTTAAAAAAAAAAAATAATACTGTTTAGGATTACTTTGCATGCGAATACTTATATTTCGTACGAGAAGCGTTGAATTTAATGCGTGTTTGAATAATGAATTGTTTAGAATATTATATTTTTTTGGCTTTAAAATATCATCTGACCAACTATTAAAGTATATACCTTATATTTTTATATGCAGTTTTATAGATTCCATTAAGGTAGCACGTGACCTTGACATAATCAATCATACATTACCGTTTCATGTACATAAATGTATCTAGATGTAACATGTACCTAGATAATAATACCTACCTAAAATATATTTTTGCCAGTCGTGTTGATTTTTGTCATCTCAAATTTCGCAAGTATACGACATAATATATAAATTAATATTGTTACCAATACCGCTTTTAATCACAATACAGGCATATCTGTTATATTTGAACAGGACTTAATTTCTGTGCCAAAAAACACACTCACCACAGCCTGTAGGAATGAAAAAAAAAATGAAGGCCTAAATACAAATTAATGTTTATTTATAATTTATACCTATTATTAAGTCGTAGAAAAAAAATATAAATTAATAAATAATATAAATTAGATGGGTATTCGATTGCAGCACACTAACAAGTGCGATAAACCAATATCTGGGTATAATGCTCACCCAGTTCATCTTGGCACTCTCTATATTTTAGCCATCGGGATTATGATTTTTTTTTCAATATAGATATGCTATATAGTTTTCAGATCACTGTTTTTTAAAATTGTAACGGTTGCCAAGTGCCAAGATGAATTGAACGGGTTATAATAGTTATAAGTTATAACATCATATTATAAAGTATAGGTATTATAAGTACCGTTAAAGAACATTACCTAAGTATACTACTCCTTTTTGGTAAATTAACTAATATAAACGAGAAAGAATCCTTGAAATAGTATCTAGGGGGTGTTTCAAACCCCATAACCACCTCTCGTGACAACCCTTCTACAAGCACTTTAACACTTCCATATAATATTATAGAGGTGTCATGGTAGAGTTTTTAACGTACTTACTGTTATTACTTCGCTTTTTTTGCATACACCGCACTGTAACCAATATAATTATTAATTATTGTACTTATACATTTATTTATATTGTTATTCGTACATGTCTTATATCATGTATATCATTTTGGTAGCGTCAATAATGGTTTATATAATATATTGTAGTGAGGTTGTCTGAACGTATTTAATCGATGGGGAAATAGCATAATAGGTTTAATATATAACGTTAATGATTGATTATTAGTGTTGGATTTGGTAATAAATATTACGAGTATGGAAATCAGGAAGTATTATTGGAACGATTGTGTTTTTCCTCACTTCTTTCATGGTTTAAATAATAACTATAATAAAAAAAATAATAACAACAATATTGAATTCCTATATTTAAAACCATACATTTTTTAATAAGCAAATCGCGTTAAAAAAACAAAAAAAAATGATTTTAGATTATCAGAATAATTTTGCCAACTAACATATTTTAAACAGTTGATAGATTAAAAAAAAAACATGTCATACGTCACAGGCACGCCGTAAAATTTATAATTATAGATATTCGTAACACTCAGTGCAAAATCGAGACACTGCAGTCCCGGAAAATACAGGAAAGTACCTATAACCTCAACATCGAAAAATAAAGCTGCAGGTGTACCCAAGTCCATTACACTCGACATTATACGAATAATCATCGAGGGTAATCTGAATGCACATATTAATACAAATTTCCAATATTAAGGTAAACATTGTTCACCATCATAAGTGTGCGCCTAAGGTCCTCTTGACAGGGGAGGAAAGTGTGTATGCTCATGTCGCTTCGTCACTTGTTTTGTCCACCGAGAAATCGTAAAAATTAACGTTTCGCCAATCCTAATATATAAAATGACAAGGAAATCAGCTGTCTACAAGCAACCCGTGGAACGGAAAACGCAGTTATAGTGAAACCGTGGAGTAAAAAATGAAGCACCGCTCCGTTTCCCCAGCCCGCCGGCCAAGTCCCGTCGATTCCTTATAGCGCGACCAATCGCGTACCTTCGCAGCGGCGGCAGTCGGTTTTAAAACGTTTTTCGTTATCACCTCTTTTCCTATCATTTCGCCAATTTTTGAAATTTTCGGAAAATTAGCTGTTTTTACACGATTTCGACCCTTTCCGTCCTTTTTTATACTTAATTCGAAGCCGCCGGTGTGTAGTTTATATTCGTGCGCCGTTCGAAGCGGTCGCAATGTCGATCGAAAAATACACTCCCGACCGGACTTTTTTGCCGATTTTTTCCTTTTCTCCCACCGTTTCGTCTATTCACACGCCGTTTGTGCCCGAATCGTGTAGTCGACGTCTTTTTAAAGCCGTTTATATGGGCTTTTCCCCCGAAATCGGTTCGTTCGCCTCGCAATCGCGTTTATAAATTACGCCGGCGACCGACCGACCGTATATATACATGTATAATTTAATTTTTCCCTATGATTTAATAATTATTAACGAAAAACGCTTTTCACACGCCCCGTTAAATATATATATGGGAGATGCGCGTATTACAAGCGAATTATATGCGATTACATCGATGTACATCGAATATATCGGTTTACGTCGCTCCGTAGACGCACGGCTTAAGTGTTGATGTTTTGATCATATTTCACATCTCAAACTGTGTCCAAGTAGGTTAGGCGTTAGGTAGAAAACACGTAGGTCCCGGGTTCGAACCCGTCGTACGCTGCCCGAGCGTCGAATCTGGCATTGCCATAAGGTCTACACGGCCGCCCGGAACCGGATTTTTTTTGCATTTTTTTTCACGTTATTTTTAATATAAATTAAATAATAATATAATAATACAGGAACATATCGTACATTATTATTATTTAAAGTCATTGTCATATTATATCATACAATAAATAGGTACATATTATATTTGTTTTGTTAGGAATTATTATAATTGCATATTTTTTCAAAAAGTCCATGATTGTTATATAAATATAGTTGTATTTTATTTCGGATTGCCTACCTAGGTGGCTAAATTGAAAGTTAATCGATTTTGACTTGAGATGACGGACTTGCTAGACACTCCAACACGGTTGTCGACTTTACACTTTTTACATAAGGAATGGCACCGGACATGCGAAGCCACATACCACTCTATGTGATATACCTACTATATATAGGTGATAGACGGATTGCTCATTTTAGTTTCGTCTTAAACGGTGATGATTGACTTGACAGACACTTTAACAGTTTAACATGCAGGTTTTTGCATTTTTTTTTTTAAATTAATATATATACATTATAGGTAGTGTTTATATGTACTTATTGTATTGGTTAATATAATAGTAGGTATGTATTATAATTATGTATTATGTATTATAATTATAATTGCACTTTTCTCAAAGTGTTCATTGTTATATTATATCACACAATAAATACATATCATATTTGTTTGTATGTATATTGTATATAGTTTGAATTTTTCGTAAATTATTTCGTAAGTTGTGTGATAGGGTTTTCACTTATAGCCGCTTGACGTCGGGTCTGCAATCCACCGCAGGTGGATCGCCTACCTGATTTGCTGTAGCACATTGTCCGCGATCCGACGAAGTCGGATTGCCTACCAGCCTACCTAAGTGGCTAACTTGAAAGTTAATAGATTTTGACTTGAGATGACTGACTTGCTAGAAACTCCAACACGGTTTTCGACTTTACACTTTTTACATAAGATAAAGCACCGGGCATGCTACGGCACATACCACTTTATGTGCAGGTATACTCTATATAGGTGATCCTGGAGATCGTATCCAGCCTATCCATTTACAACGTTTGTGACGGATTGCTAGACACTCAAACTTTTAACATTCCCGCCAAAGCGTCTAGCCTTATATCCAATCCATATCACTAATCCTTATCACAAATCCTAAACTTTCGTCTTACAACCTTTGCGACTTTTATAATTCATTGTCTCCAAAATCGGTACCCACTCTCAGCGATTCCAACGGGCCCCGAGTTATACTTAGAGCTAGTATATGTATAAAACTATAGGTTAAAGAAATAGGTTAATAAGGTGAGCATCGTTATTATACAATGACACCATTGTTAAATTGTCGACCCCGTCAGCCGCCTCGAAAGAGATTTGTCACGAGGAGAATATCCTCTTCGTGTAATTAGAAGTAACATATTAAATTCAAAATAAAATTTTCTGTTCTATCAGGAGTAGCGTCACCGAAGAACGTTCCTTGCTTTTATTATATGCGACCATCATGCGTAGGTATAGTATTTATTTTAACAAGATATTTTATTGTGCTCATTGCATGTTATGTTTTAAAACATTGTAAATATTTTTTATTTAAAAATACCGCATCCGTGTGCGTATCGATGCATGATTTGAATTCATGTATAATTCGAATTGCCAATCGTCATTGCTGTAACGGATGTATAGGTGAGCGCATTGTCAGTGTGTATCATAATATCTTATATTATTATATTATGCACATTCGCACAAACTATTCATCGAATGCGACATTGACAATACTCAACAAGTGTCGCTTACCATACGAGATACATAATATATTTATACATATATTTTGTACGGGAGAGGTTCGTTTTTATAATTTCGATGCAGCTGTATATTATATACACAACATTTTCTCAATAAATTAAACAGGATACGATGATTTAATAATAATGTATATAATGTAATATATATTATTAATTATATAGATGTGACATTTTATGTATAAGCGCGTACGGCCGCGGCGGAGATACTATAATATTATATTGTACAGACTATTACAGTAAAATGTTTATTTTATTCTTGCAGTGTCATCGACTCAATTGAATTCGTTCGACAATTTATTTCACGGCAAAACAGGAAACTACGAATCTATGATGGACTCCTCTCGCGTCAGCGTAAACGAATCTGTGACGTTTTGGTTATATACGAAGTAAGAGTTATAGGGTTGAAACGAAACCGTTGTTTTTGTCCTACAGCAGCTGTTGTTTTTAGATTTAATCGATCAAAAATAAGGTTCAAATCAGTGCTTGACTAGCAAAAGAAACAGTAGAGTTACCGAAAAAAAAATGTTCGTCCCCATAACTAAATATACGTAATAATTATTATGACCAAATAATTGATATTCCATACTACAGCTTATTAGGTACTCACTATTAAAAAGTTTCAACCACAAGCGTGCATAGGTAGGTTTTTTTTGTCTAAAATGTTTAAAATCAGTTCCCAATATAATTATATAAATATAACAAGAAACATGTAAGGTTGTAAGGACTGAATTGACAGATGCCCATTGGTTATAACTGTTCAACGTAATTTATAAAATACATTAAACATTGCACACATTTACCCTGTGGAACTGTGGGGGAGGGTACTGTAGGTTTTGAACACGAGTGTGTTTGTTTTGGCAGAATTTTTTAAGTGGGCACCAGTAGGTATCTGCCATCCCGAGGGTGGGGGATGGCGGCCTCTCTCTCCGGACACCGTGACTGCCCGAAGAAAAATGCCACCCGTGGCCGAGTTCGAACCGGTGAAGGTGCGTGTCGCAACCGACGCCTTAGGCACGCTGGGCCACTCCGTCCCCCCTATAATTATTATTACATGATTATCATCTAGCACTGTTAGGTTTATTGATTTAACAAGGTATCTACAAACAAGCAACGTTTAATCCAGTCCATAACATCTTTGTTTAGGTTAGGTTAGGTTAGGTTATGTTTTTATACAAATTATACATTTTATGCTCGGACCACATAAAATTACAATAAGGGCTACACGTGGCCATGCGAGCCGCGGGTTGTCGACCCTGTATAATATTTATTATTATTTATAATTAAATAATTAATTACTATTAAGGACAATGCTGTCGTTAGCCGTTTTATGTAAAATGAACGTTTGCGATCCGGTGCGATCCTCCGTTAATATCTTCGTGATTTCGAGCCCGTTTGTGCCTGTGTTGACGATCAGTGGTGTATTTACGCTTTATTATCCTACAACCAGTTACTTATTGGGCCAAACCATAGTCACAATTACACATTTATGACGATTTATAGAGATCATTGAAAAGCAAATTATTTGCGAACGTACACGAACAATTTATTAGGTATTTTTTTTAACAAATTATGTTGAAAATTATGCGATTCAGGTTACGATGTTCAAGAAATCGTCATACGACATTAACGAAAAAAAAATTTATTTCTTGTGAGGGTACCCCGTCTGCTTTCGATTTCCAATTTATAATTTAAGGATAGATTGAACTTTTGCAGAACCTCTCTTCTTATACGCGTAGGTACCCAAGTTTCTTTTTATCCATTTCAAGGTGGGCTCACTAGTCACGTATGAGCTCACTAGTCATTTCTAATACCGATTTTAGTACAGCTGTTGAATATTCATTGGCCTGTAATCTTGTGATATATTTGTTTTAATATCCCATATGGAAAAGCTTATATAATAGAGTGTTATTTAGGGTAGCCGTCGATCGCCACCATTCCTCTTTTAAACACACTATTTATTTTCGATCTTCACTGCGTCGTCATCGTCGTCACGTGAACTCAGATTTATAAATATATATAATGTTAAATTTTGTATTTGCGCATAAAGAGCAGACAGGTGCGATTGAATGAAAAAAAAAACAATGATTCATAATATTAATAATATATTTTGGGCGCCTATAGCCTTGATATCTATTCGCGTTGACATACTGCAGTAGATTAAGTTTCTGATGTACTTACTTACCTGTATAATAGGCACACTTGACAGTTGACACACTTGACGGGAAGAATAATATTTTTTACTGCTCCACACCATGAATGACGGGATGATAATCTATTGTTGACGTTTCTCGGAACGACCGGCGCCATCTATGCGTAGCGGTAGCGGACTTCAGTTTACTTGACGGTCTGTATTTTGTTTGTAGAGAGCGCTCCACGAACAGTCGGAGATTGGTGCCCGACGACCCGAAATCATTGGAGTCATCGGGCTTTGACGGAGGTAAACCGACCAAAATCGTGATTCACGGTTGGTTGGGCGACAGCGAAGACGAGCAGAGCGTCTGTTTGACTTTGAAGACGGGTGAGTACCTAGTGGCAAAACATAATATATTTATTATAGCTGTTAGTGACGGTGCAGTCAGTATAGATGCCAAGATTGGGTTGGGTTATAAGGATTGCAAATAGACAGTTTTCAATTAGACCAAAAACGGGCAAATTTTAAATTGCATGTATACGGGTTTTTTAAATGTAATTATTAGTGTGTGTGTGACTGGTTTAGAATAAAATATATAGCAAAGCGCTCGTACAAGTCATCACCTCGGCGTTCTGGACCGGATAACGCGGTATGACTTCTAAAAACTGATTTGATTTCGTTGATATGTCTACTTGAGATCGATCAGGCTGTATTTCAAGATAATTAATTTAAATTTTAAAATTGTAAGAGTTGACTGTTGACAAACAAAAATTTAAAAAATAGTGGCCTGTACGATCTTAAGTAGACATAGGTAATATTAAATACAAATAACTTTTCAAAAGCATAATCGCATTACTAGGTCAATCTGTATCTGACAAGAAGATTGGAACATTTTGTGGAAATAAATGACCGTATGCCTGCTAGTGTGTCTTTAATAAGGGACAGTGTATAGGCAATTTTTAATTTTGTTGCTACCGTCCATGGCATTTGGGTTAATCAAAATATGGTTGTACACATGTATCGGGCTATATACGTACGCACTGCATTTGCTCACTAGTCAACGGCACAGCCGATCAAAAACAAAAGGCATGAATTTTGCTCAAAACTCGATTTACTGGTTTCATTTCAATAATTTACTATTTTTTTTTTTTTTGTTAGAGAGAGGATCATTTTCTACAGAGTGCATTGGACTTCAATTTTTGATTTCGTTGATTAAAATAAATACAATAAAAAACAAAAGTTTGTGAAAACTGGTCTTATTCAAAATCGTATTATTTGGCTTAGAAATAGAATTTTCCAAGTCCAATGCACCATAATATTAGGAGCGTTCTTTCTGTCAAAAAAAATAAAAATGATCGAAATCGGAACACTCTGCGAGGCGTGTGCATTTTTACTGTAAGGCATGTCTTTGAGCAAAAAAACAGGTCACGTGTGGGTCACTTAATTAATAATTTGTGTAAAGGTATCTAGCTGTACATTGAGTACGGTTCCGATTTATTTCGATCAATGGGTTTTTGGTTTTTGTGTGGGTCTGGAAAATTCGATGTGCGCCGCGGTTTTCGCAACAAAACTAGATTATTTCGCAATCAATCAATTGTAGACTCAGGCTATATATATATATAAGCAAATAGACACATTCAGCGAATTCTGTTGATTTGTTCGATCATTACCAAGAATATAGGTTGTCAAACAACCGGGTCGAGTGCGCCAAACATCCAAGGTTACTCGTTCGGTGGAGATGTGTGTCAACAGCATAATATTATAAAAACCGTCAAGAGTACTACAAAGTTAGGTTAGGTAGTGCAACATAATATAATATCGTCCATTAATATTATAATAAACGATTACAAAAACTAAACAATTTGACGTATCATGATAAAATAATTAAAAAATATGAACTATCTTCCCAGGAATGTTAATGGGATTTTATCGGAATTGTGTACTTGAATTGTACTCAAAAGTCAAAACCAATGGGCGTAGATTACTCACAGCTCGTTAAGTCGATACACCTAAATCACAGGGTTGAACTAAATGCTATTATATATGTGCCGTTCGAATAGTTATGCTAAAAAAATCATATAATAATTAAAATATACAATTTATAATACCCGTATAGTATATGAGGGAATTCTTCATTCAGTGAATCGTGCCATTATATTTATATACATCATCACGCATTAATTTATTGTTCAATACAGGTACCTATTTACGAAACAGATTGAGTAAGAAAAAATTTAAATTTAAAAAAAAAATTATAACTACTCACACAGTCACACAAAGGCATAAAGTAATAGGTACCGAACGGTGAATAATAAATATAGATAGACCTCCCGGTCTAGGTCGGACTTGCAAACATTTGGGCTACATATAGTTTATTTTATTTTAAACGTTTTCATGTATTGGGGCTCTGACTTATAAATCTAATTATTATTATTATTATCAGCGTTGAAACTTATCTAAATTAATTTATCTTGATGTCATATATATTATTATCTTATCTAGATTCAAATCTACTTGTCAGCTTTTTATTTATCTTTAGAAGAAGCCAAAAATAGAAGGAAACATCAGTTATCTAATTTAATTTATTTGGTTAATTTTTTAATAACAGATTTTTATTTAATACTATATAGTTTAATAATATACATTTTTACATTTTGTGTTCGAAAACCATAATAATGTAATTTTATGGAAGGTAGATACATATATTATATACTTTTAAATAGTATGAACAAATTCAAAGTAGGTAGTCATAAAATATAAAATACTAGCTGGATTACCCAGCGTTGCCCGGAAAAAAAATTCTGATTGTTCAACTCCTTTTGAATGTAGTAAGTAATGTCTTTTTAAGTGTAAATGATATTATATTTTACTGTACAGCCATCCCGACCGGCGTTGTCCGTGGGATTCTCAGCAGTATATTATCAGGTAGATCAATCTATTACCTGTGGTATATCGTGGACCCCGTGTGGTTTGTAGTTTGTACGTAAGTGTATAATTATTAATTTAACTCTGAAGTATCAAAGTAATACCAATAGTTGGTCATTTTTACTTAACTTCTACGGCAGATGAATACAAAAATTCTAACCTAACCGTATACTAAAATCTGATGAATAAAAAAAAACCAAACATTCGTATGTATAGATAAAGAAGAAAAATAAGAAAAATGCGCCAACACGCGTATCGCTTTTTTTAAAAAATAACCTAACCTAACCTAACCAATAGCTATTGCGGTTGCCAGCAACCATATTTTACAAACAATCATTTCAACTGTAAATTTCAAAATCCCTGTTTGATCACTTCCCCGGGTTGGACCTCTAATTTACCCTTTTTGAATTAGATAATTTTCTTCCCAGAGGTCTAATAATCTATCTCTGTGCAAAATTTCGTAGCACACACACACACACATTTATTTTTATACAATATAGATAATAGGTATCTTGACAGTCAGTATTCTATATAGTTTATTGTTGGCTGTCGCATTAATTTTAATTTACCTCCATATAGATGAACCACCGGCCGCATGCAAGTTGCGGTTTTGTCGGGATTTTCTTTCAAACAATGTTGAAAAATTTGAATTTTTTTCAGAATATTTCACGTTGTACGATTACAATGTGGTGTGCGTGGACTGGAGCGTGCTCGCAGTGGATTTTCCGTATTTCACTGCTCGGAAGCGTTGCAAAGAAATCGGAAACTATGTAAGTGAAATGATAATGACGATGACGGAAAACACTCCTCAGACCAATGAAGATGTACACATAATCGGTTTTAGCATGGGCGCCCACATCGCCGGTTATGCCGGTAAACGACTTGATGGAAACGTGCACAGAATCACTGGTATGTATTAATATAATTCCTACATGTAAATGCGATATCGACTACTATTAAATTTTTTGCGGTTCATGGTTCATCTATTAAAATATATAAAAGTTTTCTGATAGAATAATGACGATAATAATATACGTACCTAATAACTAGGTGTATAAGTACTTACCTGCCTATGGTATATGTACACTGTACAGGTATGTACTATGGAGTGCCCTGGTTACGTACATTTGAACATTTATCATAGTTTTTTTTAAAGATTTGGATTTCTTATAAGTTTTTGAAAACTACAGTTTTGCGTATTATTTTTACTTTATACTTTAAATATAGTACAAGTGTGTACATCGAAACATAAATATATTTTTTTTTAACACATTAGACATTTCAAAATAATTATTTTTTAATCTAATAAGACCATTCGAACGTGTTTGACAAATAACAGTAATACAAATAAACCCGATTACTTGAAGCAGATTGTCTGCTGAAACGTGTGCGGGTGTAAGAGACATACTGTACTTTAAAATATCGTTGATGACTGTTCAATACATTGAGTGGATACTCGACAAGAGATTAAACTGTTTCTCAATAACAATGACTAATAGAAAAAAAGTATAGTGTGGATTTTGTAAGAGATCGGTTTAAATTCCATACATAATTGAATGTTTTAATAACATAAACTGTATTCCGTGTTTTGTTCGAATGAAAATGTTAAGATATAGACAATATACCACTTGGATGGGTTCCTCTAAGATGTTTCGAGGTTTTGAATTAGAACGGAATAAATACACATTACACACAATATACCTACACACACGACACACATATTATAATTATTAAATCTAATTTACTGATGGTAAAATCACGTCCTGTGCTTAGAATTGCATTTAGCTTTACACACTTGTACTGGTATTATTCAATATTATTTATAGTCGTTAAATTAAATTTTTTTCCATTCTTGAGTTTTCAAATCGCGCACTGATTTTGTTTTATTCCGAAATTGTATAGGTACCTACCACGATTAAAGATAGTATGGTTGCCCAACGAACTATGATAAGCAACAATTTAATGATGCTCGTGGTATCGTTTTTTATCAATGATACTCCAGAAACTTTTACTAGCGCTCATAGGGTAAATATTAAGTACTAGCCACTATTAGGCATAAAATTATATGATTCAATATTAGAACTCTTGGAGCGCCAGTGCTAGTAGTTGTGATAACAAGGAAACTCGGAACATCACTTTATTATGGTTCGTTGTGCAACCATACACTGTTAGAACCACTTACCAGGTGACCTTTAAAAAAAAAAATAATGTGAGTATTAATTAATGTATAATATACTCCACTATTTATTTATTTAATGTAATACATAACGATTACAAACTTACAGAAGATAAACTTATAATAATATTATAATCTAAGTTTTGTATTTTTGATTTTTTTACGGATGAAATCGGATTATACAACTAAATTCGGAAGTTGGTTCATCCGAAGTTAAGGGCCTCATAAAACGATTGGACCGTTTTCAATAAAAGTTATACCAAATAGATTAATTGTAATTTGGAGGGTTATAGCTTGATTTTTCAACTCTTATATAAGCTATAGATAGCTAAAGGGCAGCTGACATATGATTTTTTTTCCGCTTACGAATAGAGACAATTTTTTTTTGTTTATCCAAATGGTTGGTTACATACTATATTGATATTAAAATTAGAAGAAATATGGTGTACACATTTTTTACAAATATATTTATTAAAAATACAAATATTTGGCGTGGACAACGTCGGGCAGGATATCTAGTCATGGTATAATTATAAGATCTATGAAGAATAATCAAGTGTCTAATGAAATCGTATTCGTATTATTTTAAACAAATTTCTTTCGCTGGATGAAGAATCAAGAACCTAACCTAACCTAAAAATAAAGTAAATAAATACACTTGCATCCTCTTTGTTAACGTTTTTACATTTATACTCTAAATACTTATGAATGTAATTTGCATCGATGGTTCCTCTCTATACACTGCAGTACCTGTCATTGCTGACGATATTTTTTTTACGTTTGCAAAATCGATTAGCTCTGCATTACCACATTGATTTTGTTCACGTTGGAAGTGATGTCTCGATACGGTAATTATTTAAGGGGCAACATTTAGGCAATTTCTAATCTTGCTATAGCCTCCCGGCGGAATCTAGTCATTTGAGTCATTTTGTAAATTATTAGTGTGAGTGAAATTAAATGCGGGTATCGACGGTACTCTCTCTCGTACACGCATGCACATACATCAATAATAACTCGATAACCATATACATTTCACTAGGTACACGAATTTTACAAAAACATAAATTTGTTTTGACAAAATTAAAGTTAGTTAACGTTGTCTGATTTTGATTCTGAAAAAATATTCGAATTCAGCAGAAAAATGTCTGTAGATCGCGCGAAACATTTTCAGTTTTCATTATTAATTTTAATTTTGATTATGATTCGAAAAAGTTCATGTTTTAAAGTTTTCAATTACAGTTAACAATGTTATAAAATTTAGTTTTTACAAAGTGCTTCGTAGGATCTATAGGCGATTTTCTGGTGGGCTCAAATTTTCATTCAGTATCAAAATCGGACTTTAATTTTGTCAATACTTTAGGTCTCTTCAGCTAAAATTGGCGGCTGTAGTGAGGCCCCCCTCAAGCTTAAAGTTTAAACGGATATTACTATGTTTTGCTTACGACGTATACACGTTACAGGCTTGGATCCGGCTAAGCCGATGTTCTCCAGCAAACGGCCTGCCGAGAGACTCGACCGAACCGATGCTCAATTCGTGGATGTAGTGCACACGACAAGTTTGGTGTTGGGGCAGCACAAGCCGATAGGAGTTATCGATTTCTATCCTAATGGTGGCAATACCAAACAACCGGGCTGCGGATATGATTACGGTAAACATAAGAATACAGCAATAATAATAATAATAATAATATAATACAATATCTATACTACGGTATAATCAATACGATCATATCGCGTATACTGTCAAAACGATTATTTGGTAACGGCAAATAATAAAGGTGAAACCTATACAACGTTATTTTTTCGGTTAATTTAACATTATATACGTATGTGTGTACACTGATCAATAATAACTTAATAATTTGAATATGCGTAGGTACCTACCTATATAGTATAGGTATACCCACCTCTTAACTACTACCGAACTTATAATATAATATATATGCATTCTGACAATATGCATGTTGTCGGTATTATATTATTATTTTTATTGGATATATTTAAACTTTCTTTCACACTTTTCTAGGTTTAGGGCTGTCAGTATATTTTACGTAACTAATGGTTTTACTCAGTTTTAGTTCTGCCGTTTACCAAAGGATTAAAATAAAATAAAAAACAATTTTTATCTTATTCGACGTTGTAGATAACTATTCGTTCATATAGAACATCAGATTTTTCATTATCTCGTTTTTAAGACAAACTTATTTTTGATTTGTTTACAACTGTCTTAAAAAATATGCTGAAAATGGCGATCTTGTATAATATGAGAGTAGTTATTAAAATATGTAGCTGAAAAAAAAATATATAGCACGAAGGGGACAAAACAATATTTTATAACACATAAATTATAAATGCGTATCAAAAATAAGTAGATATAGATTTGAAAAATGCTTGAACATTATTATGTGGCCGAAAATCGATAGCTAAAATAAATAATACACTCGTTGAACTACTGACAAAATATTATAACACAACTGTGTATTATCACAAGTCTTACTTATTTTTTAGTGTACGGTGAGGTGTGTAGTCATTTTAAAGCTTACGAGTTTTACGCTCGGTCCATCCGGTCCAAAGACGAATTCAAATCGATCAAATGTGACAAATGGAAAGATTACGAGCAGTCCAAATGCGAAGATCCTGAGAATTTCACGTACTTGGGCGAATCCGCAAATTCAAGGTGAGCGATTTTTTTTATATTGATAACAACTACGATTGTAGTATGTATTATGTTTTGTTATTATGACTTATGACTTATCATCACTCGTCCAATAATTGTGGTTTTCAAATACGAATATAATAATTTGCTATCGTGATACTTACCGCATTATTGATATTCGTTGGGACTGCTCCCAACACATAAAATACTAAACAATTAAGAGCAAACGACGAATTCAACATATATATATTTTTATTTTTTACAGTCTTTCGGGCAATTATTATTTGTCGGTTGATTGAGCTATGTCGCTGATCGTGTATTGATATATCATTCATACTATGATATTGTCTAATATATTTTTTTTTTTAAATTGGACGTGTTTATACATTATATTAATTAATAATTATATTATACTATTATTATACATAATCACTTTATCAGTTAAATCATATTAATTAATACCTGTGTCTAATACGTTTGATTTTTTATAATCATTTAACATTATATTATTATAATAATATTAATTCAATCTAAACGAATATATCATATTATATTCATATACATATACAAATAAATAATAATTATTATATTTGTATACATTTAAAGAAGTGCATATACTCAAGTGCTCAAAAAACGGTGATATGTTATTAAAAAAATATACACATCCACGGTATTATGTACTATTGGTTTAACATAAATGATGTGTTTTTTTTGTGCCTGTTATCATCACTTTTTAGAGCAAACAATTTGCTCCAATTTTCAACATTGAGTGTGGTTTCTTGTCACAAATCATGTTTGTTATTTTTCAATGGAGGGGGTGGCGTTCAAAGCACTAAATTCCTTATACTCTTCTGAATAATTGAGAGAAAACTAACAAAAATCAGCTGGAAAATGGGAATATTTACGCAACACCTCCAGGGTTCGATTTGTATAATTGATTTTGTTTCTTTGGCATCTTGGCGACTTGATATTTTTACCAAATGTGGTACAATGCTACAATATAATATTATGTGCATCCATTACTGTAATACTGTGACCTACTTAATGGCAGAGTATACACTCGTTACTCGTAACCTACTTTACATAAGAGAGTTTCCCAGTTTTCATTTTTATTTATTTAAAAAGTCAATATTCAAATATATTTTTTTTATACTTTGATTTCGTGACACAATCATTAATCTCGTCGCAGTCGTAATATAAAAGATTTCAGTACGGATGAAAATGATGGATTGGCCGATCGGTTACCAATGTTTAGTCCGATGTTGATTCAAACGGAGGCTTATACGTCACCTATATAATGGCATATTTACGTACAATAATAAAATATTTGTATTGTACCTATCTTTTTTTTTTATTTTTTCTTCAAAAGTAATTGCATTTTATAACGAACTACCATCACAGCTAACAGTAGTCTGTCACAATGCACACTGAATAATAATATAAAAAAAAAAAAATTGACACCGGTCCAATGGGTCATCATTATTATATAGTGATTTACCCAATAGACGGGCAACTGCATCAGCCCGCCTGCGGTCTATGTATTCTGCAATAGGTATGTATATTATATTACTATATTGTAATCTCAACAAGAGACCAAGCTCTATTGTCTGCCGTATTTATTAAGTTTTTACGTTTTGTCATAGGAATTAAAATAAACATTATAACAAATATCACATTTCAGGTCATCATTTTCACCACGCAGTTCTCGTCATCTTAATTGTAGCAAACAAATGTATTTTTTATGGAATTATTATATGCAGGAAGTAGGTATAGGTGGTTATATACAATTATATATTATGTAGATAATTTATGCAGGTATGGCGTTTATTATACACATAATATATTTTATGCAAGTTCATAATTTATTAATAAAGGTAAAATCTAATGATTTAAACAAATTCAATTTAATTTGTCTTTTAGTATGGAATTATTGTAGTTTGATTATTAGAATCGGAACGGAGCACTAGCTGTTAAATATGTATCCATTGATTTTACAATAGTTACGTGTTTAAAAAAAAAAACCAAAAATGCATCTCGTTTTGTTACTGAACAAAAAGCTCAAAGAGTATAGAAACTCTACTTAGAGTGGAATCGGAACACTCTTGCATCTTGCACTTGGCATTCCTAGATCATCATTTATCCATACAGATAATTATTAAAAAAGTCGATAAAACAGCTGCAGAACAATTAAAAATACCTACGCCTAGGTATAAATCTCATAGGAGTGACTAGACTTAATCTCCAGTGGCAGGCTAGATAATGACCGGCGGCTGTGCTACCTTAATGAACCGAAAAAATCCCTATACACCCAAAGCCGGATATTTTTAGAGCCCCCATCTAAATGAAATATTTATATAACTTAAAAAAGTCTGTTTTATACTATTATTTATTTTCAATTAATACTCCACAGTATTTTCAGTACCTACCTTTAAATTTTGAATTTAACTCCAGAAATATTTTCATCTATACAGCCCTTGCTTACACCAACAAACTACAAATTAAAAAATAATAAAACAATTATATTCAATAATAGCTGGTGCCGTCTTCTGAGACTCTGTCTTAAGATGCCTCACTACCACGTCTTTTTTTGTCAAAAACTACTGTTTCTAATTCCAACGATACCTGTCGACAATTATCACGATTTTCATTCTGAAAAAATATTCGGATTGTCCGTAATATATACAAGGGAACGATCGAGCCACATTTTTAATTTTTGTAATTTAAATTGCCTAACCGCTACAATTGACCATCGAGGACGCCACACACACTAATAATCATTTACGACCAACACATAGATATCGGGTGACGACGACGATATTGGGAATTGCCTAAATGATTCTCCTTAAATCTATGCTATAGCGAGGACCCTCAAGTATTCATTGTATAGGTTTTTCCGAAGTCGGGAAATCACTTCGGCAATACATGTTAATAAACAAAATAAAAATAGGATCTACCTAATTTTGTTGAACATCATATCTTTTTAAGTAAATAGTAATTTATAATAATAATGCATCAAAGAATTTTTTCTTTTTTATAAAAGTTGTAGGTAACTAATGACTATCTGACTTAAGGGGCCTCACTACCAAGTCTTTTTTTTGTCAAAAACTACTGTTTCTAATTCCAACGATACGTGTCTACAATTATCACGATTTTCATTCTGAAAAGATATTCTGATTGTCCGTAATATATACAAGGGAACGATCGAGCCACATTTTTAATTTTTGTAATTTAAATTGCAATAAAAATTGTAAAAAAATAAAAAAAAAAAAAGAATTTCCAACTTAAATATTTAATTAACTAAATACAATTTTAAAAATGTGCCTCAATCGATCCCTCGTACATGTTGTGGAAAATAAGAATATTTTGTCAGAATGAAAATTGAGGTAATCGTTGCGACTTACTGTTGGAATTAGAATCGTATGTTTAAGTGAAAAATAAGCATTTTTTCATGATCACAATATTATTATATATTGACATGTGTGTGCGAGTGCGTGCGAGAGCTACAATTGACCCGCATGGACGCCACACACACTAATAATCATTTACGACTAACACATAGATCTCGGGTGGCGACGACGAGATTAGAAATTGCCTAAATGATTCTCCTTAAATCAATGCCATTGCGAGGCCCCTTAACCCTTAACTTGTCAAGCATTAAAATATTAGAATAAAAATTTTAAAGTAGATATTTTCAAACTAATTTAAGGTCGCTGAATTCAAAAATGTTGTCAAAAAAAATATTGGACTTGAAAGTTCAAAGTTATGAATTGTATCTTAAAAGATACATAGCCATAAACCAATACTAATATTCATGTATCTAAAAGGATACATACTTTTAAAATTGATATAAAATAAGCATTATTGCATATATTATTAGAAACTTTACATAAAAGTGATTAACTGAGTTGATTCTAGTAACACATTAAAATTTGATGACATTAAAATCTGAAAATAGAATATTATAAATATTAATATTCGTACCAAAATCATAAACACAAGGTTATTTACGATCGGTCCTTGATATTATTATATTATTGACTCATAATATTCTCGTTAAATATAAGCCAATCAAATGACGAGGACGACTCCCAACCCATTCTGCGTCGACTGAACGAATTTCAGATTGTTGTGATCATACCCTGTTACTTCGCCATGGTTAACACTACTGTATTATTATAAAATATACTAATTACCTTTTATATTTTTCCAGAATCGTTGTAGGTACATAATATAGTAAATTAATGCTCAATGTTTATCTTAAAATGTACATCACAATAAAATATGCGTATGACGAAAAGACTTTGAAATTAATTATTTTCTACATTGTGGGCATCAGTATTTATTTTTAATTACAACTATTGAAAAAAATGTAATTATAATATAATGAATTGCCTTGTTTATTTAAATAACGTTATCTAAATATTATCTTTTGTGCAAGAATTCAATTAAAATATAATACCTATATATATTTAGGTACATATATACATATAAGTATTTTAAAGAAATGTATACTATTGACATAAACACAAGTGCATGTTAAAAAGACCGTTCGATTGAAATTCGTCTCGTATAATTTAGTTGTATTTATGACAGTTGTAGGTATTCGACTATCGTCGACTATTATAATCTAATATTTAGACACCGCGAAAACGATTTCGTCAAATGTCAGTAAAATTGTTAAACTATCCAATAACAAAGACAATGCTGTTTTGCATGTTGACCATTTTTATTTTTAGCTATGATATTACATCGGCAAGCGGTAAGTTATTTTATTAAGTCCACATACTTACCTACGATTAAATTTGTACAACTAGGTCGATATTATTCTAATATGAATGTAATATGTAATTTTTTGAAAAAAAAAAAATTTTAACCATTTAATAATTTTAAGAAGTACACTCCGGCCCACTACAGTAAACTGCGCATCGATATATAGTAATACGCGACGTCTATTTTTTCCCACCATGATGCCATTCCCACTATTCGGCAACGCGCCGATGCCCAGCGAAGGACGCGTTTCTACGTATGAACTCTCGTGGGCCGGAGCTTATAATATATTTGAATTAAATTAAACTAAATGAACTGTTTAACTAATTAACTAAATTAATTAAATTAAATTAAACACGTGAAGTGGAAGAAATAATATAATGTAAAAATATACTGCAAAAATTAATTACATTTTTACTTGGATGTGAAACACATTTGAACGGCGTTATGAAGAAAGCAACCAACCCTCAAAAACATAAATATTGAGCTGTGTATACTACTAGATTGGACATTTTATATTACTCATTTTACCAAATGCAACCAACCCGCAATTCGATAGTAGCGCTATCTATCAATGTTCAAAGAATAGAGCTGAATGAGTTATCTACCAAAAATAATTTTACCCAATACAACCATTACCATAGATTATTATTTATTGGTCGAGCCATACTAAAAAATTATCTCGATACGCTCTTTAATCGAATGTGTAATTAATTTAAAAAAACTCACACAATAAAATGTCCTATTGAGCTAAGATTATTAACACTGCTTAATGAAAAGCAAATTGAATTAAAACTTTAAATTGACTTGTATAATTGCAAATAATAACAATTATTAATTAAGATAACAAGAATCTTGTAATAATATGGTGATTTAAAATAAACTATATATATTCATATAAATAGTCAATATCAATATAAGTCACCTTATGTATTCTCCAACCTGAGATAATTACAGATTTCAGAGTTATTATTATAATAATAATCGAGCACCATTATAACCTTAGCCACATAATTACGTATTTCAATTTAAGCCATACTAAACAAAGTAACAGTGGAGAAAAAATTTAAAGTAGGTAACTAATCAATGAATTATAATTATACATAAACGTACGTATTTTATGATTGTATGTTAAAATAAAAATAATAAACTATGTTTACCAACTATTTGTAGGCATTTATTCCAATACAAGATAATACATTTTGTGTGCGTGGGTGAGTCATTAGATTAGAAGAAGTATTTGGATTGGATAATTTAAATTTTGCCTTTAGGTTTAAATGCTAGTTCCTCTTATAATCTTTTGAAAAAAACAAGAGTATAGTACATTATCTCAATATGAAGTGGGTATAATTAATACTTAGTCATCAAAACAATTTAAATATATAAACACGTGATGTGGGAGAAATATTGTTAAAAATTATACCTAACAAAAATAGAAAATTTTTTCTATGTATTTTTCTACTCTTTAAAATTATTATTTGAACTTAAATTTGAAGTAAAATTAATTATATTTCCGAGGGAGAAAAGATAAAATCAAAAATGGGTTTGACTTGAACTAAATTCACGTAAGTTTCACGCACTTCAATAATAATATGATTGAATATTAAAACATTGTATCCTTACTAAAAATACATTTTTAGAATAAATATTAATCCTGACATTTTTTCAGACTCATACGACGATTACAATGAACTGTTTGAAGATAACATAGACAATTTTTACGACATTGATATTTATCACGAAAACTACGCGAAATACCAAACAGCGAATCATGTATTTTACTGGCTATACACGAGGTTTAATTGTTAAATAGTATAACAACTAATGACTTAATTCGATTTTTAAATACATTTGCCTAATTGAAAGGTTTTTTCTTCAAATTTTAGAGATGATACCGATGGTCAAATGTTAAACAGAAGTGAGCCACACATGATCGAGTCGACGACGTACGATCCAACAAATCCAATTAAAGTAATCGTGCACGGTTGGCTTGGATCTACTCAAGAAAAATCAGGCGTTTGTTCGTACAACGTAAAATGTAAGTTGATAATTTTTCTTATTAAATAGTGATTAGAAAAATAATAGCTGATCCCGTGCACTTCGTTGTCCGGCAACCAATAATTATTATTTTAATGGCTTCCAAACCCATGGCAACAATTTATAAACAAAAATTTCCATCGGAAATCTCAAAATCCCTGTTTGAGCACCTCCCGGAGTTTGTCCTCTCCCTTTTTAAATTAGCCTATTTTCTGCCCAGAGGTCTAATCTATCTATATAAAAATATCTATTCCTTTGCACTTCGTTGCCCGTTAAAATTTCCTACACTATAATATGAATAGTATGTTTTACATATTACCATGGCAACCATTTATACACAACATATTCCATCTGAAATCTCAAAATAAGATATAAATGATTGCCATGGTAATATGGACACACAGACACACAGACAAACAGACAGCTCATGCATTCTTTTTTATATTATATATAGATAATTGTTGACTTTTAATGAATTGCTTATAGGTGGGTAATATACTTATTATTATTAGCCATTAGGATTAGGATTTTACATTTTTTTGGTATGGTTTGTAAGATATTTGTCTTTCTAAGTAGGTACAAAACTTGATTCTGACACCAATGAATTCAAATATAACATTTTTTGGTTTTTATTAATTTTGATAGAAGATTTTTATTTAAACATTATGTGGATTTGGTTATTTTAGATTATAGGTTATTTATGCCATGAGTTCTAAATAACAATTTTGAAAAAATATAATATATTATACAGTATAAAAGAATAAGGTCCTTGCCAATAAAATTTTGATACTAGTTAAAAGTATGATAAAAATTAAGTATGAGAAATATACTTAGGTATGTCAGGAAATTGCCAATAAGATTATTTTGAAAAAAGTTATTGCGTTTCAAAAAAATCAACTCCAAAAAAATAATGATATTTAAACAATTGTAAAAAATAAGCTATTTGACTTAAATAAACGTTTTTATCACAAAAATTTGTCTAAAATTCAATTATTTAAAATAGTTGTATGTTGTCTTGAAATTTATCAAAAATTGGTACTTCTCAGTTATCGTACTCCAATGGCCGATGGATCTGGAATTACGGATTCCGTTATGGTTCTCCCCCCTGTTTTTAAATAATACAATTATCTGGTGTTACAATATTATACCTTCTTTATATTATAGAACAAAGATTTAAAACATAAATTTAACTATTACTATACATATGTATCTATGTAAGTATTACAATAATACTTTTTAAATAAAAATATATGAATGTAAAATAAAAATATTTTTGAAGGAGTAATGAATTTAGCAATGCATATTATAAATTGAGTAAATATTATACAGCAATTACTTGAATGTTTTTGTCATAAAAGTAACACACATACCTAGGTACATCATGTATCGTGTAAGAATCTAACATGGACCTACGAGATCCCGGATACCGGATTGCTATTTATTTTGTTCTTTAGTCAGTCACATGTTGAAATTTAATTTTATTCTGTCATAGAGTACGATAACTGAAAAGTACCAAAATATTGACTTATCTGGTGGTTACACTCAGAAATGTTGCAATGTGATAGTAAATTAAACTTAATATTCAGTAAGAATGTAAGGTATATAACATGAACACATGAGATCATTTCATTTGTGATGAAAAGGAATATAAATGTGATTAAATAAAAATGTATAGAGAATTATTAGTCGTTTACAGATGCACATTTTTAAAAATATTTGCTTAGTGCTTAGAAACTTAGCGCCAGACTGTTATTAGTTATTATACTTTGAGAAAATATTTTACAGCGTATTTTGAAGTGGGAAATTACAATGTGATCTGCGTGGATTGGAAACAATATTCGACCGATATATCATATGCGGTCGCGAAGAAGAGATCCAAATACATTGCTCTGGATATTGTCAAGGTGTTGTTGAAGATTACGTCCAACATGACGTGGGGCTGCTATGACACTATGCATATAATAGGACACAGTATGGGAGCACACATTGCCGGACATGTTGGAAAAAATCTGCCCGGCATTGATCGGATCACAGGTAACCTGCAACGCGATGCATGCTGTGCGTTTAAAATATTTATGCTTTTAAAAAACGAATTCACCGGTTCGATCGATCAATTAATCAATATTGCGTAGGTACTGTTTATATTTGTTCCGTTTGCCACAAACCACGTTGACAGGAGCTAGGTTCTCTTCACACTGTATGATGACATCGATGATTTTGTGCAACCTTTGTTTCAGATCTCGTTAACGGCGTTTCCTAAAAGTTAAGGGGTATCAATACCGACCGTTTCTAAGGAGTTCCACATAGGCAATTTCCTATTGGTGTTATGCGGGTCGTGTAAATGTGTGCGTAGTAAATGATTATAAGTGTGAATGACTGTGTATAAAATATACAGCCTTTACACACTGTAATTACAAATGTGAATTTTAGTGAAACACTGAAACTTAGTGTCGTATTTCCAATAGTATAGCTTACTGAGTGACATTACAGTATGAACGCCTATCATACAAATTGAAGAGAAGAAGTATATTTAGGCTTGTACAGGAGTCGATATTTTTCAATATTTTATTTTCAATGTCCAATATTTAGCTCTAAAACTCGTGAATTTGAATTGTTAAGTTTAGTAAGTAAATATCGAAAATTGACTTTTGCACAGGCATAGATTAACTTCTCTTCTACAATATTGACAATAGGTGTATTTACTCTCAAACCGCTCAATAAACCATATTATTGGAAATTCAAAAAGGAATTTTCATAGAATTTTCCTATACTATTCATACATCATACTCCTTAAAATATACGATAATATATTATATTGTTATAGTTATAAATCATAATTATTCTTGGTTAGCTGAGTTTTCACTATAGACACATGAGCAATTACGCCCTTACCAACTAATGTACATAACCTTTTCACAAATACTGCAAACTGACGACTATTTATTAATTATTCAGGGGTCTTTAAACCACAGCCCTTTTGTCTTTAATTGAGGGACATGAACACATTTTAAGGATAGCATATTTAATCATTTAATACTAGTCTTATTACGATCATGGCACGCGAGATTTTTAAAAAAATAATAGGTGTCCCGCAGGTTAAGGGGTATGAATAGTATTGAAAAAAATCTATGAAAATGTACTTTTGTATTTCCAATAATATGGTTTATTGAGCGGTTTGAAAATAAAAACACCTATTATCAATATTGTAGAAGATAAGTTAATCTGTGCCTGTATAGAAGTCAATTTTTGATATTTGTAATTGCTAAATTCAATAATTCAAATTCAAAAAGTAAAATATTACAGGTTTTAGAGTTAAATATTGGACATTGAAAATAAAATATCGAAAATCGATAGTGTATTTACTTTAGACTCAGAGTTTGTTTAACTAGGCTCTCCCATAATTCATAAGTTTAGTATACTGACGCCGATATTTTATTTATGGTTTCGGTTCCCATACGGCTATACAAATATGAATTTGTAATAACTTTCATATATCATAGAAATATTTTTTAATTTTCTTAAAATTTCGGGGAGGGTGTTCTAAGGACACCCCCCCACCTGCTGCTCTACTGATGTAATTTATGTTTTTATTATCAATTTATTTCAGGGTTAGATCCCGCAAAACCGATGTACGAGAAAAGTGGACCAGATGACAGACTAGATATGACTGACGCGAATTATGTTGATGTAATGCATACCAACGCTGGTCAAAATGGGCTTAACAAATCTATTGGTCATATGGATTACTATCCAAATGGAGGATCAAAGCAACCCGGCTGCGTTGAACGTTCAGATAAACGTGATTAGTTACAATATTAGTCAATATATAAAAAAAGAATATCATAGTTTAATATGAACATCATCGATAGGTCCAGTTTTTTTCACTCATAGGTTTTTTCTTCTTAAAAAATAGGAAAATTTATATTCTCCAGATTGATCGTCAAGTTTTTTTTATACTAAACAAGCTTTATTTTATAATGCATAAAAAGCGTATCTTTTTATAATGGGACTCAACAGTGTTCACTCATTAAACATTAAACATCAATGTTTTTTAAACTTGTGTCCGTGGTGCTCATAGTTACAAATAGTAATCGGTCCACTGTCCAAGACCATTTGTTCGTGTTTATTAGTTTACACGCACAGTTCTATCACCATTATACTCTCTCATGTTATCGTACAAGAAGTCCACCTGATTTATACGTATAATAAGTTGCCTATCTAATTACTAAACAAAGAAAGATGTGGATAAAATATAATATTACGATATACATATTATTATTATCTATTGACTCTCGATACACTTGTAAGTAACTTCGAATTAAATCTTAGTATTTAAATATACTTAAGGTTTTACATTTTAATTATTCTCGACATTTCATTAAAATCACATAAATAAAACTATTTTAAAACAGTTGTTTTCTTACTGAAACGTGATCTTATGATTTTTCGAGTCGATACGTTTTTAGTACAAAATCCATACAGGAAAAACGTCCATGCTTCGTGAAAAAGTCAGATTTCTTAAATGCTTTTTCTATTTGAAAGATGAAAACTTTGAACAAGTCGCATTGGACTCGGAATTACAAAAAATCTATTTTGAGAACTTGGAATAAACGTCTATGTATATTATTATACCACACATTTTTGAGTATTTTTAAATATATTGTAATAATATTATAATCTTTATAAATCAAAGTTCAATGTCACCTAAATAAGGGTTTATATTTAAAAAAAAAAAGATCGAAATCTGAAAATTCTACGAGGCGTTATCGTTTTTTGTTTAAAGTCGATTGAAGAATTGATTTAATACTTTAATCTTATATTTTTTCCGTTGACCTATTGCAGTTTATAGGCTTATTTCTGCCTCGCCACTTAAATGGAAATTGTCTGGAAACTATTGTCCCTTAATGAATAGCACAACGATGCGGTTTAGTTTATTTTACAACACATACATTTCTTAATTAATTAACTAATTCATTTTTGGTCAACTCGGATCAACATTATTCTACAGCCTAGGCTGCGCTTATAATATTATAATAACCGGACATCGAAGCAAGTTAAACATATTAATATAATTATAATAGGTATCACGATTTATACCGTTTAAGTAAAGTATTTACGAATCGTCATCGAAACTCAAACTATTGTTGACTCAATACTACAAGTCTACGATGTAAATTCATATGTTTTTGCTATGCCTATACTTGAAACTTGTTATTTGAAATCCTGTAACCCTACTGATAACTTAAAAAGAACATCTTAGATAATAAACCTTAAGCGTTGCTAAATATTTATTGTGCATTTTTACGAGCATTTCAAAATATTCATGAATCACCTGTATAACTGCTGTGGTCGGAGTGACACAACAACTTATATTTTACCTGCTCAAAATATTCAACGTCAATTTCGGCAAAACTGTTTTCATTACGTGGATTGTTAGGGGTGGGGTTTTCGCCATAGATATAGACAAAGCCCGTTGGACATATTGTAAAATATCGCACCGAGTGGCGAAATACCTAAATCCGATCCTGCACGACGCCATATCGGTGATGGTGAATTGCATATTATTATATTTTAGCGATATACCTATTGTGTGTTTATAGCTGGTGCGTGCAGTCACGTTAGAGCCTATCATTATTACGCACACTCAATATGGTCCAAAGACGATTATATCGCATACAGATGTCCCAGTTGGGCTGACTTTCAAGCGAATCGATGTGTCAATGCTTGCAAAAATCTGATGGGCGAATATTCAGACCGGAAGAAGTACGTGGTCTATTCGTACACATTTTCCAGTCCGTTGTTTAAATATTATGCATTAAAAATATGTTACAACTGTTTTGTTTCAGGGATGACGGCGATTATTATTTAGAAGCACTCTGCCAAGATTAGTAAACTGCACACAAGCGGCGACGCGTACAACTCTGTTTCTAATTTACTGGATAATTTTAAATAATTATTAGTTATAAGTGTCTTTGTTAAACGTATTTGATATGTATATTAACGGTCGGTGGATGTATGATATATTGTATGTAATCTATACTGTCCGTATATCGATACATTTTAGTTTATTTTACTACACATAAATTAGTGATAGCTTTTGATCAACTCGGATCAACATTATTCTATATATAGTCTATTCTACGCTTGTATAGTAACCTAGTCACCGTACATCGAATCAAGTTAAATATATTAATATAATTATAATATCATGATTTATAATGTTAATAAAGTATTTGTGAATCGTGATCGAAACTCAAATTATAATTATCACTGACTCAACAATACAAGTCTAAAATATAAATTCATACATTTTTGCTATGCCTACTTGAAACTTGGTATTTGAAAACCGGTAACCTTGCTGATAATTGATAAAGAACATCTTAGATAATTAACCTTAAGTATTCCTAAACATTTATAAAATGAATGAATTTTTTACACGCATTTCAAACCCATTGTCTTGACAATTACAAATATAACAAAAAAATAATTAGTCAAATAGGTGCATCCAAAACACTTGTGGCCCTTGATTTTTATTTAGAAGATTATAAGAAATTACAGAACAACTATTTATATTATTATAAATAAAATAAAATAAAATAAAAGAAGGTTAGGTATCCAACCTTGACAAGTGGGTACTTTGCTGTACAATAGTTGTCGAGTATATAATTGTAATGGATGCGTATTAAATTTAAATTCGATAACGAATCATCGTTTATACGATAAACAATTCTGATCAAAGCCTGTGAGTCAGCTTAGCACACTTGAATAAATAATCAATTTTAATAATTAAAAAAAAAAAATTAAGAAAATAGTACATTATTCACAGTGTTGGGAATGTTCCTTTTAAAAAGGAACTCGTTCCCGTTCCTCGTTCCTGTTGCGAAGAAGGAATGCGTTTCCGTTCCTTTACACATTTTTCACGATCTAAGTGGTTGTCAATGGTTTTTTTTTGCGAACAACTTTTAAGTCAGAAAACTAACTATTTTCTAAGGAGCACCGATTTTTAACAAAAATGATTTGGTTTATTTGTTATAATTCAAAAATTGTATAGTGAGGACTGGAAACTTTCTCCTGAAAGAAGTTTATTATTTTGACTAAACTCAATCAGATTTTTATTGCTATTGGCTTTGGCATTATCGCCGTAACATCGTTATAGCTACCTCATATTATACCTTGAATGCTAATCTCGAACTAAATTAAAATATACCAAGTACCAACGATACCTAGGTTGTTTGCACGGACTAAGATATATCTTTTAGCGTTTTCCATCTGACTGCACTATAGTGCACACTGGTGTACACTGGTCGACACCTTGAATTTTGGTGGCGTGGAAAATCATCTGATACTGTGTTATGGTATCAGTGTTCGCGTGTAGTGTGCATTTATGTGGTCAGATGGAAAACCCTATTAGTCCGTGGTTGTTTGTTTTACTATTTACTAATGATCGATGAAGTGATACCAAATTACCAACACTAGATATTATATTCTAGAAAATATTATTAGTAAAAATAACTTTTATTTTATTTTCCATTATTTGAGGAGCGAAAATGTTCGTTCAAGTTCCTTAAAAACAGGAACTCTTTCCCGTTCCTCGTTCCAATATTTTAAATAGAACGCGTTCCGTGCTTCGTTCCTATAACGTTTCCTACAGCGTTCCTTTCTAACATTGATTTTTCATGAGCCATGACTATAGGTATAAATAATTCAAAAAGAGTTAAATATTATTGAATATTATAAATTATAAACTAGCTGAATAAAACAGCTTCATGTGCAGTTTTTTTGTGTTATAACTTTTTCCAAAAAATCCGACCGAGAAATGACGTTTTGTATTTTTACATGTCTTTACTTTACATGCGTTTCTACATCATATTGTTTGATACACTATTATCATAGGCGTGCGCAGACCTCTGAATCAGGTAGGTATGACTAAATTCAATCTGATCACCCACCTCCTTGTCATGGTCACACAAGAAAAAAATTATAGACATTTTCACTACAAACTTTTATGTGACCTTTTTGTAGGTTACTGGAAAATGTAAACAATCAGTTTTCATTATTTCGCATATACAAAATTCATCAATATTGATTTAAATCTTAACCAAATATAATCTAACTAGCTGATCCCGTGCACTTCGTCGCCCGTTAAATGGATCAACTCAATACTACCTACTCAAACTTTGTTCAATTCATTAACGTGTATGGTGTTCAAAATTTATCTTATCTTTCCCGTTGCCCTGAATAAAAATTCTGAATCGCAGCAGTACATTATCAGGTAGGCAATCTACCTGCGGTAGATCGCGGACCCCGTGCTGTTTGTACGGAAGTGTATGATTTAACTCTAAAGTATCAAAGTTATACCAAGTTTATTTTGATGTAATACTGTGGATTAATATAATAAATTTAGTTGCTCGTAAAAAATCGCAACTCTTAAAAAAATTATGATTGTTGAACTCCTTTTGGGTGTAATTTTCTGCGGTAAGTGCAACTCTGCCACCCTGGTAAGCATTGTTCAATAATTCGATTTGATGCAAGCTTGTACCTGATCTGCCCGAATAACCAATGGCAACCAATAAATAAATGCTAATTTCTAATGTAGACTGTAACCAATGGCAACTATAAATAAATAAAAATAAAATTTCCAATTTCTATCGTGAATCTCAATGTCCCTGTTTCAGCACCTATTTAAAATGCGAATTTTGGCAAATCCTTTCTTAGCGCACGTCTATATTATAATAGCTATCTGTATGCCAAATTTCAGCCAGATCCGTCCAATGGTTTGAGCTGTGCGTTGATAGCAGTCAATCAGCTTACTGTTTTTTATATACAGATATGGTTGCCATGGTAATATGGACACACACACACACACACACACTGACATACATTCATTTTTATATATATAGATATAGATTGATATGAAATCTTGGTAACCTTAGTAACCATGGCAACCTTGGTAACCATGGTAACATGGACACACAGACACACAGACACACTGACACACTGACATACATTCATTTTTATATATATAGAAGATAAAACAATTGATTAAATAATATTAAAAATTGTCAACTAACATTGATAGGCATTTATTTATTATTATAAATTATCCATGGTAAATCGACTTTAGGGATATTAGTTTATGAGATATAAATATTAAAATTTAGATGAGCGGAGTAGTGGACATACATTTCACGGGGTAATCCCGTAACACTCAACTCCGCTCATCTAAACTTTAAATACTTATAACCCATAGACTGCACGAGTCACGAACTAATTTCGATTTTTATACATCGAAATACTTAAAAAAATATTATACTTTGGAATATGAAATTAAGACTCTATGCTGTAAAAAAAAAAAAAAAATTAGAAGCATAATTTTTTAAAAACAAAGTGGTTTTGTAAACGACTCGAAACTATTTAAAAAAATATTTTCAAAAACAATTGCACTTTTTGAAATAATAAGTGTTCAATTTTAAATAAATCATCCTGTCTCTCGGGTAAACACAAAGTTTAAAAACTAAATGGGATATACCTATTTTTAGTCATGTCTTCATAAGGTACTGATGTATACCTATATCGGTTTGAGTGGACCTATCTCAGTTTTAGCGTATTTCACAATATTGTTGTCAGTGTACTTATAAGTAAGCTATAGCTTTGAGAAATAATTCGAAATAGACCGACAACCGAAAGCCGTGGATTAGATTTAGGACTTGATATATTTTACAGCATTTCTGGATTATCCAAGTGACCAAGTGATATCCAGTCTTCGTCCGCATCATTGTTTTGTAAGGATAGTTTGTATCGTATATTATTTAGGTTTTATAAATTTTATTGTTTTAAGCATAAGGCGGCGGCCCGTCCTATGATCACATATATTTTTAAAAATGAAGTCAATTAAAATTAAACGCATTAGTAATTAGTATAATATAAATTTATCGTGATTGAATAAAATTGCTTTTAAATAAATAGGTAAGTGCTATATTGACATGATCATAAGTATGTGTTAATTAAAGTATATAATCATCATTCGATAGAAATCAGTGTTGTTCGTTAGTGGTTTTTGTGACAGTTACATTCAATAGTTGACTATAATATTTTCAAATTTGAAAAATAAGTTTACAGAAATGTTTGATTTTTTGAAATATTTTTTTATCAACATTTTGTTGATTGTTTGTGTTTGTGCTCTTGATATTCTATTGGAAAGCGGTGAGTTGTTATTACTAATAATATACAGTGCACGTTTTAATGAAATAAATTAGAAGATATAAAAATTTAATTTTTATCGATTGCGTTGTATAACTTTTAATATTCTACTTCATAAGAATATTATTGCCTGTTATGAAGACTTAATATAATAATTAGGTTAATACCTACTACCTATAGTATGGTTAGGAATTATCAAGTGGCTCCAATTGATAGCGATAATCTTTTTTTTCCAATCTCTAATAATAAGTAATAATACCTAAATAGTTTGCTTAAAAAAAAAAATGTATAATATATGATTTCGTATAGGTACCTACAACAGGTGCAAGTACAATAAACCACATTACAAAGTACAAACACTACAAACGTCTGCATTGAGTATAAAAATAATGCAATACGTAATAATATTCTATTGTATGTATATGAACTTATTAGTTATATTTGTATGTAACATGTATTATGTATTTATGTGATTTTTTAAATTTCTCCTTTATTATTTATGAATTATAGGTATTAATACTATTGACTATTTCCATCAAACTTTTGATGAACAAATTATAAAACCTGCAGAAGGGATTTTGGTTTGAACTAAATTCATAAAAGTTGTTAATTACACTAGCTATTCTAGTTATTATGTATACTCATACTTAATTCAACACACATTTATGTATGATTTTTCAATAGTGCGGTGCGTTCCCTCGCAATTTTAAATTTTTAGTCTATAAAATAACCACATCGGAATGTTTAAAAATATTATTGTGGAATAAATATTAATCTTGAAATCTTTATTCAGATTCAGTCACCGTGTCTAACAGACTTAATGATGGCTATCAAAACATTAACGATATCGACTTAAATGATAAAAATTACGGATTGTACCATACATCGAAACATGTGTTTTACTGGCTTTACACGAGGTTGAATTTTTTAAAAATCTAACAATTTATTTCAATTATCCAATATAAATTCTTAAGAATTTCTTTTTGTGTGTGTTTAAGATATAATACCGAAGGTGAACTTTTAAACAGAAGTGAACCACACTTGATCGAGTCCACAACGTTCAATGCATCGAATCCAATTAAAGTAATAGTGCACGGTTGGCTTGGCAATACTCAAGAAAAAGATAGTCTTTGTATGTCCAACGTCAATTGTAAGTTGGTAATTTTTCTTAATTACGTATTGTTCATTGGTAGTTGGACAAATATTATTTCTAATTATTTACAATGTATACCTGTAGGTTCTAAATAAAATCGATACCAATATCGATGGTTGGAAGAACATTATTATAAATTAAATATTAAGCATTTTTAGATAACGATAATCACATTAATTTATTATAGTTGTACACACCCATTACAAAAACTATTTTTCGTATATAAGACTTATAATTAGGAGTATTTTGGTATCTCCTCTACTTTTTTCTTTTATTTTTCAAATGAATAATCGTTTATAGAGATATAGAACAGCATACCTACGGCATACCTACAGCATACCTATTGGCGGTAGTTGACGGTGTTAAAAAATGATTTATTTCATAAAATATTTTATAGCTTATTTTAAGGTGGGCGAATATAATGTGATTTGTGTGGATTGGAAACAGTATTCGACTGATTTATCATATTCAGTTGCAAGATCACGAGCCAAACACATTGCTCACGATATAGCTAAAATCCTGACCAGGATAACGTATGACTTGACAGAAGGGGTTGAGACTTTGCATTTGATCGGACACAGCATGGGAGCTCATATTGTCGGATTCGTAGGGAAAGAATTGACCAATAAGATTCCTAGAATTACCGGTAAATACTTATCCACCTAACTATAAACGTTTTCTAGCAATGTATTTTCAAAAAAGGATTTTTTTTTAAATAATCAATACATTTAACACAATTGTTTGTATTTTTTTTAAAAATGTATCAAAGGATTGGATCCTGCGAAGCCACAATACGAAAACAAAGGCCCAGCAGACAGACTCTATATTACCGATGCACATTTTGTAGACATCATGCATACTAATAGTGGCAATAATGGGTTTACAAAATCAATCGGCCATATCGATTTCTTCCCAAATGGAGGAAAGAGACAACCCGGTTGCGGATTTTCAGACAAAAGTAATATATTAAAAAATAGGTCCATGGTATAAACAGCATAAAATTAATCTAAATAATAATGTACGTATGTAATTTCTACCACAAGCCACCTGGGAAGTTGAAAATAGAACAATTTTTAATGCTCCAAAAGATGATACATACAAAAAAATCATATAATTGTACATATTATCTATTATATAACTAATACATTTGTCTTTATTTGCTGCTCTACTCAGTTCAGATCTAAAATATACCCTAAACGACAATTTAATTCAATATTAAAATAATGTTACGACTGTTAACGACCATTCACATAAATATTATAATTGAAAATTAAGTAAAATGAATACCAACTAAATTGAATAATTGTGGTTATTGGTTTATCGAAAATACGTTTGTCATTTAATATTGTTAATCAACTTCTACCGACCATTTTAGATAGTATAGTTTCAAACTTTCAAAGCATACAATATCGGTAATATTATATATTTATTTTGCGATTTTATTCGTTTTTAGCTACTGGTTCGTGTAGTCATATCAAAGCCTATCATTACTACGCACACTCCATTTGGGCCAAAGAAGATTATGTTTCGCTTAAATGTCCCAGTTGGGATGACTATAAAGCGCACAAGTGTGACAACGCCAACAGCACTTTTATGGGCGAGCACGTGGACATAGAGTTCGTATAGTTTGTTGTCGAACGTTTTTATCATAATAAATTACGTAGCGAAGTTAAAATTAATTAAATTAATTGATTTCCTTAGGCAAACCGAAGATTATTATTTGGAAGCGTGGGCAGAAGATTGAAGCCTGAGACCTACGAGGTTGTGAAGAAGTTATACCACTGAATTGATATATATTTGACTTAGTGAAAATTAAAAATCGCGTTCAACGATAGATTTTTATTTGATTCGTGTACTTACTTTTTTAAATTCAGTGCGCTCATGGGAATTTTATTTTTATGTCAATAAGGTTAATATTTATTTATCAGTTAAATTAATTTTTATTTTTAATCAACATGAATTTATATTACTGTATTATTCAAGGGTGGTTTGGGAAAACATTTCGGTGGGGGGAAAATTGTAAGTAGATCAGCACACAGTCAGGAGGTTAATAACCTCTTGGTGCACTCACTTTTATATTATCTGATTTATCTATTAAACTTTTGTTTAAAACATTATTTTCTTAAATATTGTTAGTTGCCAGTCAATACATTGTTAAAATAAATTGTTTAGTGGCTAATATATGTTTATATCTATATATTAATACTCAAGCACTTTTCTTGTCATACCTGCAGCATCTCCACCTATATACACAGAACATATACCTATACTTCGGCCCACGAGAGTCCATAATACGTAAACCTCGCATCGATATAGTAATATGCGACGTCTCAACGTCTGTTTTCTCCCACCATGATGTCATTCCCACTATTCGGCAACATGCAGATGAGCAGAGACGGACGCGTTGGACATATGGACTCTCGTGGGCCGGAGTATAGGGAAAAATATATATTATTGGAAAGGTATTGTAGAGTAGATTTGCATAAAACATTTTTTACACATAATAATATTATGATGACGTTAAGGTGTGTAGGGTAAATTACAAAAACAGGAATGGTGTTGTCACCTATTATGTAAAATATGATAAAAAAAGCGGGAAAGTGGGTAACGCTCTGCCGTAGCTAGTTGTACATTAGGTGTCTAAGGAGTCGATGTAAATTGTAGTGAATGTATTCAATTTGAATTCAATGGTTGTATACGAAAAACGATTCTAAGCGAAGAGGTGGTCTGTCAGCCTATATAATATTACTAAGTGTCTAACTATACTAGATGATATTATTGTAATTGAGGTGTTTCTATGCAAAACGTGTTATCTCCATTTACAATAAAATCGAGTTATACGTCGATTTTTATGGAAAAAATGGCGAGAAATCGATTGAAACTGTTATTTTTTTGTCAAAACGTACTATTTCCCAGCTGAATTTAAGGGGATTCGATCCAGCGTATTTATTTCATGATTTAGACCTAAAAGCCTGACAAAAATACGCCTACTTAGAATTATCAGATTTCAATTCTGTAAAAAGATTCGAGTTCATTGACAATTTTCCTAGGTTATTGTGGGAATCAATTTTCGATATTTTTTTTAGAATTCACGTTAAATCATATATCAATTTCTCAATTTTTTGAAAATTGTTTGTGTCTTTCTTTAAAAAGTTAAACAGTTATTCAAAAATCGACTCCCACAATAACCTAGAAAAAAGAACGATGAATTCAAATATGTTTACAGAACTAAAATCCGATCATTCTAAGTTATCGTATTTTTGTCAGGCTTTTAGGTCTCAATTGATTGAAATTAGTTTCTCGTTGGAACAAATATTTTATTATGTGACATGTGCATGCGGGTGCGAACCACTGATTCCGAACGTATCTACGCACATTAATGATCATTTACTTCGCACACAAACACACTGCGAAACGACTATAATACATCGAATTGCCTATACACGACCCCTTATTAAATCACCGGATCGAATCCCCTTAAGCTTAAAATTTTACTTTTTTTCCAGAACGTGTTATTTCCAATAGATTTTTTTTCCAAAATTTTTTCCTATATCCACTTTTCTTCAAAACGTGCTATTTCCTGTACCAAATCATAGGTCATACTCCTCATTTTTTTCCAAAACGTAGTATATCCATAATTTAATTCATAATACGTGTTATTTCCATTTTACATCAAAACGTGTCGTTACCCATGTTATTGATATAGCAATTAAACTACATTTAATTCAAAACGTGCTAATGCCAAAATGGTTTAATCCTTTAAAATTAAAATTATTTCATTAATTTGTATTAAAATATGATTTTGTTTAGTACAAAACCAACAATTATAAATAGAAAAATTATATGAAAATAAAAATAAAAAATTATATGATAAGCCCATCCATATCCACATGATTGTAATTTCCCGCCAAAGTTCATGATAGCTGCTTTTGGCTTCTTTGTGATAGTACTGAAAGCTGTGTGCCTGTGTTATTGTATTAATATTTAATATTCATAATACCATATGTTATTTCCATGGCAAAAATATAATATACTTTAAAATTTTATTGTATTAATTTTTAACTTTTTTTTTTGTTCATTTTATATTTATTATAAGGAATATTATATAATTTAGTTGTTATCATGATTCATTGCATTTTGATTTAGTGAAGATACTCATTAATTCTTAAATGTTTTTGTTACTTTGATATTAGCAATATTGATACTTGGTAAGTATATTATGATATTTACTTTTTATTATTATACATTAATAATATATATTTAGCATGATCCCATCTTTCTAAAATCTAAACAAAATTGAAATAATGGAAATAATACGTTTTGAAAAAAAAATTTCAAAACAAACTATAACCATATTTTTTTTCAAAAGGTGTCATTTCCGGAAATGACACGTTTTGCACAAAATCAAAAGAAAATAAATTTAAAAAAATGATTAAATAGCTTAATATTTTTTATTTCTCAAACAGTTTCCTTTTCTAAAAATAAATATTTAATTTTTAAAATTTACCCATAAGTCCTAACTTGCATGGTTCGTTTGTAACAGAAAATCACTATTCCTGAAAAGAGCAGTTTTTGGAAATAACACGTTTTGCATAGAAACACCTCATTATTAAAGTAGGTAATTAATTTTACTATCAGTACAACAGTTGTATGTTAAATTAATTTTTTCTAACAATTTGAAAATGTCGTTGAGTGTATAAAATATTATCATAATATACACGAAAAGTTTCATACACCCACGAATAATTTTTTTTAAATTACAACAAAATATCTAAAATCTTGTTTTTAAATTTGTAATTTTGTCTAAATATGAACTTAAAAATGTATATAAAAAAATAACTGTTTATATTTTATACATTTCTTAAGTTTGTTGGTTGCAGCATGAACTATTTATGAGAATCCGTGTCTTAAATTTACCTATAGGCTATAATAGACGAATATTCTGAACGAGCTGTATAATACTTTATAGAAATTAAAAAAAATCGTAATTTGAAATTTGTCTTATGACATAATATTGTTAGCATAATATTAGATAAGCAGAAGACCTGCGATGATAGAGGTGATATCATTGTATATTTATATAATCATTAACCAATGACAATTAACTGATAATATGTAGGTATAATATAATATGTCATATTATTTATTGGTGACTGCAGTCATGGTTAGGTTAACCTAACCATGGTGTATAGATAGATGAGCATCTTGCCTATAGAAATCGCAAAAATAGGTGTTTCGTGGTATTATTTGACGATCGGTATTTCGGGGTTGATGGTAACTCTCCAAAAACCGATAAAATCACATCTTAAACAAATAAACGATTTTTACATCGTCGAGGCACACACACACACACACACACACACACACACACTTACTTATATCTAGTGTTTTTGAGATATGATTCTTCACAAGTGTTCAAGCCGGGCCGCGTGAAGTGTCTCATAAACAGTATACAATATTATCGCACTATTTGACAATAATAAATTGTATTTACAGATAATACTATACTATGTGTATATCATATAAGAAAATTTCCTTTATTTTTATGTTAAAGTGGCTGTGAAATTAAATTCGGTTATAAATTATTACACGCACTATAGTATTTTATATGTTCGAAATATCGTTGTCTAAAAATGATAACGGTATCAAAGTATTTCGCGACCTGGAGCAAGGTTATGCTGTTAGCCATATTTATTCTAAAATATGGCATCGTGTTACAAAGCGGTAAGTACTTTTCATTTATGTCTAGTTGACATTAATATTTTGACGTGCCTTGTTTGAAAACCCTACAGTGTTTTCATCGAAAAAACTCGAAGTTAAAATTGTGCAGTCAAGTCGATGGGTCTTACTACTATGTTTTGATCATATTATTTAAAAAACGGCAGAGAATTGTTTTTGGACTTTTTGAATGAAGATCATTGTAATAATGACCGTTCCGATAACTTATGCTGTAATCGTATCTCATTACCACTGATTTTTTCAATTCTTACATATTATATTACATATATTTTTTTTATGGTCTAAAATATAGGTAATCATGTTTAGCTAACATTGAACCCCGCTCTTATAATAATATCATTTTGTAATAAATATGTTAATAGTTATTAGAAAACGGTTGACATTTGGTACACTATTTTTAAAAATTGTATTTACACCTATCAGTGGATTTATGTATTATTCGAGAAAACATTTCGTACTTAACTGCAGTACGCCTTATATGGCTAAATGGCTCGATAGTATAATATTTTATGTCCTAAAGCTGTGCTCGTATCGGCAAAATTATAGTAGCAGGTAAATTATTGGGGTTTACTTACAAAAAAAAAAAATCAGTATCCCCATCAAGTCTTTTTCTGGCGCTAATTACACGATGACGACGACGAAGGTGACCAAATAAAACATAAAAACTGTACAAAAGTATAGGTACACTAAATAGATTAAAGACCATATATTATGACAAAGTCTTAAGTTTAACAATAAATAGTGAATAATTACAATTTTAATATTCAAAAACAACCATATACGGATTGACCATAAACAAAGGAATTTTCATACGCATAAAAATATTATGAATCTATGAGTGATATATATTGATTAATATAAAATAATATTTAAAGTCAAAACATTTTGTACCATAGAAAATTGCCCTATATGAATTATGTTAATTTTATAACGCTGTTGCTATAATAATTGAGGCTAACGGAGCTTATCGCAGTTAGGTGAATTAGTCAAACCTACTTGTTCGTTTCATTATCTACAGTAAGTATACATAACAATTGTACATATATATATATTATACAGAGTGTATCTTATATTCTTAAGTACGCGTGCTGTTTTTAACTATAAAAGTTCAACATTTTATACATTTTTAACTAAACATATTTATTAAATTCTAAATTTGATACTTTGTCAAAATTAAATTTTAAATGCTTATAAAAAAAAATTGTGCTTATGTATTTTCAATGTTTTTCAACTAATATTGTAAGAATATATCAGGAGCCTTGCATTAATTTTTCAAGCATTTTTACCCAACAATTAAAATGTTATTGATATTTATAGAAAAAAAAAACTAGCCCCCCTCCTAATCACCAACTAGATTAACTTTCCTATCAGAAAAAATACCGTTGAAGAAAATCTAAGCATTTTTACTGTTCTAAAAGGTGATGAGTGATGACAGACACAAAAATAAAAAACATACGTCATTGTAAAATTAATACATTCATTGTAGTAACACTCAGAATTAAAAATTAAAAATTAAAAAAAAAAACATACATCATTGTAAAATCAATACATCCTTCGTTTCACTCAGAATCTAAAATTAGCGTTCAGCAGACTGATTGTATGTTGTTAGTTTTAAAACTATAGACTGAATTTATCAAATATAAAACTCAAATGTTTGAGTGTTATTTTGTCATCTTGTTGGTTATTATTATAATATTTTAATTTTAAGCGAGTTATGAACATTTTTAAATATCAATATATTTATATACTCATAACATGCTTAAAAATTTTAAAAACGTAAAAAACTAATTGAGAGAATACCGATAAATTTCTTACCCATTTAATTTTGTTAATACTTGCAATTCATACTAATATTTGAGCTAAGAATATTAAACTGCAACTATAGCAGTAACTGCTAAAATTAAATGTCAGTACCAATGTTCTGCAACAAGATAGGGAAACCCATGTGTATAAGACGTCCTCATAAGCACAAAGTTATACTGAAAACAAAATCAACCTTATTTTTTTTTTAAATGCTTAAAAATATTTTATCAAACGTCGACAGTTATTTCTTTTAATTAGTTCTAGTAGTGCTTAAATTTTTTTGAAGTGCTTATGGTTGAACATACATAAGTATATTTTTAAAGTCGTAATCTAAGTCTCATTTAGATTAATTATAATTTTTAAGGCTATTTAATACAAAATACTTACTGACTACCCCTTTGTTTTGTTAAAGACAAACAGTAGATATGTTCACCTGCATTGTCGCATCATAAATCGATCACACGGTATAGGTACTCGTTAAATTAACAAAATCATTAATTGATATTTTATTAGTAACTATTTTATAGATTTAACTCAGCTCGATATTTATCTTGAAGATAATTTATCTACCAGATGATAATTAAGGCTTGTATATTCACGAAAAAACGTACAAAATATGTTTATGCAGTCATGCGTTTTAACAACATCATATTTTAATCGTAGAAATTATTACAAATAGTTCTCAAATAATAATTATTGTATGCAATAACATTTAATTGTTTAGAGTCGGCCCACGCCATTGATTATTTGGTCAAAAACCAAGATCCGACGTTCAAAGAAGTATATTTCTTCAATGACAAATATAAGATCTACAATATGTCAAATCGCTTGTTTTATTGGCTCTATACTAGGTAAAGTTTCATAATATGAGTCAAATAACATATTGTTTGATATTTTAAAAAACGTGCCAACGCAGCAATATTCGTGTCTGTGTCATTTATACGTTTCGCATGTTTATTAAATTTCAGAGAACAGCCCAAAGGTCAACTTTTAAACACAAGTGATCCGAACATGATAAAATCGACCAACTTTAGTGTCGAAAATCCGACAAAAATTCTCGTACACGATTGGCTCGGAAGTTTCTACGAAAAAGATTGCTTTTGCGCACACATATTGGAAGGTTTGTGATTACTTCTTTGGCGTATACCTACTGCAGTGGGTATGGTAATTTTTAGTAGGTATAATGTTTTTAAGGAATAAACACAATGGGATTATATTAAATCATAGTAAATAGAACTACATTACAGAGTAATACTTACGGTGAAAACTTTTTTTTCATACTATAAACGACAAATTGTTTTCCACATATTCACTATTGTTCATTAATAAATATTTGATTGCAGCTTATTTACTCGTGGGAGCTTACAACGTGATTTGCGTGGATTGGATGCAGTTCTCTTTTGATATAATGTATGCATCGGCAAAAATCAATGCTAAATACATCGGTTACGATATAGCTAAAGTTTTGAACATTTTATCGAAAGACACGAGTGTAGGGTCTGAAAATATTCACTTGATCGGTCACGGCTTGGGAGCCCATATCGTCGGATACACTGGGAAAAAGTTAAGCGGTAAAATTTCTCGGATTACCGGTAGGTACCTACTTAATGTTTATTTCTTAAGAAATATAACAGTAAAAATATGGTCTAGTACAAGTAGTATACATTTGTTTGTTCACAGTGCGATTTTTTTTTCACCGCGGTAATTTCACAACGTTTAAGCGAGGATGTCCCACTCGAACACATTGATAATACCGTAACACAAATCACTGGGAGATTTCACACTTGTTGTCCACATATTTGCCTCTCACACAAAAATATTTACCTTAGAGCATTTTACGGGGAGATTTCGAATTTTTTGTCCACGAATTCTCCGCTTCAGCAAAATATTTACCGTATTTTAAAATTACAGGACGTTTGTACACTCAAAATCGGTTTTGCACCTTACTCAAAAATATTTACCGCGTACGCAACAATTTTTTTTTCACGAAACCTTATTATAAAACTGAAATAATTATTTCAAGTAAAGAACACTTATTGGTGTGTACACGGTAAATATTTTTGTGTAAGTGGCATAACCAATTTTGAGTGTGCAAACTCCCTGTAATTTTAAAATACGGTTAATATTTTGCGTAAGTCGAGAATTCGTGGCCGAAAAATACGAAATCTCCCTTTAAAATGCTATACGGTAAATATAGTTGTGTGACTGCCAAACGAGTGTGAAGTCTCCCCGTGATTTGTGTTACGGTAAAATCAATGTGTTAGAGGGGGACAACCTCGCTTGAAAGTTGTGAAATTACCGAGGTGAAAAAAAAAAACAGTACTGTAAACATACAAATGTATACTACTAGCATAGAGGTTCCCAAACTTTTCAGGGTATAAAAATGTTGACGACTCAGTTTTTGATTAATAATCAAAATTTTTGAAAAAACTTTTAGTTGAACAGCGTCTTGGTGACACGTCACTGGTACACTTGTAATCGTCGTGGATAACGATCAATGGTAAAACTTAATTCGAACATCAATGTAAGATTTAGTTACACGGAATATACGCAATCATATTTATTTTAATTTATAGGTACATATTATTATAGTATATCTTTTTCCTTTTTTATATTCAAATATTCTAAATAAATCTAATATTAAATATTTTATATTATACAAAAATATAAATATTCCAAAACATTATGTGACCCTGACTGACCCACCAAGAATATAATGGTGGACAAAAAGTGGACCGTGACCCACAGTTTGGGAACCTCTGGCTCTAGTATTTATTGGATAATAACAGACAATTATTTTTTGACTCTGAAAATAGTTCTTAAATCATTATTCTGTTATAAGAATAATATGTATAGTGTTCGTTTATTTTTACAAATACCTACAGCCAATAAACATATATTGTATATTTTAAATATTTATAGTGTGTACCGTTATATTATATAAATATTTGCTGTAATACAATTTCAACAGTTATTTGTTTAACATAATTCTTAAAAATATATAAATCACCTAGAGCAGCGTTTCTCGACCTTATAGTGATCCAAGATTTTTGTCATGACCTTTAGAAGTGACCTATATAATATTCGTCGGCAATCCAGTTTTTGCGACTAATAGGTATAGGGTCGAGAAAAGCAGATTTAGATTTTCTTTAGTTTTGAGTGAACCGTGTGCAGTGCTTTAACGGCGGTGACACTATATTTCTTGAATTTGTCACGTTATTAAACTACCTAATACAGAAGATGTTTTTATTCTGACTGTTTAAGGATTAGATCCTGCTATGCAACTATACGAAAATACTGATCCGAAATACAGGATCAATAAAAATGACGCTACCTTTGTAGACATCATACATACAAACGGAAAAGGTCTCGGGTTGATTGAGCCACTAGGTCATATAGACTTTTACCCGAACGGAGGAAAAAAACAAATGAATTGCAGAATTGCAGATAGAGGTATGTAATTGCTTTTTAAGTAATGGACATGTTAATCATCGGTCCGCTCAGAATCTAAAACGATAATATTTTAATATATGATTAAACGTATAGTAAAAAATAAATGGTTATTGAGAAAAAATCAGTCAACTTAGATAAGTTTCAATTTTGCTGGCATGAATTTAGTAGATATACCAGACTAAAGATGGAGCTTGGTTTTTTTTTCAGTTCTAAAATATTATGATGTCATTTCATCTCAGATCTCATTGTAAAAAATATTGTAACATTGGTATTGCAGTTTTATAAATTTTTTTTATATATTTATCGAGAAAATTTGCAAACTATGTCAAACCAAAACAGTAGAGAATAATGGAGAGCGTATAGCGCCGGCATTGATGAAAAACTCAACCGTTATCGTTTATACACTTACAATATGATTGGCAAATTTTAATCGCAAATAGGTTTTAATATAATACTCACAGATTAGTATGCATTAATATGTATAGGACTATTGTAACAGACAATCTAAACCGTGTAATAATTAATTTGTTGAGATCGTTTCTAGTTACCGGCGGTGCGTGCAGTCACGCCAAAGCTTTCGATTATTTCGCCCTCTCCATTTTGGCTAGAAAAGAATGCAAAGCACTCCAATGCACCAATTGGAGCGATTACGAAGCTGGAGAGTGTGGTGAATTCGCCAAAAGTACATACATGGGTGAACACGTGGACAAAAAGTACGTATCTTTTTTTGATTTTCCAAAAGAAATATTATCCATTATGATATAAAGTCAGTGGCGCCAGTGGTTTTCAACTATATCGCTATGTATGTACGTACCCTATGGCCTATACAATATAATATAATATAATGAGTAATGACTTTTAAGTTTTGAATAGTTAAAACAAATTTATAATTTCTTAAAATTATTGTAGTACAACAATATATTTTCAGCAGCAAAATATCGAAATAAATAGGTAAAAAAAAGTTAAAATAAAAAATTCATATTAATTCGTTAGATATTACGCGTTGATCTGAAATATTAATTTATTCCAATAATCATCAAGTCTGCATATGGGTCTCGAAAAGTTTAAATATATTCACCGAAACGGGTCAAAATAGTATATCGATATTCGAAGACCACTGGATTAGGTATACCGTGTAGTATATATAAATATAGATACCTACCTACCTGTAAACGTCTTACCATATCAGTTTTAATATTTTTTCCAGTCAAACCGGAATTTATTATTTATGAATGTGATTCAACTGCGTGTACCATATCATAATATTATTAGATGGACTTCTCGATTGGCTCGGACGTATTTGTGTAATACGTGAAACGCAATACGCAATACGTGAATATATATTATATATTATACATAGCTGCTGTTAACGAATAGTGTGGTAAACACGTTATTGTTATTTTTATCTGTTAAACTTTAAAGTGTATACTGTATAGTATATTATATATATCAAATGTGAGTTGGAGTATCTCGCGGATCTATCAGACTTATTTGGTTTAGACTGTATAAATTAATCTAGACCTGCACCAACGCATATGAATTTCAAATCCTTTTATTTTTAATCCTTGCGTTTATTTATTAGAAAATAACATATTCACTATCCGTCCTTAATTTTTAATGAATTATAATAATTATAGATAATGATATAGAATTTTAAAATGTATTTTTTTTTTTAATATTTTAAATGTGATGCATTTAATAACCGAAATAAATGCAAGACAAACATGGTTGTTAAATACGATGAGTATACTTAACATGGCAGTGGTATTGTTTTTTTAAGTATTGTATAAAATTGTTAATTTTAGCTTAGAGAGGTATACCTATGATAATTCTGTATTGATAATTAAGGTACATTGTATATTAATAAATTGAATTAATGGTTTAAAATGATTCTGTTACAACTAGTACCTAGGTACATTCCCAGACACGTCACTGATTAGAATTTTATCTACACAATACACGTCATATCAAACGATCGAGGTGAATAAACATATTTTTCTTCTCGCTGACCCTGTATTATAGTTGTAAATCGATAATATTTATAATTTTCTTGTAAAAGTATTAATTTTGTTTTTAAAACTGTACTATATAATATTAATAACCTATTATACATCATTAATTAATATATTGAAACATTTTAAACTAAAAAAACAAATACAACTTTGATGATAATAATATAATATATTATATATAGTCAATATCAATTAATATATTATATATATTATGCTAAAATCAAGAACAAAATCTATAATAATTTTAAAATTAAACATAAGTTAAAATATTTTATACTTTAATAAACAATAATAATATGAGAGTTAGTAGGGTTAATATTAAGCACGAAACTTAAGTTGATATATTACTAGGTAATAGGTATAAATGTTTTAGTTAAAATTAAGAACGACAACGCTTTAACCATTTGTAACAACAATAATTAGGTATTAATGATTTTTTTTATGGACGCAATATGACGTATTCAATATAATAATTATGCTTATTATTACTTTAAAAAGATAAAAAATAATGAATATACATAAATATATATTAATATAATCAATAATAAATTGACAGTAATTTTAAAAGGTACAAATCACACGTGCTCACAATCAATTTGTATTAATATTTTTAAACAATGAACACAGAAAAAAAATATATATAGGTAATTGTTTTCAACTATTCGTTAATAAATTAACGACTATTTTTTTTTCGTACCCTGCACTTTGACAGTCTCGTATTATTATAATATCATTTTAGTTTCATTTTGATTTAACGTCGTATATATCATGATAATTAGAGTGAAAATCTAATAAACAAATTACCGTCAATATTACTATATAATATTATTATTTGCGAACGAGCCACTCTAAATTACCAATAACGATATCAAAAAAATCATCATCGGCGACGGCAGCTGGTACGCTGTAAAAACTAAAAAGTGTTCTCAAAGCAATGCATCGGATGGACGAACTTGGGAAATGTTTAAAGCGTTCGTTTTACATGACAATATTATCTCTCGTGTGTCTAAAATACATTTCGAAAACAGACATAATAATCTAAGGGGATAGGTTAGGCGTTAATCGACGCCGTCGTCGTTATTCGTACATCGAGACGCCTAACCTAACGAGGTATACACCCCGAACAATATTACAACTTAAATATTAAACATTACAACGGTAAATACGAATAATAATATAATATAATGTACCTGATGTCATAGACGATTTAAACTGGGGGTGTGAGTGCGTTTAAAAATAACAGTACATATAATAATAATTACAATAATGATAGTAATAATATAGATTAAGAATGAAAATAATACAAAATAATGACAATTATGATCATAACATTATAGTATTGATCGATATGGGTGATTGTGGTAGGGGCGGGGGAGGGGGACACGTTTTATTGTATGTGGGGTGTGTTTGTGGTGGGGTGGTGGTCATCGGGGTCACTCTATACCGGTGGCGGTCCTCCGGGGTAGCGGAGTAACGGGTAAAGGCTCCAGGCGATGCTGTTGGACTCCATGCAGCTGAACTCCTCGTCAACGATTGGCACCAGAGAGGCGGCGCCCAGGACCAGCAGCATCAGCACCTGGAAAGGCAGGGACGCCCGCATTACCCGGCCGAAGAATCTGTAGCCGCGTCTCAACACCGTCTCATCTCCGCCAACACTGTTGAAAAAACGCGAGGCGCGTGACGTATTATAATAATAAGTCGACTATATTATGTATTTATTACGGTAGGTATTGGTTGGTTAGGTAATACAACATTTTTATCATATTTTTTAAGGTACGAACAATCGTGAGTCGTCAACATGATTCATGTGTATAATATTATAATATATGGCTTTTTATCAGCTCCGGATTTACGGGCAGGGGGGGGAAACACTTGTACACTTAACGCATGAACAAAATAGGAATAATGAATAATATAGCAAAGACCTTCAACAATATTTTTTAATCAAATTTTTCGACAAAATAGGCTGATTTAAAAATGATTGACTAATTTTCTAAAACGAAAGAAAATTCTGTAAAATACAATTAAAATTTATCTGGAACAAGTTCTAGTCATTGAAATTAATCGAGTCTTACTACAAATGTCAATAAATCAAAATGGACTAAAACATTTGAGTTAATTATTACAATGGACTAAAACATTTGAGTTAATTATTACAATAGAATATAACATTGTCATATGTCAAAATTCAAAAGATACAATAAGACGATTTTGTTATAAAAAATCTATGAGAATAATTCTCTGAAAAAATAAAAGGTCATCAGTATAATTCAAAATTAAAATGCATCATTATTAATATCATATTGATATCATAATCATAACCAAATATTTGTATACAAATATTATAGGATATTATAAGTTACCTACCTACTAAGTATCATAATAATATATTATAATATATATATTATGTTTAAAAACATACATCTATGAAAATATGAATTTTTTCTTTATGAGTTTTGGTGTACATTTAGGGTGGGTAGGGAGGGTACGAGAAGTAATAATTTTACACTTTGCTCTGGGTAAAAAAGTCTAAATCCGGCATAGGATATTATTCTTATCTAACACCTACGTTATTTTACACCATAATTGTTATCCATTGGGTACCTACGTTGGGATTAAGAAACAATTTACACTGTTGGCTGTTTACGAATATCCATAAACGCTGACGACTTGAGTTCACACTAAATGGAACTGGAGGATATTTTGATTTTAATCGTTATCGGATCAGAATTGGCAAAATTCGTGTTTTAAATGTATAAAAACGAATTTCTTTAATTCCCATTTTCAACATACCAACTCTGTCCCGGACCATGGTTTTTGGTCAACCACATAATTTAAATACTAGTCAACGATAATCTCTTATAAAAGACACCGACCTGTGTATGAAGATCATGATTGACATAAGTATTGTTTTTCCTGATTATATTATTATCAAGTGCAAATATAAATAAGACGATATATAGGTATACTAAGTACCTATAGGTTAAAAAAATATTATCACCACATGCATAACTAAATCTGTGTAATTTTTTTTATGGTTTTTTGGTTTTTATATTATTTATTATTTTATATTTGTTTATACTATTAATAAAACTGATTGAAAGATCTACTCTCGATTATTATACAACTCAATTTTCCGGACAATAACAACGTAAATGCTGTATATGTAAGAATTCGCAGAATTAATGTGATGCTGGTATACAGTGTAACTAAAACGGAAATAGTTGAAATTAAGAAAATTGGATTGCATCCAAGTTCTAAATTCAGAACGTTTTCATCCCCCCAGAAATAAAGTGTCTATGATATATAGTATAATATACATATAATATACATGTGTTCCTATAAACGTCACATAGGCATAGTCCATAGTGTCTTTCGAGTTAACACGTGTGAACATTTATGAAAAATTGATAAACATTTTAAAATATTCATTGCTCAATAACGAAACTATACAATGCCCAAACGAATCTTGTATATTATATGAGTCATAAGACAATATTTTTTAGTTCGATCTATGTAAGGTCTCAATACAATTAACTGTTAAAAAAATGTATTGGAAATGATTTAGAAAAAATATGTATCCTAAAAATGTAATATGACCATAATAAAATAATTTAAGAATTTTAAACTTGGTATTTGGACTTATAGTTTAACTACCTTCACCTTCTATTAATTGCACCCATGCATAGTAAATAATATAATGTTATAAGTATATCCAAGAATACCTATTTGAATAGGCTAGATACGCATTATTTATATAAATTTTATAATTTGTTTAATTATATTTTATATTTAATATTATTTAGTTTTTCATTAAAAATACACTATAGATAAGCCAAAAATAATAAAAAGTGTCACCGATAAATAATAAATAAGTACTAATAAAAATGTGCAGAGATATTTACTTTGTGTTCGGTTCTTCTTCGTTGGATCGATTCATAGCAGTGCTGGTATCGTCCACCTTTAAAACGGGAACAACAAATTATAAAAAAAAAACTGTGCAGACTAATCAAGACAGTATATGTCGTATGTGTATCAAAAATAATATATATAAATATATATATATATATAAAATACTTTAAAAAATAATAGTAAAATAAACGATAAAAACAACGTTACGGTCTACACAAAAATACTGTATAATATATTATAATTTATTTATAATATTATATATATATACGTACAACAGTAAAATATGTAGATCTCGTCCTATGAAAATATTAATACATATAATGCTATAACAGTCTATTGGCGGTCCGGCGTATGTATTACAAACATAATAAGCAATAATAATATAAGCGAACGTGTGAAAAAACGGGTCCCCGTCGAAATGCGTGTAAATAATTATTGTAAAAATAACGAAATGTCGGTTTTAAAAATAATCATTTACTCATATAACATTATAATCGTATAGTATACAGTAGAATTCGAGAATGAAACGGGAACTGAAAATAATACGAAAGTGACAATAATAATACCGACCGCCACACGGTGGAGCTCTGGTCGGCTGGTGTATACATAACTACCCCTCGAGAGCGAAGAACTAAAATAAATATAGTCGCACAAGTTTTTGAACTGTGCTCGTTCAAAACGAGAATATCATTAAGTACTGCGGTGTATAAAGGAACGAACTATGAAATGGATACAGAAATATCATGGCACCCACCAAACACCCAATTACCGCACGTGGCGAAGAGGTATAATATTATGTAGTACAAATGTTCAAATAGTTTTAAATGGTGATATTCTAACGCGGATAGTTGCAGCATAGCAAGTACGAGAGAGTTATGTAAAAGCTTAAAAAAATGTAAAAATTTCCAAAGAAATTCGGGGCGGAATCAATACCCCCTCACCCGCACACCTATTCTACCTGCGAAAACGCATAGTTCCGCCTCTACAAGTACGTATTATAAGTACTGTAATATTATGTATTACAATAATTATTATTATAATATGCGAAAAGTATGATATTTGGCTCGGGCCTGTTCAACGCGCATCGTACCTGGTGTAGTCTTATGCAAACGCTGTCCGGCGTCATGTCGTAGCCCAAAGTGGTGCCAAGTTTCGTCGTGTAGCTGGCCGTCATGTTTATCAACACCGTGAGACGGGCCCTGAGGTGTGACAGTCTAGCGTGAGAGTCGACGATGGTCTGATCGGATGTGGAGGCTGAGTGCGTCGTGGCGCCAGTCTTTTCATTTGCCTGGCGTAGCCAGTCTGCCGCCTCGAGCAGCGATACCACTCGTGGTTCGCACCTCTCCAGTTCCGTGTGCATGTTCTGACAAGAGAGAAAATAAATATAAGCAAAATAATCCGGTAAAAGGGACGCCGTTTTCTGTATTCGGATTTTTGAATTCAGTTCAATATTTCCAACTTAGGCCATTTGGTGGTTTTTAAACTGCGGGGGAGGGAACAGCAGGTGTAAACACGTGTGTGTAGATTTTGGCAGATTTTCAAGTGGGCACCCGTAGGTATCTGCCATGCCCGGGTGGGGGATGTCGGCACTTGTTCTCCGGACACCGTGACTTGCCCGAAGAAAAATGCCGCCCTCGGCCAAGGTTTTGAACCGGCGTCGGTGCGTGTCTAGGCCACTCCCCCCTCCAATTTTGTATTAATATACCTTAAACTTGTTGAATTTATCCACTATGATAACAGTGTCCTCGGCCAGGTCCACCGGTTCGGTCGTTTTGATCGCTCGTTCCGTCTCGTCTAGCCAATCGACGAGCTCGTCAATAACGCCGTAAAACTCCTCGTTCTGAAATAAACGCGAAATAAGATTTGTAAACTAATTGCACCTTAAATGCAATACTATTAAGACTACGATTATTTCGAGGCTTTATAAGCTGCAATATACTATTACTCATAAGTAGTAGGTAGGTGCGTTTATAATATATTGGATATTCGTTGAATGATATTATTGTCAACGATTCATGTTGAGACAAGATAAAGTACCAATTTCAATATCACATAGGTACGTTAATCAGAGACGTGTTCAGGAATTTTGAATGGTGGGGGGAGGGGTTAAAAAAAAGCAAATTAGAGAAATACAATAGTTATAATTATATGTAAGTACTTATTATATATATGTCAAGTGTCCCACCCCCCTTGAGAAAGCCCCTGCCTGTGAATAATGTTTTTAAATAATACTAAATTAACAATATATTCATACGGTTTTTTATGTTTTTTTTTATCGTTTGGATCGAATAATATTTACGTATAATTGGCATACCATGTATATACCACTTAGATTTAAGATTTAAATAAATAATTACGATTGATACCTCCATAAGTGCAGTTTGCAGTTTGGTCTGCCATTCTGTGCACGCAAAACAGACACGATCCCATCTGGAGTTGGTAGCAGATAAACGCTTTTTGATCTGAGCTGCTCTTTCCGCGTCGTTGCTGTGCTCGGCCAAGTGGTGTCCAATCACGTTCAACGACTGCACGATATTGCGGTGACTGTCCAAGTACAATAGGAGTTCCTGTAAACGAAATAGATCGCGCAATTGTTAATAATTATGCTCCCCATTGTTTCAATCCTCTTGTAGGTATACTACGCGTACCCTATGCTCCTGTATGACGTCTTCTAGTTGTTCGATCTTCGATGGTGGTACCATCGGTTGGACGCTGAGCTTAGCTTCGGTTGACTGTATCCAGTGTTCTAAGCGCCACATGTCGTTTTCAAACTGTGACCAGTTTTGTTCGGAGCACAGTGGACACATCACCGAACTGCTAGTTCTAAAGATAAATATGGTAATTATCAAGATGACCAATTGTGCAAAGTATAGAAACCAAACTGTCCAGATTACTCACTTTGGTTGACCGACTTGCTGCTGTGAACGGAACTTTACAAGAAGTTCCTCGTACTTGGTCAACAACTCTTCAGACCTGACTATGGTTATGTCAGACTCTGACACTCCACACTGTGTTTTTAATATGACGCTGAGATGTTTGATCAAGTCTATGGACATTTGACACGTCGCAATATTTTTCGATAAATTCTTGTCAGATTTTTGTATAGCTAATTCTAACTCGTTTAAGTTGGTATTAGCGTTCGCTATCGCCGTTTGTAATTCGTATAGGAATGAGTCTTTTCTAAGCAATTCGGTAGGAAGAGTGTCGACTTGCACTTGTGAATCTTTGCCAAACTTTAATGTTTCTACTTGAACTTCTTCGTTTACCGACCGCTGTTAGTAAACAATTTAATTAATGATAATTATTTAAAAATTAATTGTTATTTTATCTATTAAATGTTTACCTTCTTTCTACACGAAGTTTCTTGAACACATGTCACCTTCAATTTTTCAATACGATTGTTGATATCCTTCCATAAAAGTTGGTACTCGTCAATCATTTCTTGAATATTTTTTATATCCTCAGGAGTACTATTAGTCATCAATTGCAGACCTAGTGCATCTGCTTTCTCGAGAAGTCCTCCGTATTTTTTTAACTCCATTTCTAATATCTATAAAATAAAATAATTTTATGAATTATGAATTATCATTATACACTCGATGTTTATAATGTGTAATAATATCGTTTCAATTGTTAGTGCATCAATATATTATATTATGTATTATGTATTATTATGAATATGTGGGTACCTGCAAATTTCCAAGGTCTTTCTCCATAATACGAGCACTTCCTTCGTCAGCATTATCACTTTTTTCTAACAACTCGAGTTGAATTAGTTTGGTATCGACTTGGGTCAGGGTCACTACCGCTCTTCCATGTGCATTGACGAAATCTTTCCACAATGTTAACGATTTTTTAAGAGCGATAAGTATCATATCGATTTGTTCCAACAGAGAATTTCGATTTCTACTAATTATTTCTATTTCTTCGTCAATGAACTTTGCAAAATATGTAGAACGAGATATAGATACAGCAAGTTCTAACTTAGAAAACTTGTCTTTTGCTGTTTGTTGTTCCTGCTAATATGATAAATATAATTTGTATAGTATTAGTAATCGAAACTGTTTATAATAAATAACATATTGTAATTTAAGGACTCGTCATTTACTCACTTCAAAATTACTGATTAAGCCAGACAAACTTTTATGTTCTATAAATTTCTTTTTTTTATGTTCTTCAACGGCAATATTTAACCGACTCAGCCATTTGGTTTCTACATCGATTAAACCAAGTATGGTTTGCAGTTCCTCCCATGCGTTTAATACCCGAACACGTTTGTCACTAATTTTATTTTCTAGGTTCTTCCAGCTGAAAATAAGTACATCACCAATGAGTTAAATAGTTACAAAATCACATTGTACTGTAATTATTGCAGTAATTACCTGATCGGTAATGTCTTCGACGGACACTGCAAATCTTGAGTGGTATCAGAATCATTGGTGTTCTTATCAATTTTTAATTGTTCATTACAATTAGCCATTAATTCGTTATATTCTCCTTGTTTTTCTTTATACATATTGCTCAATGCCTTAAAAATTACATTTATAAATATTACAATACATTTATAATTTATAGAATAGGTAGTTTGATAATATAAATAATATTTAAAAACCACCAGAAAATTCCACTGTTTTTTTCAAGTAGACTTTTCCAATTTTATTTGGAGTAAGTTCAATCACAAGTTAAAATGTAAATAATACTTACATCTAAAGATTCCAATTCTTCTTTTAAGTTGTATTCTGAACGATCGTTAAAAACGATTGGGCTGTTTATTTTTGATTCAAAGTCGCTGATCCAAATTTTGAAGATATTGATTTTATCGAATAATTTATTTGTATTCTAAAAATAAATGTTTCATCGAATTACATAATTAAAAAAAATCTATAATTTAAACTTACCAAAATGGTTGTAGGTAATTCGACAGTATATTTGTACAATGAACTATTTAAATTATTCCAGTTTTCATTGATTTCTTTTAAGTTAGATTCAGTTGTTTTTGCTAGTTGAGGATTTAGTTGCGATTCTGCTTTAATTAGTTGACTACCGGCTCCGTTTAACCAATTAAATTCCTTTTGTTTAGAATTAATCTGAGATTCAAATTCAGGTTTCAACACATCAATAGCAAATTGCGGATCTTTCAAGGATTTAGTTAAATTTTTCAACTGAGTTTCGGTATCAACAGCCCAGTTCCTAAATCTAGTGTATCTGTTGGCCAAAAAAATATAATCAATATTAGAAAATACATGTAAATACAACATTATGTTTAAATTACCTATGAGTGAATTCTTGAGGTTTATATAACAAATTGTCTATTTGACATGAATACAAAAACAATTGATATTGTAAATCTTTTTGGTGATATACTAAAAACCTAAGTTTTTGTCCAAATGAACGAATTTCTATAGGATCTAATGAATCTTTTAACTTGTCTCGTATATCAGTAGTAGACGTGAGTTGTGGATCTAATTGTTTCAAACTGTTATTTAATTCCTGTATTTTACTGGACTCTGACTTCAGTTTATCAGATGGCACTATATCCTCGTTAGAACCAAATTCACGTTTCAGTGTATCAAGTTTAGTTTGCACATCTTGCAATACTTGATCTATTTCCACGCTTTGAACGTCAAAAGAGGTGGTAAGTTTTTCTACGTTTTCTAGGTATCCATTCCAAACTTCCAACGATGCCTGAATCTCGTTGACTCGTTGACTAATCGCTATCAGTTCTTTTCTGTAGCCGGTTTCCGTAGGCTTATCACAGAACGCAAAGATGGTATTTTGACGTTTTTCCAAGTCATCGATTTGAGAACGTTCCACAGCCAAATTATTTAGTAGATCCTGAAAAGTCATAGTAAATAATGAAATTAAAATATTCCGAAAACCTATTCTAAACAACTTATAATTTTTTGTATCTCAGTCGGGACAATATTAAGTTTAGAGGTTGTACCTATATACTTACACTTATTTGAGATTTTAGTTGTGGCAGCCTTCTGGTGTTGATGAATTTAAGATTTAAATTTGAATGAACTTTTTCAACCTTCCATAGCCATTCATATACCTTTTTAACATTTGTTCGGTATTCTTTCCAGTGGCTTAGTTTGGTCCACACTTCTTGATGAGTGTTTTCGAGGTCTGTCATTGTTTCATTGTGCAAATCCATCAAAGATGTAAATCTTTCCAATGCTGCTGGCTCAGATATGATGTCTGGCTTATTCATACAATTAGGAATAGTATCCATCTGACTGATCAATACTTCTTGATGTACTTGGCAAAGTCGTTCATGACTTGTTAGTGAATGGTAGTCACCCGGAACAGGAGATTTTAAAAATTCTTGTACATACATCAAATAGTCGTGCCACAGTTCAAATACAGCGACATTGTTTTCGTTTTCAAGTAAGGTACACGATAATCTACGATATTGATTGAAAGTTTCTTTGAATATTTGTTGCCAGAGCTAAAACAAAAAATTAATTTTCATATATATTATTCTATTACAAAGTCTCATCAATTAATCGATTTTACCTGGAATACTTCGATTATAGAGTATGTTCGTTTTTCACTTAGAGGTATTTCAAAGTTATCTATGTCAAAAGATTCGTCCATCTCTTTTTTCGATTTGTTCAAGTCTAATAATTTAGTTCTTAATTCTTTTAGGTTCTCGTCATTGTTTTTGATGGATTTTGATGAGTTCTGAAAAGTTAATTAGTACATTTATAAATTACACTTAATATTATTATTTAAACATTAAATATACATTTGAGTGTTAAATATTGTTGTAGTGTGTATATTATTATCTTTATTTAAGATGAGAATTATAGTAATTACGTTTAAACTTTTATAATACCTAACACAGGAAAGGTGCTAAAAGTTTTTGGAAATTGTTTTTGTTGAAAATAGCATGCCTTTGTTTTTACTTCTAGGAACCATTAAAAACTTTTTATCGGATTATTAGTAAAGAGGGCAAATCAATAAGTAGTAAAGAAACCTATTGTTTTCGTATGTATACCTACTACATTTTCATTAAATATATTTTATAATTTTGTTAAATATTGAAAACGTACTTTTTCGATATCATGCAAAAGTCGTTTCGCATCTTCGATGTCTTCCGACATTTTGTTCTTTTTGTCCGCAACATCACCGAGTGCGGCGAGAACTTTTTGGACTTTCTCTAGTTTCAAACTCAGTTCTTCGATTTCGTTTAGCGGCACGTCATCTGGATTTAGTCCAATGGTTTCGGCCACGTCCGTTATCATGCTCCGTAATTCGACCAGATTTTCTTGTTGCTTATCAATTGACTTTGTCTTATCCGATACATCTTCGGTAGTTTCAATCGACAAAAGTTTACCATTCAACCAATCATTTGTAGATTCTCTTAGTTGTTGATAACTGTGTAGCGTTTTTGATGCCTTTTCATAACGTTCAACCAATTGTTTAACGGCCACACCGGTGTCGTTCCATTGCGTCTGATCGCCGTCAATTATGTCGTCGATTTGCTCTTTGTCTCCTTTTCTACGCAGGGATTCAATGTCAGCCAAAATAGCTTTATTCTCTTTATCGTAAGAGCTGCGTACATCCTATAAATAAAACAATAGTCAGTATTATTATATATACGTATATAGGTTATTGATGTATTATTTTACAAGTATTTTATTCTATTGAACGCACCAATTACTGCTGCTGTTAAATAATTCAAATAAATCATGTAACCAATGCACGCAAATAATTAAATGCTTTAATCATTATAGACATAACTGTATTGTTCATATCTGTATTACAGTCACATTTTGCAACATTAATGCGAACTTATAATAAGATTCCCAGAAGTACTATTACTCAATGAAAGTAACGATGAACATTTAATTAAAATATACACATTACGAGTTTACACAATATTATCGTTTGTCTATTTGAATTCGTAGTTTCTAAAAAAATGGTGACACCGTAGTTGGGTGGACTGAAGCGAGAATCATTAAATATACAGCACACGGAAAATATTTGTATTTAAAAGTAATTAAATATTCATCAAAAATATATACAGCAAATCAGATTTTTCAATCACAGATTTCCCAAATTCTCGATAACTAACGTAAAGTTAGATAAAATCCCACTCTATAGATATACCCACTATATTATAATATCTAGATGTACATAGTATAATTAAATAATAAATGAAACTTTTTGGTATTTGAACGTCCCGTAAATAATAATTAAAAAAAATTTAATTATCATTGCCAAATAAAAATAGCTTGAATCCCAAATCATAAAATTATGTTGTGCAACTGAGTTTGTGTAGATTAAGAAATATTTGGATCTTTTTTATATTTATTTAGTTTATGATATAGTAGTAAGTGCCTACGTTTTTATGACTTAAACAAACTACGAGTTATTTATACAGTTAAATTATACGGCATTGAATAAGTTAAATTCGAAGTGTTATATTATTTGCTATTCATTATGCTGATGTTGTCTAGTATATGATCAGAATGCGTAATATATTAGTGGTCTTCGTGTGTATAATATACTGAAGTTATCATTTCAGCAAATAAATTATATCGTCAACATTCATTATGCAATTGAGTTTATGAAGTGTCGTTAATAGCCAGGTACGGAAAATGAGAGTGTTTAAAAATATGATAATAGGTATACCTAACGGCTCTTAAAGAAAAGTGTCGGTATACATAATTAAAAACAATATCACATTATTTGCTATAGGATTGTTATTATTTATATTTTGTGAACTAAAAAATATACTGTTATTCATTATCAGGTACCCACCTAATATTTAGAACAAATTAATATTAAAAATATACATTGTTAGTAGGTAGGCATTTGAAATTCGACATAAATTAATGTCAATCATTATTTTTAAAAGTAGTTGTGCCGTAATATTTTATATTTTTTTAGACTTTATTGAATACCTATATTATAATCAACTAATTCAACTATTATTCAAATGTATGTTAATTTGAATTTGGTTTTATTATAGAAGCAATAAAATCTTTATAAGAAAATATAAAACAATTATAGTTATTATGGTGACATTTTTTAATTCAATACTACAATATTATTATTAATGTATATATATATGTATATATTTTGTTCAAATAATTTTAAATTGTATACCTACTACAGGTAATGCAGGTATATTTAAGAATTTATTATAAAAAATATGAAAGCTTAATAACAATTGGTTATTTCTTAAATTATGAATTTCATGATTATTAAAAAAAAACAAGTTAATAAATTGATGATTTTGGTTATGTATTTTTACATTTACAATAATATATTGATATTTACATAAGAAGAAAGGCACGCCAGTTAAAATTTCTCTCCATCTTACACACGTGTAATCATAGTTAATACCTCTCACCGTATCGCACTCATTGATTAAATTATTAATGTAATAATGTATTATCTATGACCTATTATAACAATTATAAACAATAACATTATATGTGTTTTGTTGGAAGCTTATTTGATATTTGTAAAAATAGTTGTTTATAATCATGCTTCTTTAAACAGCTACATCAATCAATATTATTTTTTTATGATCAACATTTAACACCACATCTGTAGTAAATAGTTATCAAGTTAGTATGTTAGCTATAAAATGAGCGATTTTTAACCATGATGTAATCAATATCGATTCTTTTTAATGACTTAGGTACCTACTATAAAAAAAAATTACTTCTGTACTTGAAATGAATGTGAAATAATAAGGTTAATGAAAATATAAAAAACTATTAGTGATAATCCTAGCAAAATAAATATTACTTAGTCTCTATGAGACCTTCGAGTTAAATATTTGTTTACATTATATCGGGAATTCCAAAATAAGACAGACCTTCAATTATTAGAGTTTTAAATTTAATTTGTCATTTTATTGTTTTTACAATTTTATCAAGGACTTGAAGCTATATTAATTTTTGTCATCATCAATTTATTTTCAAATATTGGTTATCAAACTTCTTAGGAATATGGTACTTATTATAAGCACCTAAATCCACTTAAAGACTGTTTACCTTTAGGTAATACCATTGGTTTCATATTAAATCCAAAAAATTGGAAGATCCTATATAAAGTGTTAACAGTAGGTCAAAGTTTGAATTATTCATTTTTTAAAAATAAATTTGAATTTTCGATATATTATGGAACCATCTTCATTACGGTTCTTATCGGAATTAAAACTTATCAACGCGTAACTCATCACAATATTATTAATTATATTAATATTTAATTTATTAGTTTCAATTACAAATTTTTTATTTATTACCCATACCTTCCCACAAATATAGGTTATGTGATAACGTTCTGTTGTTAACTGAGTTTGTGAATATAACTATTATGCAATGGGGAGTGTAAAATTACATACAACGTTAATATAAATACGTATGAATAGGAGATTTTGGTCATTCTAGACCAAAGATTTGTAATAGAAGTTATAACTAATATGCGTTTTATAAATATTTTAATCGTTTGATTTTTATGAATAAAATAATTACTATTTACGATGATATAATTTAACCTTATTAAAAACATATTCGATATAATAGAACAACAGCCATATATAAGTCATAACTCATAAATATCAAGTCGACGTTTTAAAAAAGCAACCGGCACTTCTCCCGCTGTCTTACGCAAAATGTTTATATAATATGCACTTTTTTATATTAAGCACCTACATCAGGACGTATAATAATATTATAATGTGTGTATTATACACTTTTGTTTGCTTATACAGATCTATAGTACCTATATAGTTGTAGTCGTGGTGTAACTTTATGCATATAATATGATACCTACTATAAATCCCGTTAAGTTATTTTATTTCTACGACGGAATCCGTCATCGGCTGTTCTCAATAGTTATTATATTTAACGTTATTATTATTGTCGTGTACTGTATTATATTCAACGAGCGCAGTTACCCAAATGTTTTGTCATGCAGCTTTTGGGTGTGCACAGCTGGCGTGAGCGCGAATTCCATACAGCACCACGTCGGCGGCGGCGATCGCGACAACAAATTTAAAAAAAAAATTCGACACGTACAGCGCACACTACAGCCGGCGCGAGACTATCGCGTGCGGCTGGTTGCAGCGTCGTCGTCGTCATAATACTCGGATAAACGACGACGCGATTAACGATGTACGCGGGCATTACGTCGAGAGAGGCCACCCAACCCCCCCTCCCCCCTCCCCATGCGTGTGGGAGCGCAGCGAAGGTATATAATATGAATATTGAAGATACGTTTTCGGGCGTACGCCAATTTTTAAGACCATAGAAGTTCTCAAAAAGTGAATTTCATTGGTCTCGTCCTATCGAATTTTCGAAAATTTCGCATCTCTCAAATATCTAAATGCAATCTAACTCGCTGTGGGTTCCAAACGAACAGCTAAGTCGGTGCGATAATAATACGGAAATTCAATCGTTCGACGACCTGTTCAAATATCATTTATGATTAAATCAGTGGCTGTGAATTTAATGAACTGAGAATCCGCGAAACTATCATCTATGCAATCAAAAAAGAAAATATGCACTAAGAATATTCCAAAACTGCACAATAAACTGTATAACATTTTTTTACAATTGTTATTTATATTTTATACCTATGTATATGGCTTGAAAAGTGTAGTTGAAAGGTAATAAATAAAATAGTAACATAAACAAATAATTATTATAACATGAAAATAAATATAAATAAATGAGCATAACGTAGTATATTGTATATATAAAAAAAAAACGTTTGAAGAATGTGCAATATACGATTTATATTTATATTTTTATACTAAAATGCATCAATGCCCATACATTACAACAAATTTGGCAAAATCAATAATCTTCTTCCACAGAAACGCAATAAAAACAGCATTTACATGAAAAAGGTAAGTAAACTGATGTCTAAAATATACAAAAATATTCAAATAAAGGTTGTATTTAATTTAGCATGGTATGTTTAGTATCGAATTTGCACCTAGCTTATTTTAAATCAGCATTAAATTTATCGACATGAAAAATCATTAAATTGTATAATAGATATATCAAGAATATAACGAGTAAAAAGTTAATTTATATTAACATTTTAACTTAACTAGTTACTTTTGGCTTTCATTAACTTAAGTTAACTTACTACATTTCTTTTTTAATTAACGTGAAATGAACGAATTAATTTTTCATTTTAAGAAATAAGTTAAGTTATTTTATTTTTTATTTTATTAAATTTCAGTATTTCAGTCAATTTCGTTTTCATGTCAAAAAATATTTAACGTGAATCGTTTAAAGTTAAAAATTTATATCATTCGAATCTAACTTATATGGAAACACTGTATAAAGTATAAACACTATAGTCTATAATTTAGTTCTGGCTTAGAAAAAAATGAAGGACACTAGTGTTGTGTAAGCAAATTAACTTTTTTTTAACTTAACAAAAAGTGTGTATTAACTTTTAACTTAACTGAGTTGACTTATAGTTAAATTAACTTTTAACTTTTTGTTGTTGGTGCATATTAACTTAAATTAACAGAGTTAAAAAAAATCATTTACTTGCCCCGCCTCGAGATATACAATATAAGTTAAATCGGTTAATTGAATATAATTTATATAGCATAGGTATATAGTTGCACATAAAGTAGGTATATTGTAATAAATAATTTGGGGAGTTATAGTACCATAGTAGGTTGAATGTTTACTGTTTAATATCCAATTCTAAGTAACTTCGTTAGTTCGTTGGCTAAAATAGTGTTACTCTATACTATTTATTCAACTAAAAAAAAAAGGAGGTGGGACAATCTGAACAATATTATAGTTGCGATACTAAGTCCCTGGCGACCGTACCCCTAAATCAACCACTACGACTATTATCTACAAGTTACAACTATAGTGTGATCGACGAGAGGCACATACTTAGCCCTACGTTATAATATATATTATGTACTCTGCACGGGAACGCGCACCGGAAATAGAACGGTTTTATTTTCGTACGCACATGTCGTTTGGTCTTGGCCGACGTCGGAAGAATGTGCCGTATACGACCGTCGAAAATCGGCGGAATTCTTTGGCCACCGTCGGAAGTCGATAGTCGGAGGAAAACGTCCGCAGAAACGATTCGTTTAGCCGGTATAGAGTTTTTTTTTTTTTTAATGCTTTTTAAACGCCTCCGAGTTTGAAACCACGACCGTGTAATCGATGAGATCGGCCACCGTTATTATTGTTGTGCGCGGGAAATCTCAAAATATTGTGTTTTATAGATATCTCGCACAGTAATGTGATTAAGAGAAATCACTTTGGGTTTACTAATCATGAAACTGCGACTTACAAGAAAAACAAACAACACTAATTTAAACATTATAAATTGTTTATTTGGATACAACTCATGGTTTTAGAAAATCTTCATACCCACGAGTCACCTACCTCGGGCTACCTGTACTCTTGAATAATGAAAATCTATAGGCTACAGCCAAGTCACAGTGACATAAACAAAATATATTTTTAATTAGTTTAACTTTAATACTTAATACCGTTATAATGAGTTCGTAATACATTTTTTTCTATTGATTTATATGATATTTCATTGCGATTCAAAATCGACATTATTTAAATGAAAATTATTTTTACAAGAAAACTCCTATACTATCGTTTTATTTTGTAACACAAATTAAAATCATTTATCAATTCAAACTTATAGTTTATCTATATTGTTAGTTTACATATCTTACAATAAATCATAATCCATGTGTCACAAACGATTAACTAGTATCTTCGACAATCAAATAGTAAACGAATAAAATATGAAATAATTTATCATGAGAATCCATTATTAAAAAATAATAAATTTTAAGCCAAACAAAGATTTGATTAAAACCATCGGCTAATTGCTGGTAAATGTACTCAAACCGAATTTACTCAATCATACTATGTGTCTCATTGTAAATCAAAATATCATAAAATAAAAGAAATATTTACCTTGAGATGCTTCAATATTGTTTCTAAATGTTTGCCCGCCAGCGTGTCTGAGTCCAGTGGAATTATAGTTAAATTGTTTATATGGTTATTTTTTATTCTAATTTTTAGTAACAGCTCGTCGACCATTGTCCAATAGTTGCATTTATTTTCCAAAGTTTTAAGTACACTTTGATGTTTTGTTTTTAATTGTTTATACTGTTTTTCAACTTCATTTACTTCAGATTCCAATGATTTTCTGTCTTTTTTAAAGTACTTAAGACCATCTTTTAATTGTTTTAACTGTTGAGAAATCGATGACAGCGTCTGTTGCATGTTTTTCATATTGTCCGAAACTTGCTGTAAATTTAATAACATGGTTAAGAATTTTGATAAAATAAGTAAATATATAAATTGTACAACTTACATGATACGTTTTGCATATTGCTGTTTCGGAAGTGTGCCTGTCTTTATGTGATTCGTTTTCCAATTCTGACAAAGTGAAATCAGAATTGTTTATGTCGTTAGTTAGCTCGAATAGAGTATTACGCAAAGTTTCAATTTTGCCATTTAAATTCGAATAATCTTTTAGTTGGCTGTTGCATTGACTTTGGATGGCGCTTAACTGTTGGCCACTGTTCTCAAGGCTTTCGATGGCGCTTACTTCGTACGAAACACCCTGGAAACAGAACGAAATAATTCGATTTAATTTAAATTAAATTAAAAATTATTAATTATTCTATACATACTTTGAGTGTCTTGATATGGTCTAATAATGTGTCTTTCGGTTTTTCTAAAGTAGTTTCAAGGTGTTTAAATATTTTTGAAACATCACAGTTATCCACAGTAGACCTTATTTTATGGAGTTTATCTTTTAATGCCTTACATTCTGTCGCAAGTGACCCCATGGTTTCGATTTCACTTTGTCCATCGGAGATAGGCAGAATATCGAGTGATTCATTTAAACTATCAGAACAAGTTCTTATAGATTCTTCTACAATCTCCAACTCGGATCGAGTTATCTAATAAAACATAAATAAATAAATACATACAGCGTGATTATTAATAGTAATGTATTCTTACATTGGTCTCGACGATTTCTCGATTTGGTGTAATATCTTCCAAATTTGATGTAATGCGTGACAAACTCAACTCAACGTTGTTCTTGAGTTCACTGTACTTGTCAAATTGTTTCTTGAACGTTATCAAGCGTATTTCTTTTGCCCTTAAATTATTTTTTAATTTGAATGTATCATTTGTATGCTGTTCACAAACATACAATAGCGGTTTCACATCGATTTGATTTTGGATTTTTTCTATAATGTCCTTCAAATATACAAGTTTGTCGTAATGAATAGCTACATCTGTGATTGTATTCTATAAACAATATGAAAAACAAAATATTATATTAGTCCAACAAATTATAATTATTTGACACAATACTAGATATTTAAAAAAAAAATGTTAAAAAAACAGAATATAATAATTTGCTTTAAATTTTTACTTGTGTGTTAGATAGTGTTTGAACGTAATTTATTGACGTTATCTTCGTGAGGTCAAGAATGGACACTCCAACTTCATCTAACCATTTTTGTTCGGCCGTTAAAATATCTTCTAAACGAGTCCACTCATTCTGAATGGATAGAAGTTTTTTAATGTTTAACTGCGTATTATTCAGTTCCGTTTCCAATTGTTTTATTACGTTTTTATCGGGTTTCTGAGATTCCGATAAAGTCTTTAATTTTATCAGTTTTGTGGTGACGTGGTGATATTTGTCAAGGTCCTCCTAAAACAGTAATATTTCCATAAGTCAACATTACAAATGACTGTAAGTTATTTTAAAGTTCACCATACCAGAATATGTTTGATGTTAAAATATTTAATTGTATTTTCATTAGAATTGTTTATAGGTCCACACACCAATTCTAACTGTTTAGAGTTAAAATTGGTGAAGTTATCTTTTTCGATTTCATCAATAAAAAATTTGGTTGTATTTCCCAATTCTTTATCTAGTTTGATCGCAGTTCTTAAAGATTTATATGTGTCGTCTGGTAATTTATTTTTTGAGTTGCATTTCAGTTTGTAAATACTTATAATATCATATAATTCTTCAATGACTAATTGATTATGAGCGAATAGTATTTCCAATTTTCGAAGTTTTTCCTAAACAATAAAATAAACACAATACATTAGATCAAAATTAACTAAACAAAAATAAAATATTTAATGAATGTATTGAGCATTCTATTTACAACGGTGTATAATGATAGTAAAATCAAAATAATAAATGATAACTAACTTCATATGATAATTTCCCTTTTTTTAATTGTTCAAATTCTGATTTAAATTGATCTATTTTCTTATGAACATTTTCAATTGCAAGTATTTGATTCTGCCAATCCACTAAATCAGCATCATCGTTGAAAGTATCAATTTGACGTCTAACTTCTTTTGTTTTATTTTGGAGTTTTGACATCATCGATTTAATTTGTTCAAATTCATCATTTGAACTTGTATGTTTTTCTTTTATGTTTGATACTTCTTTAATGACTGATTCAATTTGATTTAAAATTGGTTTTGAGTTTATAGGTTCCTCCAAGCAATATTCCAAGTCAGCATCACATAATTTCTAAATAAATATATTAAAACAATAAAATATTATCCTATAGTAGTATAAAACTATGCACCATGACTGAAAAAAACTTTAACTATTATCATAATTTACATTTAAACTATAATATATTTATAGTATAAAATTCAGAAAAACAAAAACTTAGTTTTTAAAGAAAAATATGTAGAATCATTCAATTTATTATCTTATTGCATTCAATTAATCATATCCTTACACACCTCAAATAATTTGGAAATTACAATAATTAACAATTTTAAAATCTTCCTAATATATAATATTCATTTATGTCAATGGTATAATATAAAAATTGTCAATAAAAAGGAAGCTTAAGAAATAATAAACATTACAAAAATAAACAAAACAATCACTAACAAAGTGTGCAATTATAAAACGACAAATTCACAAAATATATATCTCAAAATACTTATAATTCAGTCAAATATAATACAAACATAAAAGCAAAGAAAAAATAATAAAAAAAAGGAGTACTTACTTTATGTTTTGTGAAGTAGAACGTGATAACATCCAATAACTCCCAAATGTCCTCAAAGAATATAGAATACATACTATATTTATTTTTGTTGTCTGATCTCAAAATATTATTTTTAATACTATTAAGGTGATGGGAAGCAATAGACAAGTCATTTAGTTTTATCGTTTTTCCTTTTGGTAATTGATCGTCAACCATTTCCATCACAAAATTCATTCTCCCACTATCACTTATCACCTTCTTTAATACCATTTTCTTTGAACCTGACTTTATTAGAGAGTTTTCAACGGGATCAATAATATTTAGTTTGATAGACTTATGATCATTAACATGAGAAAGGTCACAATAATCCCTTTCAAGTTGAAGAAAAGCATTTCGACTATCAAAAGGCTCAACACTCGACTCTGTTATTTCGTCAGTAACGGGTTCGTCAATTTCCTCTTCTACTACGGACTCTTTTCCGTCGACAATAATTTTTCGCCTAATGATTCTACGCGTTCTTGTAGTTGTTACACTTTCACTTGTATTCTTTACGGTATCGTTGAGTACAGACAACCGTAAGATCTTATCAATTTCTTCGGGATCGATAATATTCTCAATTACTTCCTCACCGTTCCTGATTGTTTTTCTCAAAATACTTTTAACTGGTGCACCATGTTCAGGCTCGTCAATTATCTCTTCTACCTCAATCTCTTTTCCATCGATGATAATGATGCGTCTAACAACCTTTCGTGATTTCCACGTGGAGACCGTACCCGTTTGATTGATCAGCATTTCAGATGTTATAGGCTTAAATATTTCGGTACCATCAGGTTTGTCAATATTTAGCGGCACAATAGATTTTCCTTCCTTAATTGGTGTTTTTGAACTTTGTTCGGATCCAAGAGTATCGATTCCAGAATTATCATCAGTTGTTGGTAAATAATGTACGACGGTGCTCTCCCGTTCTTTTTCAATAAAATCGTTCAATAACGATTTCTTTGTATCGTCTGATTCTAAGGTTTCGGTATCACTCTTGTCTTTTATTATTTTGGTCGTCTTGGACGTAGATATTTTAAGACCTTTACGTAATTTACTTAAAAACGATGGAGAATTAATGTTTGGATTTACAGATTGGTTCGTTTCTACTTCGTCAACATATTCTGTTTCTTGGATTACTTTTCGTTCATCGATGTCCAGATCAGGAATATTTTTGATTGAAACATTAGTTGTTTTGACTCCACCTTCACTGACCGATGGTACATCGGAGTCTTCAACTTGGACGTGACAGTCCAGTTTAGGAATCAATGGAGTTTTGATACCAACACTAGGTACGGAAACCGATGGAATTTCAACGGAAACCTTTTCATTGATGTCGAAATCGATATTAGTAGATCCCTTGGGTGCTTTTCCTTTTTTAATCTTTAATTCAGGTGATTTGATGTCTGTTGTTTTGCCAATTTTAGGAATTTCTGGTGTTTTAATTGTCGAGGTAGCTTTTTCAACATCAAGTTTTCGTGTTTTCAACTCAGGAACATTGATAGATGGTAAATCTGTATCCTTGATTTTTATTTCTTCTTCAACATTAAGTTTAGATAGCTTTTCGATATAAACACTAGGTATAGATACAGATGGAATGTCAACAGAAATCTTATCTTCGACTTTGACATCAAAATCCGGAGTTTGTTTTGATTTTTTATCTTTTTTACTTTTAAATCCTGGTATTTTAATATCTGACAAATCGAATTTTGTTGTCTTGACATCAGTTTTTGGAATTTTAACATCAAGCTTAGGTGTTTTAACCTCAGGTACACTTACAGATGGTAAATCGGTGTCTTTGACTTGGACGTGACCCTCCAGTTTAGGAATCGATGGAATTTTGATATCAACAGTCGGTACGGAAACCGTTTCCTTTATGTCGAATTCGATGTCAGCAGACCCCTTGGGTGCTTTTCCTTTTTTAATCTTTAGCTCGGGAGTTTTCATGTCTGTTGTTATGCCAAATTTAGGAATTTCTGGTGTTGAAATTCCTGCGTTAGGTTTTTCAACATCAAGTTTTGGTGCTTTCAAGTCTGGGACAGTGACAGATGGTAAATCAGTGTCTTTGACTTGGACGTGACCCTCCAGTTTAGAAATTGATGGAGTTTTGATATCAACGCTCGGTACGGAAACCGTTTCCTTTATGTCGAATTCGATATCAGCAGATCCCTTGGGTGCTTTTCCTTTTTTAATCTTTAATTCTGGAGTTTTGATGTCTATTGTTTTGCTAAATTTACTAATTTCCGGTGTTGCAATTCCTGCGTTAGTTTTTTCTACATCAAGTTTTGGAGTTTTCAACTCCGGAACATTGATTGCTGGTAAATCTATGTCCTTGCCTTTTATATCTACTTCAACTTTAGGTTTCGATGGCATTTCGATATCAACACTAGGTATAGATACAGATGGAATGTCAACAGAAATCTTATCTTCGACTTTGACATCGAAATATGGAGTTTGTTTTGATTTTTTTTCTTTTTTACTTTTAAATCCTGGTATTTTAATATTTGACAAATCGAATTTTGTTGTCTTGACATCAGTTTTTGGAATTGTAACATCAAGCTTAGGTGTTTTAACCTCAGGTACACTTACAGATGGTAAATCAGTGTCTTTGACTTGGACGTGACCCTCTAATTTTGGAATCGATGGAGTTTTGAAATCAACAGTCGGTACGGAAACCGTTTCCTTTATGTCGAATTCGATATCAGCAGATCCTTTGGGTGCTTTTCCTTTTTTAATCTTTAATTCTGGAGTTTTGATGTCTGTTGTTATGCCAAATTTAGGAATTTCTGGTATTGAAATTACTGAGGGAGGTTTTTCAACATCAAGTTTCAGTGCTTTCAAGTCTGGTACAGTGACAGATCGTAAATCAGTGTCTTTGACTTGGATATGACCCTCCAGTTTGGGAATTGATGAAATTTTGATATCAACAGTCGGTACGGAAACCGTTTCCTTTATGTCGAATTCAATGTCAGCAGACCCCTTGGGTGCTTTTCCTTTTTTAATCTTTAGCTCGGGTATTTTGATGTCTGTTGTTATGCCAAATTTAGGAATTTCTGGTGTTGAAATTACTGCGGTAGGTTTTTCAACATCAAGCTTTGGTGTTTTAACCTCAGGTACACTTACAGATGGTAAATCGGTGTCTTTGACTTGGACGTGACCCTCCAGTTTAGGAATCGATGGAGTTTTGATATCAACGCTCGGTACGGAAACCGTTTCCTTTATGTCGAATTCGATATCAGCAGATCCCTTGGGTGACTTTCCTTTTTTAATCTTTGATTCTGGAGTTTTGATGTCTGTTGTTATGCCAAGTTTAGGAATTTCTGGTTTTTTAATTCCCGACTTAGCTTTTTCACCATCAAGTTTTCGTGCTTTCACCTCAGGAATTTTGATGGATGGTAAATCTATGTCCTTGCCTTTTATTTCTACTTCAACTTTAGGTTTCGATGGCATTTCGATATCAACACTAGGTATAGATAAAGATGGAATGTCAACAGAAATCGTATCTTTGACTTTGCCTTCGAAATCCGGAGTTTGTTTTGATTTTTTATCTTTTTTACTTTTAAATCCTGGTATTTTAATATCTGACAAATCGAATTTTGTTGTCTTGACATCAGTTCTTGGAATTTTAACATCAAGCTTAGGTGTTTTAACCTCAGGTACACTTACAGATGGTAAATCGGTGTCTTTGACTTGGACGTGACCCTCCAGTTTAGGAATCGATGGAGTTTTGATATCAACGCTCGGTACGGAAACCGTTTCCTTTATGTCGAATTCAATATCAGCAGATCCCTTGGGTGCTTTTCCTTTTTTAATCTTTGATTCTGGAGTTTTGATGTCTGTTGTTATGCCAAGTTTAGGAATTTCTGGTTTTTTAATTCCCGACTTAGCTTTTTCACCATCAAGTTTTCGTGCTTTCACCTCAGGAATTTTGATGGATGGTAAATCTGTTTTTTTGACTTTTATTTCTCCTTCAACCTTAGGTTTCTTTGGCATTTCCATTTCGACACTAGGTGTTGCAATCGATTTTCCAACAGCTATATTCTCTTTTATGTCATAGTCAATATTGGTCGAATCTTTTTTAAATTTGATGTCCGGTACCTGTATGTCTGTTCGTTTAATATCATGTTTATTATCGATTTCGGAAGTTACCGATGTAGACAGTTTTTTGCTATCGATATTTATATTGAAATCTGCAGTTTTACCTGGTGGGAATTCACTGGAGTCTTTCAATTCGTGTAATTCGTCTATTGTGTGCTCGTCTACTGGTTCATCTACAATTTCCTCTACCACTTTTTCTTTTCCGTCTACTATTTTTATGCGCTTTATTATTTTTCGTATCCTTTTAATTGTACGAGTCGTTACCGTTTGGGTCTTATCATTTTCTATGTCATCAAACTCTAATGGCTTTTCAAATATTTCAACTGTTTTCCCGTTATCTTTTTGTATCTGACTCATATCCGTAATATCACATGCATCAGGTTCATTAACTTCCTCCTCTACAAATGTCTCTTTACCGTCGACAATAATTACTCGTCGTATTATTCTTCGTGTTGTTATTGTCGTAATGATGTTATCGGTTTGAGTTTCGTTTATAAATTCAGAATTCCTGTTTGTACTGGTATCATGGGGGTATGTAGTCATGTCGTAACTTTCTTTGTCATCTTTTTTAATTTCACTCTGTAATGATTCAGTAAAACCAAGGTTTTCTGGTCCGTCTACTACCTCCTCTACAACCTTTTCTTTTCCATCCACCATTATTACACGCCTTATAACTCTCCTGGTAATAGTTTTTGTTATTAAATTAGGCTCATTTACCACGTCGCTGTTAGATGTTTGCATAGAAAACGATTTTTGGACATTATCGAGAGTTACTAACTGACCTACTTCATCTAGTCCGTCATTGAACGATTTAAGAATAACCCCGTCTGTTATTTCGTCAGTACCGGGTTCGTCAATTTCCTCTTCTACTACGGACTCTTTTCCGTCGACAATAATTTTTCGCCTAATGATTCTACGCGTTCTTGTAGTTGTTACACTTTCACTTGTATTCTTTACGGTATCGTTGAGTACAGACAACCGTAAGATCTTATCAATTTCTTCGGGATCGATAATATTCTCAATTACTTCCTCACCGTTCCTGATTGTTTTTCTCAAAATACTTTTAACTGGTGCACCATGTTCAGGCTCGTCAATTATCTCTTCTACCTCAATCTCTTTTCCATCGATGATAATGATGCGTCTAACGACCTTTCGTGATTTCCACGTGGAGACCGTACCCGTTTGATTGATCAGCATTTCAGATGTTATAGGCTTAAATATTTCGGTACCATCAGGTTTGTCATTATTTAGCGGCGCAATAGATTTTCCTTCTTTAATTGGTGTTTTTGAACTCTGTTCGGATCCAAGAGTGTCGATTCCAGAATTATCATCAGTTGTTGGTAAATAATGTACAACGGTGCTCTCCCGTTCTTTTTCAATAAAATCGTTCAATAACGATTTCTTTGAATCGTTTGATTCTAAGGTTTCAATAGATATGGGATCCGACGGAATTTCAACGGAAACCTTTTTGTTGCTGTTGAATTTTACATCAGGAGATTTCTCGGGTGATTTTGCTTTTTTAATCTTTAACACGGGAGTTTTGATGTCTGATGTAACGCCTAATTTTGGAATTTCTGGTGTTTTAATTTCCATGTCAGATACATTTTTCTTATTAAGCTCTGCTGCTGGAACTTTTACATTGTTTGATGATAACTTCATGCCTTGTTCATCGGCGTTAAGTAATTCGTTCTCCTTGATTTGTAGAACTGCTTCAATAAATGGTATTGACGATGTTTTTGGGTCAAATGGGTCAGTTGGTACAGAGACTGACGGAATGTCAACAGAATTCTTATCTTCGACTTTGATATCGAAATCCGGAGTTTGTATTGATTTTTTATCTTTTCTACTTTTAAATCCTGGAATTTTAATATCTGACAAATCGAACTTTGTTGTCTTGACATCAGTTTTTGGAATTTTAACATCAAGCTTAGGTGTTTTAACCTCAGGTACACTTACAGATGGTAAATCGGTGTCTTTGACTTGGACGTGACCCTCTAATTTTGGAATCGATGGAGTTTTGAAATCAACAGTCGGTACGGAAACCGTTTCCTTTATGTCGAATTCGATGTCAGCAGATCCTTTGGGTGCTTTTCCTTTTTTAAACTTTAATTCTAGAGTTTTGAAGTCTGTTGTTATGCCAAATTTAGGAATTTCTGGTGTTGAAATTCCTGCGTTAGGTTTTTCAACATCAAGTTTCAGTGCTTTCAAGTCTGGTACAGTGACAGATCGTAAATCAGTGTCTTTGACTTGGATATGACCCTCCAGTTTGGGAATTGATGGAATTTTGATATCAACAGTCGGTACGGAAACCGTTTCCTTTATGTCGAATTCAATGTCAGCAGACCCCTTGGGTGCTTTTCCTTTTTTAATCTTTAGCTCGGGAGTTTTCATGTCTGTTGTTATGCCAAATTTAGGAATTTCTTGTGTTGAAATTACTGCGGTAGGTTTTTCAACATCAAGCTTTGGTGTTTTAACCTCAGGTACACTTACAGATGGTATATCGGTGTCTTTGACTTGGACGTGACCCTCCAGTTTAGGAATTGATGGAGTTTTGATATCAACGCTCGGTACGGAAACCGTTTCTTTTATGTCGAATTCGATATCAGCAGATCCCTTGGGTGCTTTTCCTTTTTTAATCTTTAATTCTGGAGTTTTGATGTCTATTGTTTTGCTAAATTTACTAATTTCCGGTGTTGCAATCCCTGCGTTAGTTTTTTCTACATCAAGTTTTGGAGTTTTCAACTCCGGAACATTGATTGCTGGTAAATCTATGTCCTTGCCTTTTATTTCTACTTCAACTTTAGGCTTCGATGGCATTTCGATATCAACACTAGGTGTAGATACAGATGGAATGTCAACAGAAATCTTTTCTTCGACTTTGACATCGAAATCCGGAGTTTGTTTTGATTTTTTATCTTTTTTACTTTTAAATCCTGGTATTTTAATATCTGACAAATCGAATTTTGTTGTCTTGACATCAGTTTTTGGAATTTTAACGTCAAGCTTAGGTGTTTTAACCTCAGGTACACTTACAGATGGTAAATCGGTGTCTTTGACTTGGACGTGACCCTCCAGTTTAGGAATCGATGGAGTTTTGATATCAACGCTCGGTACGGAAACCGTTTCCTTAAGGTCGAATTCGATGTCAGCAGACCCCTTGGGTGCTTTTCCTTTTTTAATCTTTAGCTCGGGAGTTTTCATGTCTGTTGTTATGCCAAATTTAGGAATTTCTGGTGTTGAAATTCCTGTGTTAAGTTTTTCAACATCAAGTTTTGGTGCTTTCAAGTCTGGGACTGTGACAGATGGTAAATCAGTGTGTTTGACTTGGACGTGACCCTCCAGTTTAGGAATTGATGGAGTTTTGATATCAACGCTCGGTACGGAAACCGTTTCTTTTATGTCGAATTCGATATCAGCAGATCCCTTGGGTGCTTTTCCTTTTTTAATCTTTAATTCTGGAGTTTTGATGTCTATTGTTTTGCTAAATTTACTAATTTCCGGTGTTGCAATTCCTGCGTTAGTTTTTTCTACATCAAGTTTTGGAGTTTTCAACTCCGGAACATTGATTGCTGGTAAATCTATGTCCTTGACTTTTATATCTACTTCAACTTTAGGTTTCGATGACATTTCGATATCAACACTAGGTATAGATACAGCTGGAATGTCAACAGAAATCTTATCTTCGACTTTGACATCGAAATCCGGAGTTTGTTTTGATTTTTTATCTTTTTTACTTTTAAATCCTGGTATTTTAATATCTGACAAATCGAATTTTGTTGTCTTGACATCAGTTTTTGGAATTTTAACATCAAGCTTAGGTGTTTTAACCTCAGGTACACTTACAGATGGTAAATCGGTGTCTTTGACTTGGACGTGACCCTCCAGTTTAGCAATCGATGGAGTTTTGATATCAACGCTCGGTACGGAAACCGTTTCTTTTATGTCGAATTCGATATCAGCAGATCCCTTTGGTGCTTTTCCTTTTTTAATCTTTAATTCTGGAGTTTTGATGTCTATTGTTTTGCTAAATTTACTAATTTCCGGTGTTGCAATCCCTGCGTTAGTTTTTTCTACATCAAGTTTTGGAGTTTTCAACTCCGGAACATTGATTGCTGGTAAATCTATGTCCTTGCCTTTTATTTCTACTTCAACTTTAGGCTTCGATGGCATTTCGATATCAACACTAGGTGTAGATACAGATGGAATGTCAACAGAAATCTTTTCTTCGACTTTGACATCGAAATCCGGAGTTTGTTTTGATTTTTTATCTTTTTTACTTTTAAATCCTGGTATTTTAATATCTGACAAATCGAATTTTGTTGTCTTGACATCAGTTTTTGGAATTTTAACGTCAAGCTTAGGTGTTTTAACCTCAGGTACACTTACAGATGGTAAATCGGTGTCTTTGACTTGGACGTGACCCTCCAGTTTAGGAATCGATGGAGTTTTGATATCAACGCTCGGTACGGAAACCGTTTCCTTTATGTCGAATTCGATATCAGCAGATCCCTTGGGTGCTTTTCCTTTTTTAACCTTTAATTCTGGAGTTTTGATGTCTATTGTTTTGCTAAATTTACTAATTTCCGGTGTTGCAATTCCTGCGTTAGTTTTTTCTACATCAAGTTTTGGTGCTTTAAAGTCTGGTACAGTGATAGATGGTAAATCAGTGTCTTTGACTTGGATTTGACCCTCTAGTTTGGGAATTGATGGAATTTTGATATCAACAGTCGGCACGGAAACCGTTTCCTTAAGGTCGAATTCGATGTCAGCAGACCCCTTGGGTGCTTTTCCTTTTTTAATCTTTAGCTCGGGAGTTTTCATGTCTGTTGTTATGCCAAATTTAGGAATTTCTGGTGTTGAAATTCCTGTGTTAAGTTTTTCAACATCAAGTTTTGGTGCTTTCAAGTCTGGGACAGTGACAGATGGTAAATCAGTGTCTTTGACTTGGACGTGACCCTCCAGTTTAGGAATTGATGGAGTTTTGATATCAACGCTCGGTACGGAAACCGTTTCTTTTATGTCGAATTCGATATCAGCAGATCCCTTGGGTGCTTTTCCTTTTTTAATCTTTAATTCTGGAGTTTTGATGTCTATTGTTTTGCTAAATTTACTAATTTCCGGTGTTGCAATTCCTGCGTTAGTTTTTTCTACATCAAGTTTTGGAGTTTTCAACTCCGGAACATTGATTGCTGGTAAATCTATGTCCTTGCCTTTTATTTCTACTTCAACTTTAGGTTTCGATGGCATTTCGATATCAACACTAGGTATAGATACAGATGGAATGTCAACAGAAATCGTATCATTGACTTTGCCTTCGAAATCCGGAGTTTGTTTTGATTTTTTATCTTTTTTACTTTTAAATCCTGGTATTTTAATATCTGACAAATCGAATTTTGTTGTCTTGACATCAGTTTTTGGAATTTTAACATCAAGCTTAGGTGTTTTGACCTCAGGTACACTTACAGATGGTAAATCGGTGTCTTTGACTTGGACGTGACCCTCCAGTTCAGGAATCGATGGAGTTTTGATATCAACGCTCGGTACGGAAACCGTTTCTTTTATGTCGAATTCGATATCAGCAGATCCCTTTGGTGCTTTTCCTTTTTTAATCTTTAATTCTGGAGTTTTGATGTCTATTGTTTTGCTAAATTTACTTATTTCCGGTGTTGCAATTCCTGCGTTAGTTTTTTCTACATCAAGTTTTGGTGCTTTAAAGTCTGGTACAGTGATAGATGGTGAATCAGTGTCTTTGACTTGGATTTGACCCTCCAGTTTGGGAATTGATGGAATTTTGATATCAACAGTCGGCACGGAAACCGTTTCCTTAAGGTCGAATTCGATGTCAGCAGACCCCTTGGGTGCTTTTCCTTTTTTAATCTTTAGCTCGGGAGTTTTCATGTCTGTTGTTATGCCAAATTTAGGAATTTCTGGTGTTGAAATTCCTGTGTTAAGTTTTTCAACATCAAGTTTTGGTGCTTTCAAGTCTGGGACAGTGACAGATGGTAAATCAGTGTGTTTGACTTGGACGTGACCCTCCAGTTTAGGAATCGATGGAGTTTTGATATCAACGCTCGGTACGGAAACCGTTTCCTTAAGGTCGAATTCGATGTCAGCAGACCCCTTGGGTGCTTTTCCTTTTTTAATCTTTAGCTCGGGAGTTTTCATGTCTGTTGTTATGCCAAATTTAGGAATTTCTGGTGTTGAAATTCCTGTGTTAAGTTTTTCAACATCAAGTTTTGGTGCTTTCAAGTCTGGGACAGTGACAGATGGTAAATCAGTGTGTTTGACTCGGACATGACCCTCCAGTTTAGGAATTGATGGAGTTTTGATATCAACGCTCGGTACGGAAACCGTTTCTTTTATGTCGAATTCGATATCAGCAGATCCCTTGGGTGCTTTTCCTTTTTTAATCTTTAATTCTGGAGTTTTGATGTCTATTGTTTTGCTAAATTTACTAATTTCCGGTGTTGCAATTCCTGCGTTAGTTTTTTCTACATCAAGTTTTGGAGTTTTCAACTCCGGAACATTGATTGCTGGTAAATCTATGTCCTTGCCTTTTATTTCTACTTCAACTTTAGGTTTCGATGGCATTTCGATATCAACACTAGGTATAGATACAGATGGAATGTCAACAGAAATCGTATCATTGACTTTGCCTTCGAAATCCGGAGTTTGTTTTGATTTTTTATCTTTTTTACTTTTAAATCCTGGTATTTTAATATCTGACAAATCGAATTTTGTTGTCTTGACATCAGTTTTTGGAATTTTAACATCAAGCTTAGGTGTTTTGACCTCAGGTACACTTACAGATGGTAAATCGGTGTCTTTGACTTGGACGTGACTCTCCAGTTTAGGAATCGATGGAGTTTTGATATCAACGCTCGGTACGGAAACCGTTTCCTTTATGTCGAATTCGATATCAGCAGATCCCTTGGGTGACTTTCCTTTTTTAATCTTTGATTCTGGAGTTTTGATGTCTGTTGTTATTCCAAGTTTAGGAATTTCTGGTTTTTTAATTCCTGACTTAGCTTTTTCACCATCAAGTTTTCGTGCTTTCACCTCAGGAATTTTGATGGATGGTAAATCTGTTTTTTTGACTTTTATTTCTCCTTCAACCTTAGGTATCTTTGGCATTTCCATTTCGACACTAGGTGTTGCAATCGATTTTCCAACAGCTATATTCTCTTTTATGTCATAGTCAATATTGGTCGAATCTTTTTTAAATTTGATGTCCGGTACCTGTATGTCTGTTCGTTTAATATCATGTTTATTATCGATTTCGGAAGTTACCGATGTAGACAGTTTTTTGCTATCGATATTTATATTGAAATCTGCAGTTTTACCTGGTGGGAATTCACTGGAGTCTTTCAATTCGTGTAATTCGTCTATTGTGTGCTCGTCTACTGGTTCATCTACAATTTCCTCTACCACTTTTTCTTTTCCGTCTACTATTTTTATGCGCTTTATTATTTTTCGTATCCTTTTAATTGTACGAGTCGTTACCGTTTGGGTCTTATCATTTTCTATGTCATCAAACTCTAATGGCTTTTCAAATATTTCAACTGTTTTCCCGTTATCTTTTTGTATCTGACTCATATCCGTAATATCACATGCATCAGGTTCATTAACTTCCTCCTCTACAAATGTCTCTTTACCGTCGACAATAATTACTCGTCGTATTATTCTTCGTGTTGTTATTGTCGTAATGATGTTATCGGTTTGAGTTTCGTTTATAAATTCAGAATTCCTGTTTGTACTGGTATCATGGGGGTATGTAGTCATGTCGTAACTTTCTTTGTCATCTTTTTTAATTTCACTCTGTAATGATTCAGTAAAACCAAGGTTTTCTGGTCCGTCTACTACCTCCTCTACAACCTTTTCTTTTCCATCCACCATTATTACACGCCTTATAACTCTCCTGGTAATAGTTTTTGTTATTAAATTAGGCTCATTTACCACGTCGCTGTTAGATGTTTGCATAGAAAACGATTTTTGGACATTATCGAGAGTTACTAACTGACCTACTTCATCTAGTCCGTCATTGAACGATTTAAGAATAACCCCGTCTGTTATTTCGTCAGTACCGGGTTCGTCAATTTCCTCTTCTACTACGGACTCTTTTCCGTCGACAATAATTTTTCGCCTAATGATTCTACGCGTTCTTGTAGTTGTTACACTTTCACTTGTATTCTTTACGGTATCGTTGAGTACAGACAACCGTAAGATCTTATCAATTTCTTCGGGATCGATAATATTCTCAATTACTTCCTCACCGTTCCTGATTGTTTTTCTCAAAATACTTTTAACTGGTGCACCATGTTCAGGCTCGTCAATTATCTCTTCTACCTCAATCTCTTTTCCATCGATGATAATGATGCGTCTAACGACCTTTCGTGATTTCCACGTGGAGACCGTACCCGTTTGATTGATCAGCATTTCAGATGTTATAGGCTTAAATATTTCGGTACCATCAGGTTTGTCATTATTTAGCGGCGCAATAGATTTTCCTTCTTTAATTGGTGTTTTTGAACTCTGTTCGGATCCAAGAGTGTCGATTCCAGAATTATCATCAGTTGTTGGTAAATAATGTACAACGGTGCTCTCCCGTTCTTTTTCAATAAAATCGTTCAATAACGATTTCTTTGAATCGTTTGATTCTAAGGTTTCAATAGATATGGGATCCGACGGAATTTCAACGGAAACCTTTTTGTTGCTGTTGAATTTTACATCAGGAGATTTCTCGGGTGATTTTGCTTTTTTAATCTTTAACACGGGAGTTTTGATGTCTGATGTAACGCCTAATTTTGGAATTTCTGGTGTTTTAATTTCCATGTCAGATACATTTTTCTTATTAAGCTCTGCTGCTGGAACTTTTACATTGTTTGATGATAACTTCATGCCTTGTTCATCGGCGTTAAGTAATTCGTTCTCTTTGATTTGTAGAACTGCTTCAATAAATGGTATTGACGATGTTTTTGGGTCAAATGGGTCAGTTGGTACAGAGACTGACGGAATGTCAACAGAATTCTTATCTTCGACTTTGATATCGAAATCCGGAGTTTGTATTGATTTTTTATCTTTTGTACTTTTAAATCCTGGAATTTTAATATCTGACAAATCGAACTTTGTTGTCTTGACATCAGTTTTTGGAATTTTAACATCAAGCTTAGGTGTTTTAACCTCAGGTACACTTACAGATGGTAAATCGGTGTCTTTGACTTGGACGTGACCCTCTAATTTTGGAATCGATGGAGTTTTGAAATCAACAGTCGGTACGGAAACCGTTTCCTTTATGTCGAATTCGAAGTCAGCAGATCCTTGGGGTGCTTTTCCTTTTTTAAACTTTAATTCTGGAGTTTTGATGTCTGTTGTTATGCCAAATTTAGGAATTTCTGGTGTTGAAATTCCTGCGTTAGGTTTTTCAACATCAAGTTTCAGTGCTTTCAAGGCTGGTACAGTGACAGATCGTAAATCAGTGTCTTTGACTTGGATATGACCCTCCAGTTTGGGAATTGATGGAATTTTGATATCAACAGTCGGTACGGAAACCGTTTCCTTTATGTCGAATTCAATGTCAGCAGACCCCTTGGGTGCTTTTCCTTTTTTAATCTTTAGCTCGGGAGTTTTCATGTCTGTTGTTATGCCAAATTTAGGAATTTCTGGTGTTGAAATTACTGCGGTAGGTTTTTCAACATCAAGCTTTGGTGTTTTAACCTCAGGTACACTTACAGATGGTATATCGGTGTCTTTGACTTGGACGTGACCCTCCAGTTTAGGAATCGATGGAGTTTTGATATCAACACTCGGTACGGTAACCGTTTCTTTTATGTCGAATTCGATGTCAGCAGATCCCTTGGGTGATTTTCCTTTTTTAATCTTTAATCCTGGAGTTTTGATGTCTGTTGTTATGCCAAGTTTAGGAATTTCTGGTTTTTTAATTCCCGACTTAGCTTTTTCACCATCAAGTTTTCGTGCTTTCACCTCAGGAATTTTGATGGATGGTAAATCTATGTCCTTGCCTTTTATTTCTACTTCACTTTTAGGTTTCGATGGCATTTCGATATCAACACTTGGTATGGATACAGATGGAATGTCAACAGAAATCTTATCTTCGACTTTGACATCGAAATCCGGAGTTTGTTTTGATTTTTTATCTTTTTTACTTTTAAATCCGGGTATTTTAATATCTGACAAATCGAATTTTGTTGTCTTGTCATCAGTTTTTGGAATTTTAACATCAAGCTTAGGTGTTTTAACCTCAGGTACAATTACAGATGGTAAATCGGTGTCTTTGACTTGGACGTGACCCTCCAGTTTAGGAATCGATGGAGTTTTGATATCAACGCTCGGTACGGAAACCGTTTCCTTTATGTCGAATTCGATATCAGCCGATCCCTTGGGTGCTTTTCCTTTTTTAATCTTTAGCTCGGGAATTTTGATGTCTGTTGTTTTGCCAAATTTAGGAATTTCTGGTGTTGAAATTACTGCGGGAGTTTTTTCAACATCAAGTTTCGGTGCTTTAAAGTCTGGTACAGTGATAGATGGTAAATCAGTGTCTTTGACTTGGATTTGACCCTCCAGTTTGGGAATTGATGGAATTTTGATATCAACAGTCGGTACGGAAACCGTTTCCTTAAGGTCGAATTCGATGTCAGCAGACCCCTTGGGTGCTTTTCCTTTTTTAATCTTTAGCTCGGGAGTTTTCATGTCTGTTGTTATGCCAAATTTAGGAATTTCTGGTGTTGAAATTCCTGTGTTAAGTTTTTCAACATCAAGTTTTGGTGCTTTCAAGTCTGTGACAGTGACCGATGGTAAATCGGTGTCTTTGACTTGGACGTGACCCTCCAGTTTAGGAATCGATGGAGTTTTGATATCAACGCTCGGTACGGAAACCGTTTCCTTTATGTCGAATTCGATATCAGCAGATCCCTTGGGTGCTTTTCCTTTTTTAATCTTTAATTCTGGAGTTTTGATGTCTATTGTTTTGCTAAATTTACTAATTTCCGGTGTTGCAATTCCTGCGTTAGTTTTTTCTACATCAAGTTTTGGAGTTTTCAACTCCGGAACATTGATTGCTGGTAAATCTATGTCCTTGCCTTTTATTTCTACTTCAACTTTAGGTTTCGATGGCGTTTCGATATCAACACTAGGTATAGATACAGATGGAATGTCAACAGAAATCGTATCTTTGACTTTGCCTTCGAAATCCGGAGTTTGTTTTGATTTTTTATCTTTTTTACTTTTAAATCCTGGTATTTTAATATCTGACAAATCGAATTTTGTTGTCTTGACATCAGTTTTTGGAATTTTAACATCGAGCTTAGGTGTTTTAACCTCAGGTACACTTACAGATGGTAAATCGGTGTCTTTGACTTGGACGTGACCCTCCAGTTTAGGAATCGATGGAGTTTTGATATCAACGCTCGGTACGGAAACCGTTTCCTGTATGTCGAATTCAATATCAGCAGATCCCTTGGGTGACTTTCCTTTTTTAATCTTTAATTCTGGAGTTTTGATGTCTATTGTTTTGCTAAATTTACTAATTTCCGGTGTTGCAATTCCTGTGTTAGTTTTTTCTACATCAAGTTTTGGAGTTTTCAACTCCGGAACATTGATTGCTGGTAAATCTATGTCCTTGCCTTTTATTTCTACTTCAACTTTAGGTTTCGATGGCATTTCGATATCAACACTAGGTATAGATACAGATGGAATGTCAACAGAAATCGTATCTTTGACTTTGCCTTCGAAATCCGGAGTTTGTTTTGATTTTTTATCTTTTTTACTTTTAAATCCTGGTATTTTAATATCTGACAAATCGAATTTTGTTGTCTTGACATCAGTTTTTGGAATTTTAACATCAAGCTTAGGTGTTTTAACCTCAGGTACACTTACAGATGGTAAATCGGTGTCTTTGACTTGGACGTGACCCTCCAGTTTAGGAATCGATGGAGTTTTGATATCAACGCTCGGTACGGAAACCGTTTCCTTTATGTCGAATTCAATATCAGCAGATCCCTTGGGTGCTTTTCCTTTTTTAATCTTTGATTCTGGAGTTTTGATGTCTGTTGTTATGCCAAGTTTAGGAATTTCTGGTTTTTTAATTCCCGACTTAGCTTTTTCACCATCAAGTTTTCGTGCTTTCACCTCAGGAATTTTGATGGATGGTAAATCTGTTTTTTTTACTTTTATTTCTCCTTCAACCTTAGGTTTCTTTGGCATTTCCATTTCGACACTAGGTGTAGCAATCGATTTTCCAACAGCTATATTCTCTTTTATGTCATAGTCAATATTGGTCGAATCTTTTTTAAATTTGATGTCCGGTACCTGTATGTCTGTTCGTTTAATATCATGTTTATTATCGATTTCGGAAGTTACCGATGTAGACAGTTTTTTGCTATCGATATTTATATTGAAATCTGCAGTTTTACCTGGTGGGAATTCACTGGAGTCTTTCAATTCGTGTAATTCGTCTATTGTGTGCTCGTCTACTGGTTCATCTACAATTTCCTCTACCACTTTTTCTTTTCCGTCTACTATTTTTATGCGCTTTATTATTTTTCGTATCCTTTTAATTGTACGAGTCGTTACCGTTTGGGTCTTATCATTTTCTATGTCATCAAACTCTAATGGCTTTTCAAATATTTCAACTGTTTTCCCGTTATCTTTTTGTATCTGACTCATATCCGTAATATCACATGCATCAGGTTCATTAACTTCCTCCTCTACAAATGTCTCTTTACCGTCGACAATAATTACTCGTCGTATTATTCTTCGTGTTGTTATTGTCGTAATGATGTTATCGGTTTGAGTTTCGTTTATAAATTCAGAATTCCTGTTTGTACCGGTATCATGGGGGTATGTAGTCATGTCGTAACTTTCTTTGTCATCTTTTTTAATTTCACTCTGTAATGATTCAGTAAAACCAAGGTTTTCTGGTCCGTCTACTACCTCCTCTACAACCTTTTCTTTTCCATCCACCATTATTACACGCCTTATAACTCTCCTGGTAATAGTTTTTGTTATTAAATTAGGCTCATTTACCACGTCACTGTTAGATGTTTGCACAGAAAACGATTTTTGGACATTATCGAGAGTTACTAACTGACCTACTTCATCTAGTCCGTCATTGAACGATTTAAGAATAACCCCGTCTGTTATTTCGTCAGTACCGGGTTCGTCAATTTCCTCTTCTACTACGGACTCTTTTCCGTCGACAATAATTTTTCGCCTAATGATTCTACGCGTTCTTGTAGTTGTTACACTTTCACTTGTATTCTTTACGGTATCGTTGAGTACAGACAACCGTAAGATCTTATCAATTTCTTCGGGATCGATAATATTCTCAATTACTTCCTCACCGTTCCTGATTGTTTTTCTCAAAATACTTTTAACTGGTGCACCATGTTCAGGCTCGTCAATTATCTCTTCTACCTCAATCTCTTTTCCATCGATGATAATGATGCGTCTAACGACCTTTCGTGATTTCCACGTGGAGACCGTACCCGTTTGATTGATCAGCATTTCAGATGTTATAGGCTTAAATATTTCGGTACCATCAGGTTTGTCATTATTTAGCGGCGCAATAGATTTTCCTTCTTTAATTGGTGTTTTTGAACTTTGTTCGGATCCAAGAGTGTCGACTCCAGAATTATCATCAGTTGTTGGTAAATAATGTACAACGGTGCTCTCCCGTTCTTTTTCAATAAAATCGTTCAATAACGATTTCGTTGTATCGTCTGATACTAAGTTTTCGGTATCAAACTTGTCTTTTATTTTTTTGGACGAACTCATTTTCAAACCTTTTCGCAATTTACTTAAAAATGATGGAGAATTTGTAATTGGATTTACCAATTGATTTGTTTCTACTTTGTCGACATATTCTGATTCTTGGATTACTTTTCGTTCATCGATGTCTAGATCAGGAATATTTTCGATTGAAACATTTGTTGTTTTGACTCCACCTTCACTGACCGATGGTAAATCGGTGTCTTTGACTTGGACGTGACCCTCCAGTTTAGGAATCGATGGAGTTTTGATATCAACGCTCGGTACGGAAACCGTTTCCTTTATGTCGAATTCGATATCAGCAGATCCCTTGGGTGCTTTTCCTTTTTTAATCTTTAATTCTGGAGTTTTGATGTCTATTGTTTTGCTAAATTTACTAATTTCCGGTGTTGCAATTCCTGCGTTAGTTTTTTCTACATCAAGTTTTGGAGTTTTCAACTCCGGAACATTGATTGCTGGTAAATCTATGTCCTTGCCTTTTATTTCTACTTCAACTTTAGGTTTCGATGGCATTTCGATATCAACACTAGGTATAGATACAGATGGAATGTCAACAGAAATCGTATCTTTGACTTTGCCTTCGAAATCCGGAGTTTGTTTTGATTTTTTATCTTTTTTACTTTTAAATCCTGGTATTTTAATATCTGACAAATCGAATTTTGTTGTCTTGACATCAGTTTTTGGAATTTTAACATCTTGCTTAGGTGTTTTAACCTCAGGTACACTTACAGATGGTAAATCGGTGTCTTTGACTTGGACGTGACCCTCCAGTTTAGGAATCGATGGAGTTTTGATATCAACGCTCGGTACGGAAACCGTTTCCTGTATGTCGAATTCAATATCAGCAGATCCCTTGGGTGACTTTCCTTTTTTAATCTTTAATTCTGGAGTTTTGATGTCTATTGTTTTGCTAAATTTACTAATTTCCGGTGTTGCAATTCCTGTGTTAGTTTTTTCTACATCAAGTTTTGGAGTTTTCAACTCCGGAACATTGATTGCTGGTAAATCTATGTCCTTGCCTTTTATTTCTACTTCAACTTTAGGTTTCGATGGCATTTCGATATCAACACTAGGTATAGATACAGATGGAATGTCAACAGAAATCGTATCTTTGACTTTGCCTTCGAAATCCGGAGTTTGTTTTGATTTTTTATCTTTTTTACTTTTAAATCCTGGTATTTTAATATCTGACAAATCGAATTTTGTTGTCTTGACATCAGTTTTTGGAATTTTAACATCAAGCTTAGGTGTTTTAACCTCAGGTACACTTACAGATGGTAAATCGGTGTCTTTGACTTGGACGTGACCCTCCAGTTTAGGAATCGATGGAGTTTTGATATCAACGCTCGGTACGGAAACCGTTTCCTTTATGTCGAATTCAATATCAGCAGATCCCTTGGGTGCTTTTCCTTTTTTAATCTTTGATTCTGGAGTTTTGATGTCTGTTGTTATGCCAAGTTTAGGAATTTCTGGTTTTTTAATTCCCGACTTAGCTTTTTCACCATCAAGTTTTCGTGCTTTCACCTCAGGAATTTTGATGGATGGTAAATCTGTTTTTTTTACTTTTATTTCTCCTTCAACCTTAGGTTTCTTTGGCATTTCCATTTCGACACTAGGTGTAGCAATCGATTTTCCAACAGCTATATTCTCTTTTATGTCATAGTCAATATTGGTCGAATCTTTTTTAAATTTGATGTCCGGTACCTGTATGTCTGTTCGTTTAATATCATGTTTATTATCGATTTCGGAAGTTACCGATGTAGACAGTTTTTTGCTATCGATATTTATATTGAAATCTGCAGTTTTACCTGGTGGGAATTCACTGGAGTCTTTCAATTCGTGTAATTCGTCTATTGTGTGCTCGTCTACTGGTTCATCTACAATTTCCTCTACCACTTTTTCTTTTCCGTCTACTATTTTTATGCGCTTTATTATTTTTCGTATCCTTTTAATTGTACGAGTCGTTACCGTTTGGGTCTTATCATTTTCTATGTCATCAAACTCTAATGGCTTTTCAAATATTTCAACTGTTTTCCCGTTATCTTTTTGTATCTGACTCATATCCGTAATATCACATGCATCAGGTTCATTAACTTCCTCCTCTACAAATGTCTCTTTACCGTCGACAATAATTACTCGTCGTATTATTCTTCGTGTTGTTATTGTCGTAATGATGTTATCGGTTTGAGTTTCGTTTATAAATTCAGAATTCCTGTTTGTACCGGTATCATGGGGGTATGTAGTCATGTCGTAACTTTCTTTGTCATCTTTTTTAATTTCACTCTGTAATGATTCAGTAAAACCAAGGTTTTCTGGTCCGTCTACTACCTCCTCTACAACCTTTTCTTTTCCATCCACCATTATTACACGCCTTATAACTCTCCTGGTAATAGTTTTTGTTATTAAATTAGGCTCATTTACCACGTCACTGTTAGATGTTTGCACAGAAAACGATTTTTGGACATTATCGAGAGTTACTAACTGACCTACTTCATCTAGTCCGTCATTGAACGATTTAAGAATAACCCCGTCTGTTATTTCGTCAGTACCGGGTTCGTCAATTTCCTCTTCTACTACGGACTCTTTTCCGTCGACAATAATTTTTCGCCTAATGATTCTACGCGTTCTTGTAGTTGTTACACTTTCACTTGTATTCTTTACGGTATCGTTGAGTACAGACAACCGTAAGATCTTATCAATTTCTTCGGGATCGATAATATTCTCAATTACTTCCTCACCGTTCCTGATTGTTTTTCTCAAAATACTTTTAACTGGTGCACCATGTTCAGGCTCGTCAATTATCTCTTCTACCTCAATCTCTTTTCCATCGATGATAATGATGCGTCTAACGACCTTTCGTGATTTCCACGTGGAGACCGTACCCGTTTGATTGATCAGCATTTCAGATGTTATAGGCTTAAATATTTCGGTACCATCAGGTTTGTCATTATTTAGCGGCGCAATAGATTTTCCTTCTTTAATTGGTGTTTTTGAACTTTGTTCGGATCCAAGAGTGTCGACTCCAGAATTATCATCAGTTGTTGGTAAATAATGTACAACGGTGCTCTCCCGTTCTTTTTCAATAAAATCGTTCAATAACGATTTCGTTGTATCGTCTGATACTAAGTTTTCGGTATCAAACTTGTCTTTTATTTTTTTGGACGAACTCATTTTCAAACCTTTTCGCAATTTACTTAAAAATGATGGAGAATTTGTAATTGGATTTACCAATTGATTTGTTTCTACTTTGTCGACATATTCTGATTCTTGGATTACTTTTCGTTCATCGATGTCTAGATCAGGAATATTTTCGATTGAAACATTTGTTGTTTTGACTCCACCTTCACTTACCGATGGTAAATCGGTGTCTTTGACTTGGACGTGACCCTCCAGTTTAGGAATCGATGGAGTTTTGATATCAACGCTCGGTACGGAAACCGTTTCCTTTATGTCGAATTCGATATCAGCAGATCCCTTGGGTGCTTTTCCTTTTTTAATCTTTAATTCTGGAGTTTTGATGTCTATTGTTTTGCTAAATTTACTAATTTCCGGTGTTGCAATTCCTGCGTTAGTTTTTTCTACATCAAGTTTTGGAGTTTTCAACTCCGGAACATTGATTGCTGGTAAATCTATGTCCTTGCCTTTTATTTCTACTTCAACTTTAGGTTTCGATGGCATTTCGATATCAACACTAGGTATAGATACAGATGGAATGTCAACAGAAATCGTATCTTTGACTTTGCCTTCGAAATCCGGAGTTTGTTTTGATTTTTTATCTTTTTTACTTTTAAATCCTGGTATTTTAATATCTGACAAATCGAATTTTGTTGTCTTGACATCAGTTTTTGGAATTTTAACATCTTGCTTAGGTGTTTTAACCTCAGGTACACTTACAGATGGTAAATCGGTGTCTTTGACTTGGACGTGACCCTCCAGTTTAGGAATCGATGGAGTTTTGATATCAACGCTCGGTACGGAAACCGTTTCCTGTATGTCGAATTCAATATCAGCAGATCCCTTGGGTGACTTTCCTTTTTTAATCTTTAATTCTGGAGTTTTGATGTCTATTGTTTTGCTAAATTTACTAATTTCCGGTGTTGCAATTCCTGTGTTAGTTTTTTCTACATCAAGTTTTGGAGTTTTCAACTCCGGAACATTGATTGCTGGTAAATCTATGTCCTTGCCTTTTATTTCTACTTCAACTTTAGGTTTCGATGGCATTTCGATATCAACACTAGGTATAGATACAGATGGAATGTCAACAGAAATCGTATCTTTGACTTTGCCTTCGAAATCCGGAGTTTGTTTTGATTTTTTATCTTTTTTACTTTTAAATCCTGGTATTTTAATATCTGACAAATCGAATTTTGTTGTCTTGACATCAGTTTTTGGAATTTTAACATCAAGCTTAGGTGTTTTAACCTCAGGTACACTTACAGATGGTAAATCGGTGTCTTTGACTTGGACGTGACCCTCCAGTTTAGGAATCGATGGAGTTTTGATATCAACGCTCGGTACGGAAACCGTTTCCTTTATGTCGAATTCAATATCAGCAGATCCCTTGGGTGCTTTTCCTTTTTTAATCTTTGATTCTGGAGTTTTGATGTCTGTTGTTATGCCAAGTTTAGGAATTTCTGGTTTTTTAATTCCCGACTTAGCTTTTTCACCATCAAGTTTTCGTGCTTTCACCTCAGGAATTTTGATGGATGGTAAATCTGTTTTTTTGACTTTTATTTCTCCTTCAACCTTAGGTTTCTTTGGCATTTCCATTTTGACACTAGGTGTTGCAATCGATTTTCCAACAGCTATATTCTCTTTTATGTCATAGTCAATATTGGTCGAATCTTTTTTAAATTTGATGTCCGGTACCTGTATGTCTGTTCGTTTAATATCATGTTTATTATCGATTTCGGAAGTTACCGATGTAGACAGTTTTTTGCTATCGATATTTATATTGAAATCTGCAGTTTTACCTGGTGGGAATTCACTGGAGTCTTTCAATTCGTGTAATTCGTCTATTGTGTGCTCGTCTACTGGTTCATCTACAATTTCCTCTACCACTTTTTCTTTTCCGTCTACTATTTTTATGCGCTTTATTATTTTTCGTATCCTTTTAATTGTACGAGTCGTTACCGTTTGGGTCTTATCATTTTCTATGTCATCAAACTCTAATGGCTTTTCAAATATTTCAACTGTTTTCCCGTTATCTTTTTGTATCTGACTCATATCCGTAATATCACATGCATCAGGTTCATTAACTTCCTCCTCTACAAATGTCTCTTTACCGTCGACAATAATTACTCGTCGTATTATTCTTCGTGTTGTTATTGTCGTAATGATGTTATCGGTTTGAGTTTCGTTTATAAATTCAGAATTCCTGTTTGTACCGGTATCATGGGGGTATGTAGTCATGTCGTAACTTTCTTTGTCATCTTTTTTAATTTCACTCTGTAATGATTCAGTAAAACCAAGGTTTTCTGGTCCGTCTACTACCTCCTCTACAACCTTTTCTTTTCCATCCACCATTATTACACGCCTTATAACTCTCCTGGTAATAGTTTTTGTTATTAAATTAGGCTCATTTACCACGTCACTGTTAGATGTTTGCACAGAAAACGATTTTTGGACATTATCGAGAGTTACTAACTGACCTACTTCATCTAGTCCGTCATTGAACGATTTAAGAATAACCCCGTCTGTTATTTCGTCAGTACCGGGTTCGTCAATTTCCTCTTCTACTACGGACTCTTTTCCGTCGACAATAATTTTTCGCCTAATGATTCTACGCGTTCTTGTAGTTGTTACACTTTCACTTGTATTCTTTACGGTATCGTTGAGTACAGACAACCGTAAGATCTTATCAATTTCTTCGGGATCGATAATATTCTCAATTACTTCCTCACCGTTCCTGATTGTTTTTCTCAAAATACTTTTAACTGGTGCACCATGTTCAGGCTCGTCAATTATCTCTTCTACCTCAATCTCTTTTCCATCGATGATAATGATGCGTCTAACGACCTTTCGTGATTTCCACGTGGAGACCGTACCCGTTTGATTGATCAGCATTTCAGATGTTATAGGCTTAAATATTTCGGTACCATCAGGTTTGTCATTATTTAGCGGCGCAATAGATTTTCCTTCTTTAATTGGTGTTTTTGAACTTTGTTCGGATCCAAGAGTGTCGACTCCAGAATTATCATCAGTTGTTGGTAAATAATGTACAACGGTGCTCTCCCGTTCTTTTTCAATAAAATCGTTCAATAACGATTTCGTTGTATCGTCTGATACTAAGTTTTCGGTATCAAACTTGTCTTTTATTTTTTTGGACGAACTCATTTTCAAACCTTTTCGCAATTTACTTAAAAATGATGGAGAATTTGTAATTGGATTTACCAATTGATTTGTTTCTACTTTGTCGACATATTCTGATTCTTGGATTACTTTTCGTTCATCGATGTCTAGATCAGGAATATTTTCGATTGAAACATTTGTTGTTTTGACTCCACCTTCACTGACCGATGGTAAATCGGTGTCTTTGACTTGGACCTGACCCTCCAGTTTAGGAATCGATGGAGTTTTGATATCAACGCTCGGTACGGAAACCGTTTCCTTTATGTCGAATTCGATATCAGCAGATCCCTTGGGTGCTTTTCCTTTTTTAATCTTTAATTCTGGAGTTTTGATGTCTATTGTTTTGCTAAATTTACTAATTTCCGGTGTTGCAATTCCTGCGTTAGTTTTTTCTACATCAAGTTTTGGAGTTTTCAACTCCGGAACATTGATTGCTGGTAAATCTATGTCCTTGCCTTTTATTTCTACTTCAACTTTAGGTTTCGATGGCGTTTCGATATCAACACTAGGTATAGATACAGATGGAATGTCAACAGAAATCGTATCTTTGACTTTGCCTTCGAAATCCGGAGTTTGTTTTGATTTTTTATCTTTTTTACTTTTAAATCCTGGTATTTTAATATCTGACAAATCGAATTTTGTTGTCTTGACATCAGTTTTTGGAATTTTAACATCAAGCTTAGGTGTTTTAACCTCAGGTACACTTACAGATGGTAAATCGGTGTCTTTGACTTGGACGTGACCCTCCAGTTTAGGAATCGATGGAGTTTTGATATCAACGCTCGGTACGGAAACCGTTTCCTGTATGTCGAATTCAATATCAGCAGATCCCTTGGGTGACTTTCCTTTTTTAATCTTTAATTCTGGAGTTTTGATGTCTATTGTTTTGCTAAATTTACTAATTTCCGGTGTTGCAATTCCTGCGTTAGTTTTTTCTACATCAAATTTTGGAGTTTTCAACTCCGGAACATTGATTGCTGGTAAATCTATGTCCTTGCCTTTTATTTCTACTTCAACTTTAGGTTTCGATGGCATTTCGATATCAACACTAGGTATAGATACAGATGGAATGTCAACAGAAATCGTATCTTTGACTTTGCCTTCGAAATCCGGAGTTTGTTTTGATTTTTTATCTTTTTTACTTTTAAATCCTGGTATTTTAATATCTGACAAATCGAATTTTGTTGTCTTGACATCAGTTTTTGGAATTTTAACATCTTGCTTAGGTGTTTTAACCTCAGGTACACTTACAGATGGTAAATCGGTGTCTTTGACTTGGACGTGACCCTCCAGTTTAGGAATCGATGGAGTTTTGATATCAACGCTCGGTACGGAAACCGTTTCCTGTATGTCGAATTCAATATCAGCAGATCCCTTGGGTGACTTTCCTTTTTTAATCTTTAATTCTGGAGTTTTGATGTCTATTGTTTTGCTAAATTTACTAATTTCCGGTGTTGCAATTCCTGTGTTAGTTTTTTCTACATCAAGTTTTGGAGTTTTCAACTCCGGAACATTGATTGCTGGTAAATCTATGTCCTTGCCTTTTATTTCTACTTCAACTTTAGGTTTCGATGGCATTTCGATATCAACACTAGGTATAGATACAGATGGAATGTCAACAGAAATCGTATCTTTGACTTTGCCTTCGAAATCCGGAGTTTGTTTTGATTTTTTATCTTTTTTACTTTTAAATCCTGGTATTTTAATATCTGACAAATCGAATTTTGTTGTCTTGACATCAGTTTTTGGAATTTTAACATCAAGCTTAGGTGTTTTAACCTCAGGTACACTTACAGATGGTAAATCGGTGTCTTTGACTTGGACGTGACCCTCCAGTTTAGGAATCGATGGAGTTTTGATATCAACGCTCGGTACGGAAACCGTTTCCTTTATGTCGAATTCAATATCAGCAGATCCCTTGGGTGCTTTTCCTTTTTTAATCTTTGATTCTGGAGTTTTGATGTCTGTTGTTATGCCAAGTTTAGGAATTTCTGGTTTTTTAATTCCCGACTTAGCTTTTTCACCATCAAGTTTTCGTGCTTTCACCTCAGGAATTTTGATGGATGGTAAATCTGTTTTTTTGACTTTTATTTCTCCTTCAACCTTAGGTTTCTTTGGCATTTCCATTTTGACACTAGGTGTTGCAATCGATTTTCCAACAGCTATATTCTCTTTTATGTCATAGTCAATATTGGTCGAATCTTTTTTAAATTTGATGTCCGGTACCTGTATGTCTGTTCGTTTAATATCATGTTTATTATCGATTTCGGAAGTTACCGATGTAGACAGTTTTTTGCTATCGATATTTATATTGAAATCTGCAGTTTTACCTGGTGGGAATTCACTGGAGTCTTTCAATTCGTGTAATTCGTCTATTGTGTGCTCGTCTACTGGTTCATCTACAATTTCCTCTACCACTTTTTCTTTTCCGTCTACTATTTTTATGCGCTTTATTATTTTTCGTATCCTTTTAATTGTACGAGTCGTTACCGTTTGGGTCTTATCATTTTCTATGTCATCAAACTCTAATGGCTTTTCAAATATTTCAACTGTTTTCCCGTTATCTTTTTGTATCTGACTCATATCCGTAATATCACATGCATCAGGTTCATTAACTTCCTCCTCTACAAATGTCTCTTTACCGTCGACAATAATTACTCGTCGTATTATTCTTCGTGTTGTTATTGTCGTAATGATGTTATCGGTTTGAGTTTCGTTTATAAATTCAGAATTCCTGTTTGTACCGGTATCATGGGGGTATGTAGTCATGTCGTAACTTTCTTTGTCATCTTTTTTAATTTCACTCTGTAATGATTCAGTAAAACCAAGGTTTTCTGGTCCGTCTACTACCTCCTCTACAACCTTTTCTTTTCCATCCACCATTATTACACGCCTTATAACTCTCCTGGTAATAGTTTTTGTTATTAAATTAGGCTCATTTACCACGTCACTGTTAGATGTTTGCACAGAAAACGATTTTTGGACATTATCGAGAGTTACTAACTGACCTACTTCATCTAGTCCGTCATTGAACGATTTAAGAATAACCCCGTCTGTTATTTCGTCAGTACCGGGTTCGTCAATTTCCTCTTCTACTACGGACTCTTTTCCGTCGACAATAATTTTTCGCCTAATGATTCTACGCGTTCTTGTAGTTGTTACACTTTCACTTGTATTCTTTACGGTATCGTTGAGTACAGACAACCGTAAGATCTTATCAATTTCTTCGGGATCGATAATATTCTCAATTACTTCCTCACCGTTCCTGATTGTTTTTCTCAAAATACTTTTAACTGGTGCACCATGTTCAGGCTCGTCAATTATCTCTTCTACCTCAATCTCTTTTCCATCGATGATAATGATGCGTCTAACGACCTTTCGTGATTTCCACGTGGAGACCGTACCCGTTTGATTGATCAGCATTTCAGATGTTATAGGCTTAAATATTTCGGTACCATCAGGTTTGTCATTATTTAGCGGCGCAATAGATTTTCCTTCTTTAATTGGTGTTTTTGAACTTTGTTCGGATCCAAGAGTGTCGACTCCAGAATTATCATCAGTTGTTGGTAAATAATGTACAACGGTGCTCTCCCGTTCTTTTTCAATAAAATCGTTCAATAACGATTTCGTTGTATCGTCTGATACTAAGTTTTCGGTATCAAACTTGTCTTTTATTTTTTTGGACGAACTCATTTTCAAACCTTTTCGCAATTTACTTAAAAATGATGGAGAATTTGTAATTGGATTTACCAATTGATTTGTTTCTACTTTGTCGACATATTCTGATTCTTGGATTACTTTTCGTTCATCGATGTCTAGATCAGGAATATTTTCGATTGAAACATTTGTTGTTTTGACTCCACCTTCACTGACCGATGGTAAATCGGTGTCTTTGACTTGGACGTGACCCTCCAGTTTAGGAATCGATGGAGTTTTGATATCAACGCTCGGTACGGAAACCGTTTCCTTTATGTCGAATTCGATATCAGCAGATCCCTTGGGTGCTTTTCCTTTTTTAATCTTTAATTCTGGAGTTTTGATGTCTATTGTTTTGCTAAATTTACTAATTTCCGGTGTTGCAATTCCTGCGTTAGTTTTTTCTACATCAAGTTTTGGAGTTTTCAACTCCGGAACATTGATTGCTGGTAAATCTATGTCCTTGCCTTTTATTTCTACTTCAACTTTAGGTTTCGATGGCGTTTCGATATCAACACTAGGTATAGATACAGATGGAATGTCAACAGAAATCGTATCTTTGACTTTGCCTTCGAAATCCGGAGTTTGTTTTGATTTTTTATCTTTTTTACTTTTAAATCCTGGTATTTTAATATCTGACAAATCGAATTTTGTTGTCTTGACATCAGTTTTTGGAATTTTAACATCAAGCTTAGGTGTTTTAACCTCAGGTACACTTACAGATGGTAAATCGGTGTCTTTGACTTGGACGTGACCCTCCAGTTTAGGAATCGATGGAGTTTTGATATCAACGCTCGGTACGGAAACCGTTTCCTGTATGTCGAATTCAATATCAGCAGATCCCTTGGGTGACTTTCCTTTTTTAATCTTTAATTCTGGAGTTTTGATGTCTATTGTTTTGCTAAATTTACTAATTTCCGGTGTTGCAATTCCTGCGTTAGTTTTTTCTACATCAAATTTTGGAGTTTTCAACTCCGGAACATTGATTGCTGGTAAATCTATGTCCTTGCCTTTTATTTCTACTTCAACTTTAGGTTTCGATGGCATTTCGATATCAACACTAGGTATAGATACAGATGGAATGTCAACAGAAATCGTATCTTTGACTTTGCCTTCGAAATCCGGAGTTTGTTTTGATTTTTTATCTTTTTTACTTTTAAATCCTGGTATTTTAATATCTGACAAATCGAATTTTGTTGTCTTGACATCAGTTTTTGGAATTTTAACATCTTGCTTAGGTGTTTTAACCTCAGGTACACTTACAGATGGTAAATCGGTGTCTTTGACTTGGACGTGACCCTCCAGTTTAGGAATCGATGGAGTTTTGATATCAACGCTCGGTACGGAAACCGTTTCCTTTATGTCGAATTCAATATCAGCAGATCCCTTGGGTGCTTTTCCTTTTTTAATCTTTGATTCTGGAGTTTTGATGTCTGTTGTTATGCCAAGTTTAGGAATTTCTGGTTTTTTAATTCCCGACTTAGCTTTTTCACCATCAAGTTTTCGTGCTTTCACCTCAGGAATTTTGATGGATGGTAAATCTGTTTTTTTTACTTTTATTTCTCCTTCAACCTTAGGTTTCTTTGGCATTTCCATTTCGACACTAGGTGTAGCAATCGATTTTCCAACAGCTATATTCTCTTTTATGTCATAGTCAATATTGGTCGAATCTTTTTTAAATTTGATGTCCGGTACCTGTATGTCTGTTCGTTTAATATCATGTTTATTATCGATTTCGGAAGTTACCGATGTAGACAGTTTTTTGCTATCAATATTTATATTGAAATCTGCAGTTTTACCTGGTGGGAATTCACTGGAGTCTTTCAATTCGTGTAATTCGTCTATTGTGTGCTCGTCTACTGGTTCATCTACAATTTCCTCTACCACTTTTTCTTTTCCGTCTACTATTGTTATGCGCTTTATAACTCTCCTGGTAATAGTTTTTGTTATTAAATTAGGCTCATTTACCACGTCGCTGTTAGATGTTTTCACAGAAAACGAATTTTGGACAATATCGAGAGTTACTAACTGACCTACTTCATGTAGTCCGTCATTGAACGATTTAAGAATAACCCCGTCTGTTATTTCGTCAGTACCGGGTTCGTCAATTTCCTCTTCTACTACGGACTCTTTTCCGTCGACAATAATTTTTCGCCTAATGATTCTACGCGTTCTTGTAGTTGTTACACTTTCACTTGCATTCTTTACGGTATCGTTGAGTACAGACAACCGTAAGATCTTATCAATTTCTTCGGGATCGATAATATTCTCAATTACTTCCTCACCGTTCCTGATTGTTTTTCTCAAAATACTTTTAACTGGTGCACCATGTTCAGGCTCGTCAATTATCTCTTCTACCTCAATCTCTTTTCCATCGATGATAATGATGCGTCTAACGACCTTTCGTGATTTCCACGTGGAGACCGTACCCGTTTGATTGATCAGCATTTCAGATGTTATAGGCTTAAATATTTCGGTACCATCAGGTTTGTCATTATTTAGCGGCGCAATAGATTTTCCTTCTTTAATTGGTGTTTTTGAACTTTGTTCGGATCCAAGAGTGTCGACTCCAGAATTATCATCAGTTGTTGGTAAATAATGTACAACGGTGCTCTCCCGTTCTTTTTCAATAAAATCGTTCAATAACGATTTCGTTGTATCGTCTGATACTAAGTTTTCGGTATCAAACTTGTCTTTTATTTTTTTGGACGAACTCATTTTCAAACCTTTTCGCAATTTACTTAAAAATGATGGAGAATTTGTAATTGGATTTACCAATTGATTTGTTTCTACTTTGTCGACATATTCTGATTCTTGGATTACTTTTCGTTCATCGATGTCTAGATCAGGAATATTTTCGATTGAAACATTTGTTGTTTTGACTCCACCTTCACTGACCGATGGTAAATCGGTGTCTTTGACTTGGACGTGACCCTCCAGTTTAGGAATCGATGGAGTTTTGATATCAACGCTCGGTACGGAAACCGTTTCCTTTATGTCGAATTCGATATCAGCAGATCCCTTGGGTGCTTTTCCTTTTTTAATCTTTAATTCTGGAGTTTTGATGTCTATTGTTTTGCTAAATTTACTAATTTCCGGTGTTGCAATTCCTGCGTTAGTTTTTTCTACATCAAGTTTTGGAGTTTTCAACTCCGGAACATTGATTGCTGGTAAATCTATGTCCTTGCCTTTTATTTCTACTTCAACTTTAGGTTTCGATGGCGTTTCGATATCAACACTAGGTATAGATACAGATGGAATGTCAACAGAAATCGTATCTTTGACTTTGCCTTCGAAATCCGGAGTTTGTTTTGATTTTTTATCTTTTTTACTTTTAAATCCTGGTATTTTAATATCTGACAAATCGAATTTTGTTGTCTTGACATCAGTTTTTGGAATTTTAACATCAAGCTTAGGTGTTTTAACCTCAGGTACACTTACAGATGGTAAATCGGTGTCTTTGACTTGGACGTGACCCTCCAGTTTAGGAATCGATGGAGTTTTGATATCAACGCTCGGTACGGAAACCGTTTCCTTTATGTCGAATTCAATATCAGCAGATCCCTTGGGTGCTTTTCCTTTTTTAATCTTTGATTCTGGAGTTTTGATGTCTGTTGTTATGCCAAGTTTAGGAATTTCTGGTTTTTTAATTCCCGACTTAGCTTTTTCACCATCAAGTTTTCGTGCTTTCACCTCAGGAATTTTGATGGATGGTAAATCTGTTTTTTTGACTTTTATTTCTCCTTCAACCTTAGGTTTCTTTGGCATTTCCATTTTGACACTAGGTGTTGCAATCGATTTTCCAACAGCTATATTCTCTTTTATGTCATAGTCAATATTGGTCGAATCTTTTTTAAATTTGATGTCCGGTACCTGTATGTCTGTTCGTTTAATATCATGTTTATTATCGATTTCGGAAGTTACCGATGTAGACAGTTTTTTGCTATCGATATTTATATTGAAATCTGCAGTTTTACCTGGTGGGAATTCACTGGAGTCTTTCAATTCGTGTAATTCGTCTATTGTGTGCTCGTCTACTGGTTCATCTACAATTTCCTCTACCACTTTTTCTTTTCCGTCTACTATTTTTATGCGCTTTATTATTTTTCGTATCCTTTTAATTGTACGAGTCGTTACCGTTTGGGTCTTATCATTTTCTATGTCATCAAACTCTAATGGCTTTTCAAATATTTCAACTGTTTTCCCGTTATCTTTTTGTATCTGACTCATATCCGTAATATCACATGCATCAGGTTCATTAACTTCCTCCTCTACAAATGTCTCTTTACCGTCGACAATAATTACTCGTCGTATTATTCTTCGTGTTGTTATTGTCGTAATGATGTTATCGGTTTGAGTTTCGTTTATAAATTCAGAATTCCTGTTTGTACCGGTATCATGGGGGTATGTAGTCATGTCGTAACTTTCTTTGTCATCTTTTTTAATTTCACTCTGTAATGATTCAGTAAAACCAAGGTTTTCTGGTCCGTCTACTACCTCCTCTACAACCTTTTCTTTTCCATCCACCATTATTACACGCCTTATAACTCTCCTGGTAATAGTTTTTGTTATTAAATTAGGCTCATTTACCACGTCACTGTTAGATGTTTGCACAGAAAACGATTTTTGGACATTATCGAGAGTTACTAACTGACCTACTTCATCTAGTCCGTCATTGAACGATTTAAGAATAACCCCGTCTGTTATTTCGTCAGTACCGGGTTCGTCAATTTCCTCTTCTACTACGGACTCTTTTCCGTCGACAATAATTTTTCGCCTAATGATTCTACGCGTTCTTGTAGTTGTTACACTTTCACTTGTATTCTTTACGGTATCGTTGAGTACAGACAACCGTAAGATCTTATCAATTTCTTCGGGATCGATAATATTCTCAATTACTTCCTCACCGTTCCTGATTGTTTTTCTCAAAATACTTTTAACTGGTGCACCATGTTCAGGCTCGTCAATTATCTCTTCTACCTCAATCTCTTTTCCATCGATGATAATGATGCGTCTAACGACCTTTCGTGATTTCCACGTGGAGACCGTACCCGTTTGATTGATCAGCATTTCAGATGTTATAGGCTTAAATATTTCGGTACCATCAGGTTTGTCATTATTTAGCGGCGCAATAGATTTTCCTTCTTTAATTGGTGTTTTTGAACTTTGTTCGGATCCAAGAGTGTCGACTCCAGAATTATCATCAGTTGTTGGTAAATAATGTACAACGGTGCTCTCCCGTTCTTTTTCAATAAAATCGTTCAATAACGATTTCGTTGTATCGTCTGATACTAAGTTTTCGGTATCAAACTTGTCTTTTATTTTTTTGGACGAACTCATTTTCAAACCTTTTCGCAATTTACTTAAAAATGATGGAGAATTTGTAATTGGATTTACCAATTGATTTGTTTCTACTTTGTCGACATATTCTGATTCTTGGATTACTTTTCGTTCATCGATGTCTAGATCAGGAATATTTTCGATTGAAACATTTGTTGTTTTGACTCCACCTTCACTGACCGATGGTAAATCGGTGTCTTTGACTTGGACGTGACCCTCCAGTTTAGGAATCGATGGAGTTTTGATATCAACGCTCGGTACGGAAACCGTTTCCTTTATGTCGAATTCGATATCAGCAGATCCCTTGGGGTCTGATTTAGTAACTATTACAGTTTTTTCAATATTTTGTTTACTGGAAGAGTTGGCGTTTTCGATTTTTTCTTCTGTATTATCAACGGGTTGTAAAATATCAATGGCCTTGGTAATAGGCAGATTATAGTTAGTAGATTGTTTATCTATATTTGAGATGTTTGTGTCTATATCATATGGCGGCTCATTTTTTTGGTACGAATGTTGCAATGTATTGTTTTCTCTCTCTTTTTCAAGGAAAAGATTTAAACCTGATTTTATTTTACTGTCCATCTCTGGATTTTCAATATTACTATTATCACTAGATTTTTTATTATTTTTGGATGTTGATATTTTAAAACCTTTGCGCATAAATTTACTCAAGAAAGATGGTGAGTTTTCAATTTCTTTAGACGATTTATTTAAATCCATATTTTCAACAGTTTCTTTTCCGCCATCCTGTGTTTGGTTGCGATTCAAAAAACTGTTTAATGACATTGGTTGAACATTTTCTTCAAAGTCTATTTCTGGAATTATCTCAAAACTATCTTCTATAGGTTCAATATCTATAGTGTCATTTTTTATTTTTTCTACATCCTCGATTGATATTCCTTCGTTTTCTGTTTCGTCAAACTCTTCTTCAACGACGGACTCTTTTCCATCAACGATTATACCACGTAGAATTGTTTTACGTGTTTTTGTGATTGTTACACATGTGTTCTGTACGTTATCGTTTGTTCTAGACATCCGTAATATGTTTTCAATTTCTTCAGGATCGTTAATATTTTCAAGTTCTTCTTTACCGTCTTTAGTTATTTTTCTCAAAATACTCTTCACCGATTCACCAGACACAGGTTCATCAATTATATCTTCTACTTTAATTTCATTTCCATCAATTATCATTATACGTCTGATTGTCCTGCGGGAGTTAATTATTACTGTGGGATCACTCTTTATAATTTGTATATCAGTTGTAACTGGCAAATCAGGATTTTTTAATATTTGATTTTGTTGAATTGTTTTATCAGATGGATATTTTAATTTATTTTGCTCAATTATCCGTGCCACTTTATCATTGATACTTGTCAGTGCAGTACTATTCTCTTCTTTTGTATAGTATAAGTCTTTTGGTTTTTGATCAGTTGTATCTTTTTCGTTATTCAGTTGGTTTTCGTTTTGTTGTTGAATATTGGGCTCATTACTTATACTACTCATCCTTTTATACATTAATAGTTTGACATTATCATTTTCAATATCTACACTTTGTTCTTGTGGATTGCTTAATATACTTTCAGTATCAATTTCACCTTGTTTTGATTTTTTCATAAACACATTTGGAATTTTAAAACGAAGAAATCCTTTCGATTTTTTATCTTCTTTTTTTTCAGGTGAGTCTGTTTTTTCAGATTGAAATTGTGTGTTGACATCTATTGATTTCATTTTCTCAATTTTTTTTTCAATTTCAAAACGATTACTTGTGTCTAATTCAGTCTGTTCTAGAGAGCCTACAATTTTTTTGCTACCAACATTTATTTCAGTTTTGTTAATGTTATGCTCATCTCGTAATGCTTGGTTTATTTTCCTCACTAACTTTGGACTTCTCAAAACTTCACTGTCTTTTAGCATATTTATTGTGCTTATCTCATTCTCTCTTTCAGTGTTTTTTATTACACTCGGGGAGGTTACATAATCTTTTTCACGAGACTGCGTTCCTATTTTTGGGTGATTTAATGAATAATTTAATTTTGGAATCATCATGCTTTCTACACTAGTATTATGTAAATCCTTAGGTGAATTCATGCAAGATAATTCAGTTGATATAACCGTGCTTTCAACATTGTATTTTGTGTCCTGAAAATAAAGCATTTTTGTTCTACATAAATATTTACACTTTTTAATTTTAGTGTTTTAAATGTATTGGACTCATTAAAATTATAGATTAATATCACATTGAATATAATTTTTTATTTGATTGTTATTATTAAATTATTTAGACGTTGAATTTATAATTTTCTAAATAAATTATCTTAACAGTATGTACTATACTATATACCACAATAGGAACATATAAACATAAATAAAATAAAAATGTTTATACTAAATATTGTATCAAAAAAAGATTTGAGAATGTAATAATTATCATAACATAAAATGAGAACAATAAAATTACCTTTTAAGAATGTTATAGTGGCAATAGATGATGATCATCATCTGATGGTTAAGATTGATAATTTAAATATCACTATTCCTAATCTATACAATACCATTTTTTCAAATATCTTATGATGTTTCTTCACTAAATATATTTATTTAAAGCATATTGAACATTGACTTAATGAATCAAGTTGGTCACTACTTAAGAATATAAAATATTTGAACAGTAATTTATTTTTTATCTTTTAAACAGTATTTTAGGTTTTTTTCATTCTATAAGATTTATTTTGTTATAGAATTTCCTTATACTAATTTTTGCTTTATAACAGACAATGTTTTTTATTTTAAGATAAATAATATCTTTATTCAAAACACAAAACTATGATTATTATGAACTTTGGAGAAACGGTGGACATTTACCTAATTCATATTATACATTTATACTGTATATTCTAACATCTGTAGATATTTTTTTATGATTCAACTGCAGTGTTCAACATCATTACACAAAAGTAGTCGACTAATTAAAACTATATTAATATGTTTAATATAATCTACTAACAATATCCATAGGTATATGTCAACTAAATAATACCATGCAATTTTTAAAAAATGTGATACTAATTAAATTAAATTCCACAGTTTAAAATTCTGTTTTATACAAAATCTAGTCTAAAAACCACATATACTCATTAACACTTATTAACATTCTAAATGTATAATTATATTAAATAAGTATAAAACCATACCTTTTGATTCAATTTTGTGAAGTTATCTTTAATCATTTCAAGCTTTTCAATTATATATTGAAGTTTTAAAATACGTGTCTCATATTCAACATTTTCTTCATAGGTTTTCAATTGATGGAGTTTATTTTTTAATTCAATAATATCTTCTTCAATTTTATCCTAAAATAATGAACAATTAATTAAAAATCAGTCAAAGGTAAATCTAACAATTAAAATAATATAATTACCACATATTTTGGGCCATCATTTTCAGTTGTTAATAACCAGTCTTCGTAATAACATATTGCATCATCAGCATCTTTTAATTTATTCTAAAAAAATTAATAATAGTTACCATTTATGAGTGATTTCACAGAATGAAAATATTAACCAATTTGTATAAATATATTTGTTCATGTATAAAAATTTAACACACAAATAATTAATTTTATTTTCAAATAGAAACATTGATTTATATAGGTTATTATAAAATCTTACTTAAAATTATTTTATTTACCTTAATAGCCATTTTATTTTTGTTTATTACTAATTTCTCAAGTTTTTCGACGACAGTTCTAAGCCGAATAATTAATATTTGAAATTCTTCTATTTCTTCATACATTTCATATCTAGTTATAATCTCTTTTAATTTTATAATTTTGGTACTTAAATCATATGTATCCTATAGAAAACATAATATTAGTTAATGTATTTAGTATTTATTTATTTAATTATAGTAGGCATACATTATACAGTGTTGCATATTATGTGATATTAAAGTAAGTACCTATATTATACTAAATTATTAATACTTACATATTTATCTTCATTAGTTTCTAATTCTATTAATATTTGTTCATATTGTTCGTTATATGTTTTTAGTTCTTTGATTGCCTTAGTTTGTGATTGATCACCATCATCAGTGATTAATGCAGTGATCATCGTTTGTGTTGAAGTTAATTCAATTATTGCAGTCTGCCCTTCATCAAATGCCACAAATGGTTTCATTGCTAATTCTAATGGTATACTCTCATCGCTTAGTGCTTGTAAATGTGATTTGATAGTCTGAAAATAATACAATTTTCAAATAATTTAGAATATAATATTAATGCATTATTTTTGTATTAATGAATAGTTCACAGATTTTATAATATTAGTTGTTATATTATGCAACATATTATATTATAGCAACAAATAACAATAAAATTCACAAAAGCTACTGTTAAAAATTATTCAAAATTATTGGATCAGGGGTTATGTACTATATAATAATTATATAGTTGTAGTCTGTAGACAGAAATAACAAATTACAATCACAAACATGTCTGTTAGTACCTATACAATACATGACCCGCCGCTGTGTTTTTTCCAAACAAATATCAATAGCTGTTTTAAAATATTTGTTATCTTTTTAAATTTGATACTTGTTAATATTATTATATAGAAATTAACAATAATTATAGATATTTGGTGATCAGATACATTTTATAATTATTAATTTTTATATACGTGTCATATAAATTATTCCAACAATTTGTTTATTGGAAACTTTGAGTTAAAAACAGAAAAATTAAAAATTAATAAATTAGGAAAGTACCGAAGTACCTAAATATAGTCTTTTCAATACAATAATAATAATATGCAAAAATCAGATTTAAAAAAAAAAATAATGACGGGGATTCAAATAGGTACAAGAAGTGTTTTTCTTTTTTGTATGCATAAAAAAAATTGGCAAATAGTAAAATACGAGAATATTAATCCAAACTATCACACAAATACTTTAAAAAAATCCAAACGAAAACGATTTTAAAATCGGCACAAACGTCAACACTCAGGTAGGTAACCTTACAGACTCGTCGTGTTCGTTGTCAGTAGTTCCGTCTGATTTCTGTTGCATTTGCGTGTTTCCAAGAGGGGATAAGATAATAATATTATCAAAAGAACGTCTACCGGAAGTGGAGTCCCTATTGATATGGTTTTTTACCGATCCAGCACTACGTTCGAAACGGCACGTGTACTTATTATTGTCATCGGTATTGGGGCTAGTAAATATCTGCTTGAGCTCGTTCAGGTCGCGAGTATCGGATTTGGATCGCGGACGATCGACGACACGGTGGTGCCTGTAGTGTTTCTGGTCGACCGAACCGAATATCCCCTTCAACCGTTCGTTCAGATCGAAACAACTGTTCGAGCACCTGGTGCTGCCGAGCATACTATCCAACGATAATCGGGATTTCGAAAAGTCACCGATGACCGACACGACATTCAACGGTATCGCATCAGTAGTGTCGTCGACGGTCAATAGTTTCCAGTCACCGTCGCGAGTCACCGGGTCGTATGTCCCAGACATTTGCTCGGCAAGGTTCCGGGATTGGAGATTATCTTCGCTGTTCCGTCGGGTTTTCACGTCCGATACTACGATTTCCGGTTTCTCTGTCGACGACGAACTCGTGGTGTCCACTGCGTGTCTTTCGGGTGTTACTGCAGTTTCTTCGGGGTTTGCTGAGGGTTCAGCATCTGATTTGTTTGTTGATGGTTTGTTTCCGGAGTCTTTTCCAGTTACATTTCGGTTCCTCCTGGACCGAGATCGTCGTTTAACGTGTCTAGGAGTCGGTGACGCGAGGGTAACGCGATCCTCAGAGTCGTCTTCCTTTGATTGTCTATCTTTAGCAAACGCTGATACAGACGTCTGCGATTCCTGCAGTGTTGATATGCGTGAAGTTGTGTTTTTTTTTAAATCCTTTGGTTGCCATTTGTCCTTTGGTGATTTACTCCTGGTTCTCGTCAACGGTGGAGTTCGGAGTAGATTATCGAAACTCGATTTTCTACTCATGCGTGTTCCACTCTCAACATCGACACTTTTTGATTCCGGAGTCGTGCTCCTACTATTGCTCCTCGACAGTACGCAACCGGTTTTGAGGACTTCTGAGTACGTGGACGTTTCGCCTTTTATCCAAAACGGCGAAGGGGACCGTGATCTTATTCGCATTTGGTGCTTGTCGGTTTCGGTTAAATTCAACACTATTCGGGGAGTTTTAATAATATTACGGCTTATTTGTTTCGGTGGATTTTTTAGATTATTTACGGGATCTGTACATGACGTGGATTCCAGCAAAGGATTGGAATCGATAAAATGTTCGATATGCGTTCGCACAGCATTCATTGTACAATCCAAACGTTGCCGATATGATTCCAGTGCGTTTCGAACGTCCTGCGTGACCGAATAAATGCCTTTAGAAACTAATTTTTATTTTGGAATTTTTTTTTTTTTTAAATAGCTTAAATAGAAATTTGGAATGAGTACGAAGGTATATAAATATAAATGCATTTAAATGTCTAATTAGTTAAGTAATGGGTCGGATATCGGGGAGCCTCGTTGAATGATCAGTTTGATTCGTTCGGTTCTTGAGTTAATCTTGCTTTGCAGCACTCGTATTTGTTCTTGGAATGCCTGCAATGTTCCAATCAATGGAACGGTTTTTTTTTTAATGTTTTCATTCAGAAGAGTATTTTTTTTTAATTTGTACAATATCCAAAATGTCTTATAAATTATCATAATTAACCTTAGTACATTCTAATTGCAGCATACACTTAATTGATTTAAAACTTTACTTTTAGACTCTAGACTCTTTCGGTCTTTACTATAAATACTTCATGTGTGAAATAAAATGTATTCTCTCTAGCTTATTTCAATCCCTTCTTACCAAATATAATTTATGATGTTAAAAATAAACTAAAACGATTCTTTACACATATGTTTGCAATCGTATTACTTTACAACAAGACTATTTCAATATGTTTATGTAACACATAAAAATACCCTCTCACTGTTTTTTTTTATTTTGAACAATAAAATTACCAACTTTTGAAATTTAAATGTATTAGAGTACTTACGTTTTGTTCTTGCACAGCCTTTTGTCTATCGTGAGGTAAATACGTTGGACTTTGTGTCAGTCTTAATTGTTGCTCAGCAGTAATGACTTTTTGACGAAGATGTTGTATTTCCTAAATTATAAAATTAAATAACATTTAATATTACAATATTAATAGTATTTTTTTTTTTTTTTTATGAAATAATATTTTGTATTACTTGTTGGTATTTGTCGAGCTGTGAGAGACTTTCTTCCAAATTATGTGCTTGCTCTTCGACAATTTTGAACAATTTATCTAGCTGAGACAAACTGTCTTTAGATAAATGTTCAATGTTTTCACTGCCTCCAAAACCAGCTCGGAAATGAATCTAAAATTCAATATTGATATAAATAATAATACTTACATAATTCTTACCTACTAAGAAATATATAAAATAATATTTTATCTTGAAAACTTGATAATTATGATTAATGCATTCCAAAATAAATGTAAATGTTTTTTTTCCCAACCTTAGTATTAAGTGATTTAGTATAATAATATTGTTGTAACTTCATATAGTAAAAAAAAATAAGATAAACTAACTTAATAAATAATTTTTTCATTCAAAATTAGGTTTTTGAATTTAAATTGTATTTATTATTATTACATTTACATTTATTTTGGAATGTATTAATCATAATTATCAAGAAATGTAGATACTAAAAATGTTTGACTTATTGTCATCATTGCCTAAGATTAATCTTAATAAGTGATTGTCAAGCATTGCGACATGGATGGATTTGACATTTGAATAATATATTATTATGATTTAACTGTAGTTCAATTTTAAGTAGGTAATGAAAATCAAGTAAAAATTGTCATAAGTGGTTCATTTATAAACTATAATAGATATTGAATCCATTTAAATTATCCATGGTATTTATACATACCTACTATATGTCTATACATGAAAATTAAAATATGTCAATGCAACAACATAAACTGCATAACATGTTGAACAGTTGAATTATCATTATCAAAAAATAAAAGTTTATTAGAATTGAATAATATTATGATCTAACTCTACATATTACAGATTTTAATATTTTATAAATAAATGGCAATATTATAACATTTAAATTTTAGTTATAACTTATATCGTGAATAATACATTTTTCTCATAACCCTTATACATACAATCGAATATTTAGCAGTGCCATTATTTTTTTTTTTGAAGAAACCAACATAAATAATTAAGTTAATCAACTATTAAAATAAGCAACTTTAAATTTAATACCTAATGTAAGATTAAGTACCTGCTGTAACTGTGACTTGTAACCAGTTACAATTTAATTCCAATGTAGGTATAATATTGTATACTATCTAGTTCCTACCTTGTAATTAGATGCCTACAATATTTTAGAGTAAGTTGTAACTTGTTTACTTGTTACTAATTAAAACTAATTATGTAACTTGACCATATCTGTCTATATGTAGGTAGTTATACATTTTTCAATAATCATTTATTATTAGTATACAATATTTTTCAATAAAACCTATATCATGTAAATTTATTTTAAGACAAACTAAATCTGTTTATGAATTAATTTGAACATTGTTTAATTAAAAAAAAACTGCCACTAGTTCCCAAGCTGCAAAAATGTAATCAATAATCATATTGTATATCAACACTTTTTTTTATTCTATTTTTGTGGTTATGAATAGTTTTAACTACTACAATTTTTCCCCAATGAATTATGATCAGGAACTTCCAAAGTGACAACCCATTTTTAGATCACATTTTAGATTATTTTGTATCACATAATGTTAAATAAATTATGTTTATTTTTAAAATTTAAACATAAAAATATTAAATATCAAATAAGTATTAAATATTAAGAGGACGCTACACCCGCATGTGTTGTCTCCGTCTTACACACGTACGACATAGACAAAACGCGTTTAGGCAGTCTGAGTATAACTCGCTCAATTTTGGTTCTAGAGTAAAAATACTTATTATGAAATTAAATTGTGATAATATTTCTAAGGGCAAGACCCTGCGGTTTTTTTAAAAAATTTAATTTTTTAAAAGTCAAAGGTATTTTAAAAATGGTGAAATTTTTTCTATTTCTAAACGATATAATGAACGTTATATTGGGTATAATGGAAAAACCGCAGCGTCTTGCCCTTAGAAATATTATCACAATTCAATTTCATAATAGGCATTTTTACTCTAGAACCAAAATTGAGACTACCTAAACTCAGACTGCCTAAACGCGTTTTGTCTATGTCGTACGTGTGTAAGACGGAGACAACACATGCGGGTGTAGCGTCCTCTTAATTAATCATTTTTAATCTGTATGTTTGTATGTTAATCATGGGAGCGGAAGAGGCATAAGAACTATTTTTTATTTTTAAGGCTGCTTAAGGGGATCGCGTGTCACGTATTTTTCGTACATTTTAGACCAATAAGCGGTGGTAAATTACACATACTTCCGAATGTCTGATTTTAATTTTTAATAAATGTATAAATTCTTTGGCAAAATAACTAGGCTTTCTAGGAAGTCGATTTTGAATTTTCAGTATTAAAGGGCCATAAAATTTGGATATTTTTTGAAAAAATCTCATGAAATAATTGCATTAATTTTGTATTTATTTTAGGATTTTTGGGTTTTTTTAATCAAAAAAGTGGTTCCTACAAAGCAAAGTCTAAGAGCTTACGAATTCAACCTTTTTTTCGAAATTAAAATCAAACTTCAGGAAGTATGTTTAATTTACTACCGATTTTGATAGTTTTTATAGGTGATGCATAGGAGAATATATTTCGTTTTTCTCGATTTATTGACGTGTGCGTGCGATGTGTTCATTTACTTCGCACACAACCACACTGGGTAACGAGTATAAGACATCGAATTGCCTATACGCGACCCCTTGTTAAATCACCGCCTTCAATCCCCTCAAACAAAAATAAATTAGGCAACCACTGCAGCTACAATATACTTTAATTTTACAATTGCACTAGTTTAAGGAAAAATCCATAAAAAAGTGGTCACAGAAAAATTACACAAACAACCTTAAGAACCCCAATAACACTAAAGTATTGAATAGTTAAAATGATGTAGCCTATAGTTCAGTCATTTAAAATAATTATAGATAATTAAAGCTGTATAAATTAAATTTTAAATTTCATAATAGTATTACTTTATAATGGTTATAACTTAATACTAACATATAATATCAAATTGTTATGTTTCGTATATTATAATATATTAGTGTTTAACCTGCAATTTTTCAGTTGATAGTGTAATCTTGTTTCTTTGTATTGTAATATCAGCCAACATCTTTTCCCTCAGATCATGTTGTTCGCGTAGGGTTCGCTTTTTGTTAGCAGCTGATTCAATAGCATTTTGAGATTTTTCGATAAATGATTTAACATCTTTTAATTTCCTTTCAAATTGCTCCCATTCTTCACATGTCTCGTGCAATAGAGCACTCTATACAATTGTATTTTATACATTTTAAATAAATGATAATTTTAAATTGGCTAATTAAAATTTGATTACTTTTTCTGACAGTTTTCCCTCTACATCATTTTTAGCATTGTTAGCTTCTTCCAGTTTTTCTGGCAAGTGTCCAACATCTGTAGACAAAGCGATGATATCCAATTCTTTGCTCATTTCAGCTAGATGTTTGCTCTGTTGTTTGCTCGATTTCACAGCAGCCTGTTAAAGCATAAAAACAAATTTCAAAATTTATATTAAGTACACAACAATATATAAATTGCTTTATTACCGAAAATTCATGAGCTTTTTGTTTTACTACGTCAAGTGAACTTAGAGTTATCGGTTCTTCTAAATAATTTGTTTTATTTTGGCACCAGGCCATCACCAAGTCATAAACAGATAAGAATTTTTGCCAGGCGTCCAAAGTGTCACCAATCTAAAAAAAAATTGACAATTTAACAGATCAAAGAGTTTCATAATATGCAAAACATTACTGTAGTCTGGAGTGCTATTTATTTTTTAAGTTAAAAATATGATATTATATTTAAGAAATAAATATATATATATAGACTAACATACATTTTATCATCTAAATATAATATTTGTTTTTTATTTATACTACCTATTTTATTATTTTGATGTATAAATTATTATTATGTTTATCATGATTTATTTAATTTATTTATTATTGTTGTTGAATTTGAAGTACAAATACATATGTATACATAATAACATATGGATTACAGGTAGATATATATATAAGCTTTGAAAAGTATAATAGAAAATAGTTTAGTAAAACAATATTGGGCACCACAAGTAAATAATATTTAATATACAGTATAAGAGATTTTCCTCTTTACCGTTTATTAATTTCATAATGTAATAATTTTAATGCATGTATTAACTTACTTGGTTACGTTTTTCGTCCAACCAAAGTTTCACTTGGCTCATTTTTCCTACTAATGATTCAATCGTTTTTGGAATCATTTCTTTTTCTTCTTCATCTTTTGTCTTTTCAATGATCTCTTTACCATGTGTAATAGCTTTATTTAGTTTGTCATTAATTGCAGTTATCTCATCTTCAATCGTCTAAAAAATAAAACAAAACACTTTTAGTACCAACTTTAAACTTATAAAACAATTATTAATTATTCGTATTTTTTAAAATAACTGTATTAGGTATAACTCGCCACATAATACAAAATAAATAATACATACCTAGGTACCTAATAAAAAGAATAGATACACTCATGTATAAAACGATTATTGTACTGAATAAATTATATAAAATGTCAATAAAAATAACTAAGTTTGAAGTTGATCAATACTCATTAAATATCAATAGGAAAGTGTGACAAAATTATATTGGTATACCTAATTATATAATCTACTTTTTATCGAAATAATCTATTAGTATTAATTTTTGAAAAACTTGAATTCCTATATTCACATTATATTTATTTAACAAGAATTTATTGTTTTCCAATATTATATACATAAGAGTAATTCACAAAAGTATAGTAGCCAGTAGGTAAGTAAAACTAGTATTCAAACAACTAAGCTTAACATCCAAATGTATCAAAACAATGCAACTCATTTAACCATTAAAATTCTTCAACAAAAATAACTCGTATATCCGAGTGTTCTCAAGTGACGCAACGCCACAATACTCTCGTAAACCGAAACAAATGTGATTTTAACTTATAACACCCGATTAATAAGGGGACGTTTCATCCCCGTCAAAAAAGCGAGTCCACGCACGTTTCGTCCCCGTCTATTATTAAGATAGGACATTTGACCTATAGTAGTTACGTGATGTTATTTACCTACCAATAGGACGTTTGGTCCAAAGTATTTTAAATCACTACATTTAAATGGATTTTTTAATTTAAAATTTCAATTATTTTTAAAAAACGTACAATTTCAATACAATCTATATTAATATGTGAGGATGGCCACAAAATTTAAATTTGATTCAAAAAATCAAAAAACATTTTAAAAACAACTACTTCACAAATAGTCATGTGGGTCGCCTACTAACACCTCCAAATAAAATTTCTAATTTTGATTTTTTTTTTGATTCCTGCTATAATCTTAAAACTTGTATTAATTATAATTTGAATATCGATTAATATTAATATTAATATTTAAATTTATTTAATTTGTTCTCAGTTATTTCAACTATTGTCTTCATGACGTGTTAAATTAACGATAATTTTAGTCTTTCAATACATTGTACTCTTACCCTTTGGGGTTTTACCTATATTTATTTATTTAAAAAATATTATAATATTATTATTGTTGATATTAAAAATAATAACTTTTTTCAAAATATTATTTTTGGGAATTTTCTAACATGCGAGATTACCAATTTTGTTTGAGTTGTTCGGCTACAAAGACAACGATGATAATATTAACTCCCGGGGGCCAAATGTCCTATCTTAATAATTGACGGAGACGAAACAGGGCGTTTCAAGGTATGACTGGAACGAAGTTCTTACAAAAAATACAAACAAGTAGGTAATAGGTATACGATATAAGCCCTGTTATTTATTAATAATATCTTTCAGCAAACTGAAAATGTATTGTTCGAGACTTCAAGTTTTGTGTAAGTTTTAAATTTAACTAATTATTTAACGATGTATATATCAAAAAATCAGACTCTGGTAAGTGTATTTGGCATGTTTAAATAATTAAATCGTGTTCAATTGAATGTACAGCAAAAAATATTCTTTAATAAATAATAATAAATTACGCTCAGTTTCATTAAAATCTAATAATACGTATTACTTTAATATTAAATTGTTCAACGGGCTTGATAAGATCTGGGAGACCAAATAGTCATAGTTTTAGAAATTTAAATATGACAATATTACATTTTATTAAAACCGTTATTCGTTAACTCCTAAATTTGGCAAACACTCAAAAATTGATCTAAACCTAAAACTATAAAAGATAAAATAAAGCTATTCGGACGCAACCCCTTTGTCGGTGACCACCGTCCACCGGAAACTTGTTAAGTATCTATTATCATGATGCAAAATTAAAATAATGATTAAAGAAACATATCTACTGTGTGCTCTATTACTATAAAATATCAATAATTAAACAGTCACGATTGCCTAACTGACTTGAAAAATATATACATCTGATTAACTAATATTTCATAAAATTATATAAAAAGTAATTGGTAGATAATACTATAGAAATCCATCTCATTTTTTTTTTAAATTGTTTATTTCGTTAATTATTAAAACTATACTTGCAGAGTTATTATATTTATTTATTAAGGAAGAACTCTTTTTTTCATTATGAGTACTAACTGTATAGCGTGTATATCTATACTGTATAATGTATATAGGTACTCTCGGTGAATCATTTTAAATATTCGAAACCAAATAATATAACAATATACCTTATAAGATTATAACTTTCAAGACTGTATAATATGAATGTACGTAGAATAATAATATTATTATTTAGGTCGTACCTGTATATGTTCTTTGATTTTTTTTGGTTCACTGCCGCGATCTTGAACCTTCACTTCGGCCTCCTGAAGCCATCTCTGCACGTCATCTACATACTTCAAATACTCTGTCCGAACGGTTTTGGCCCGTTTTAGGCCTCTGCTGTTTGAATCCATCAGGCTTGTTAATTCTTCGGATACAAGCTCCAAAGGATTGAACTAAAAACGCAATTCCAGTTAACGAAACAACAAATAACTAGGTACCTAATCAACTAGACGGCACAATGAAATTATAAATACAATTTAAAAAAAAAAAATCACCACAACCAGTGAGCTGCAGGTATAGGTATGGTAATTGGTTTAATTTATTAGTTTAAAAACATTTCTTCGGCTTTTAATTAATTTGTGTGGATAATAACTGTGTATAGGTATGCGAATTACGATTACATTTTTTTTTAAACAATGAATTAATTGTTATAATATTAATTATGTTTAGATGATTGTCTTAACACTGCACAGCATAACGCGCCGGCGAGAAACAAACAAACGATATTATTATACTATTATAACGTTGTGGTATTTGCGTACAACAGTCGAGTGGCACAGCAGAAAACGACGCGCTAGCGGCAGGATAAACAAATCGCAACAAATATAATAAAACGGACGAACGTTTAACCGCACTGGCGACGGAATACAGTTTTTAGTTGCGCATGGATGCTGTACAAACAGGTTTTATGCACATGAAGAATAATATTAGTCATCATAACAACAACAGTACAGGACGTTTTATTTATAAGTCTTCGGTAATATACAAACACATTTGAGACGGTCCGCATATCAAACGGACCAAACCTAAAAGTTAATTTTCAGATGTTTGACCTCCGATTGTGTAATTTTATTGACGGACCAATCAAAACTATACAAGACACCGACTGTATTGTGCTGTTCACCCACACTTCAGACGTTATTATTTTTACTTTTTACCATCCATTATAATATGATTATACTTTTTAAATTTTATTCGAATATTATGATATTTGGAGATAGGCGCTTATATATTATTATCCTACTAGACTTATATTAAAAGACGTTAACTGTTTAACGATCGTTTGACACATTATTTTTTATGAAGCACAACTAATAAAAAAAAATCACTTATAGTATAGATTGGAATGTTATTTATCAACAGCCGAAATGTCATTTGGCGTTTAGGTGTGATATGGCATCGGGCAAAACTGTTATTTTTCTCGCAGTCGTATTATTCTCGTTACTCATTTTTTATAATTAAAAATAGAATTATAAGGAAACGGTTGAGTACATTACCTTAATATATATCTACATAGTGCACACCTACAATGCAGGCTTGTCATTATTATTATTAGAATTCACAATAATGAAAAAATCACATTATTAATGTGTGAAGATTATAACTTATAAGGTAGGTTGGAAGGAAGGTAGGAACCTACTATCCTATCTGGCTATCTACGGCAATATAATTTATTAGCCTGCAGAATGCTATCTACATAAATTATAATAGGTTCGTACTTAGAATTTTTAAGACTTGCAGTGGGATGGCCATTTAGATTTATCATAATCATCAAGCAATAAGTATTTACACTTAAAATATAATTACGTAAAGTATGTTTCTGGAAAATATATATTATAATACGTGTTTAAAAAAATATTTGTACAGATATAATATTGATAAATATAAATGATACACAGATGCGGTGCGTTCCCGAAATATGTATTTACTTATTTGTTTTCCGGAGAATAACGATCATATTGTCGAAACCGTCATCTATTATCAAAGGCCATAAATGATTTAATATGTTATTTATTTACTTAACAAGAATTATTGTCCATATTTTTAATAAGATTAATAGACGATTTTATAATATTCATGAAAATAATATATAATTCTTAAATTGTTCGTCAGTCATAATGTGGTCACCCACATTACTGATATTAATTTGCACAAAGTAAAATTATTCAATTAAGTTTAAATTAAAATAAATTACAACATTATATTTTACGCATAAATTATGTTCGTCTGCTCTGCAGCTCTGGACCTTATGTTTCATGATAATATGCAATAAAAACTATGAAGTGCACGCCGAAGGGACGGGAATAAAAAACAATTATAATCATTACCTATCCTGCAGAGTTCCGTTATATTGAAAGGCTAGAAAACATAGTATATTTTATGCAGGGAAAAAAGCCATCTACTCCATATTTCTTAATAAAATATCGTGTTTGTTATTATTTTTTGGTTGATTGGTTCAATTGAAGAGGTTTCAACGAATACAAATGTACATATAGTACTACCTACCTACTTACATACAATTATTAAACAATTTACACACATTCTTGTTTTTTCGTCTGATTATGTAATCATTAAATTTATAATACAATTTGAATTCAATAATAAACGATGTATTTTCTTAAAATTGGTGAAAGTACCTAGAGTTCTCTTCATTTTTTGACGTTAAAAATATGTATTACCTATATTGTAAAAAAATGGTTTACCGTAAATAATACTATTATAGGTTACCTACCTACTATATATCTTATAAATTTCAAAATATCAATAAAAAAAATTCATCCGAAAAAAAAATGATATTGATGAAATTAAAACCAAGTATTATTATCAACATAAATTAAAATATTAAATAATTACTAATTACACATACATATTTTTATGAAGCCTTAAAAAATGAAGTAATAATAATAAGTGTTTTAATCCATGATTACATTAATTAAAATTAAAATTATATAATATGCTGCAGTAACTAGTAACCTAATTTCTTTTTCAATTAATAATCTTTTCTATTTCTAAGAAAATAATTTTAATATCTCTAATAGGAAATATTATTCACAATTAATAAAACAATAAATATTATATTTGAAATAATATATCGAAAATTCGTACCTAAGTGATATTAAAATAATTTTACCTTTATGCACCTTAACTAAATAACTTTGCAATGTTTGTGAAATTAATTAATTGTAACTACAATGCATATTGCAATAGGTAATATTTCTGTGTTTTTTAATTATATTTTAAATAAATGGAATTGGTATGTACTATATTATTGTTTGAAATTGATCTGGCAAGCTATAAACTTGTAGCTATAGAGATTCAGTTTATAGTAAATAATAGTTTATAGAAACAAGAAAATCCACCAAAAGAATTGCTGCAAATACTCGTTCGATTGACGAAATATCTTTGAAGGTCGCGCCAGAGAAGGCATGGTCACACTAGAGTACTAGATAATAAATTATAGAAAGAAGCTACCTTCTACACGATGGACTAGTAATATTAAACAAAAAGCAAGAAAAATAGTAACTGTTTACTCACCGTTGTTTCGATCGGTTCGATTACATTATTATTATCGTTAGCGATTCGAAGTCAAAAAGATTTTATTCAAGAGGTTGAATATCAAAAATACATATGTCACGCTTCGGTAGGTACGAACGTTGTCGTTGTGATACGGCGCGGCGAACAATATTGGTATGATATAAAAATATGAAAATTATTATTAAAATCAGTCGGGCCAAAAATGAAATATGTAGACGAAATAATAACGTTCGTCGAGCAGTAGATTATTTAGGGTTACAGAATGAAAAAAAAAAATAATAATAGTTCAGTGTTCAGACGCCCAGGCAGAAACGTAATTTTACAGGTAGGCGTGGTAATTTGTCTCTTTACGACATGTTGTACTACAGTGTAGCTATCGCGTACTGTACCTTATTCATCACAGAATAGAAAGGCCTTGGGAATGAATCGTTCTTAAACACGACGATGAACAATCGAGAAAAAAATTCCGACTTAATTAATTTGGACTAAAAAAAAATAATACCCGGAGCGCGCAGCACAAGTAGCCAACTTCTATAAATTCCGATGACAAACACCTGATTACTGATACACTGTATGCGCGCGACCAAATTTGAAAACAATTTGCTAACAATATATCAATAGTGGGACGTGATCAAATGTACAAGATTAGCCGGTGTTGTATACTTGTGTATAAATATTTAAGAAAAAACTTCATATACCTATATATTATTATACACTCCCGCCATGGCTGTAAAACATAATAACAATATTTGTTGATAATTTAAATCACACTTTACACTGTTTAAGATGTTGTTTTTATCGGACAGATTTGAATAGTTATTATATTATCGACAGTTTATAGTTTAGGGACACAAGAAATAATTTTCACAAATATCACAATGATACCTATACCCATTAATTATGCATAACATTTAATTGCATTAAAAACGCGATTACCTACTAATTGAAATATTGTTGTACGTGTATAGGTATAGTCAATGCATAATATATATTATTATTTATTATAATAGATGCTTTGAATAGTTGGATAATATATAAATAGGAAATAGGTAATATACCAACCGGTAATACCATCACGAACGATACTGAAATTAATTTTAAAAGGAAACAATTCATACAAAATATATGCAACTATTATCGGAATACAGCAGTTATCTTTCATTAAAAGTGGTTTTTTAATATAGATGATTGGGCTGTAATTTTAAATTAATATCCTATATTATAGTAAATATATTTACAATTATCAAATAATAAAATATAAAATAATAGCTACTAAAGCTGTAATATTTTATTTTTCTAAACGCGTTTGTTCGAGTAGATGCACTAGAAACATGATATTAAAAAAAAACCAGATTTCAGGACATAAACAAAAAGCCAGTGACGGCCGACGAGCACTCGTCTCGCTTCGCTCACCTCGGCACGGGACAGCAACTAATATTTTGTAATTAAATTATCACATTCGAAAGACGACGGTGAACGGATTTTGAAGAATTTAATAGAATATTTAGCATTGAAAATTTTTTATAGTTATCAGTTTATCACCTATAAAATTAACATAACCATTTACCATCAAAATATCGGACAATTTCGAAGCATTTCTATTAATTAATCCAAAAAATGACAACAGAGTTAAAAAATGTAATTCAGATTTATAAAAAAAAAAAGGAAATTGTAATACAATATTATTCTATACCAAGGTATTTAATATTAATTAATGTACAATTATAGTCAAATAAATCAACGATTTAAATTGAACCATAAACATATCCAAAACAATATAACATTTAAAAGAACATAACCATTATTAAATTCCATCTATGATTTTAATCAAAATGTTATTATAATTTGAATGAAAAAGATGGTATATAGTGGTACATAGTCTATACCACTATTATACTATTATCTGAGTTGGTAAATAAAACATAAATACGCGTTAAATAAATGATCATAAGTGTTAAGGGGTATGCATACCGACCGTTTCTAAGGAGTTCGGTATAGGCAATTTTCTAATGGTGTGCATGCGGGTCGTGTAAATGTGTGCGTAGTAAGTGATTATTAGTGTGGGTGACTGTGTATAAAATAAATAGTGGAGCACACCCGCACGTGCACGCACATGTCATTAACGGAACATTTTACACTCTAATTACAAATGTGAATTTTAGCGAAACACTGAAACTTAGTTTCGTATTTCCAATAATATAGCTTACTGAGTGACATTGCAGTATGAACACCTATTATACAAATTGAAGAGAAGGAGTTTATCTAGGCTTGTATAGGAGTCGATTTTCGATATTTTATTTTCAATGTCCAATATTTAACTCTAAAACTTATGATATTTTACTTTTTGAATTTGAATTATTGAGTTTAGTAATTAAAAATATTAAAATTTGACTTCTATACAGGCACAGATTAACTTCTCTTCTACAATATTGATAATAGGTGTTTTTACTCTCAAAGCACTTAATAAACCATATTATTGGAAATACAAAAGTACATTTATATAGATTTTTTCAATACTATTCATACCCGTTAAATAATAGGCGTTGTAACTATACAATTAAATTACTACCTCGTGACTTATATAGCATATATTTGAACATAATATTAGTAACTGCCAAAGTAAGTATACTAAGATTATTAATTATTTTATAGTCAAATAATGATAACTCGAGTAATACAAAGGAAACATAGGAAAATTCTCCTAAATGATGATTTGCATTTTTCTAGTTATGTAATACAATAATATTTTGTTTACCTACATTTAAACATTTTTAAATATCAATTAACAATATTGACGTATTATTTTTGAGGTATACTGTATACTTATTTAACACAACATTGATACTTTGATAAGAGATGGTTTTTTGTATTATTATAAAATATAATTCAGCGTTTGCTTATAGACACACACACAATTTCTCATAAATTAATCAGAGATTAACCCACCCGAAAAATTAAAGCTTACGACTTGGCAACATGTCATCATGGCAACATTTGTATAGAATACATTTTATAACATTGATTAGTGATTACTAAAGACCGGATTTATATTCTCTTAAGATACCTAAAATAAGATGCTAATATTCTCAAAAAACCTTCAAAAATTCTCATTATATTCTCTTAAAAATTTAAAAAAATAAGCTAAAATATGCAAAATATGCAAAAATATGCAAAAATAATCAATAAACATCATTATTTGCTTTAATAAGCATTTTTTAATTTTTTTTTTTCAACATTATTTTAATAGTGAGGTATTAATTAGGTATTAAAAGTTGCGTATTCAAATGGAATACTATTGCACTTTAGTAAGAGTTGGAAATAAATTATTATTTCAAATAATAAAAAAAAAAAAAATAGTAAATGTTCAAAAAAAAATTTTCTGGGTACCGTAGTATTAAAATTAAAAATAAATACAATTTTTTTCTTACAATTTACGAAATATTCCAATATAAATTTTATTTTAAATGGGTTAAATATTCTCTAACCCATGAAATATTCTTAAATATACAAAAAAAACTTTTTTCTACGCATTCAGATGATCGAATCGTCCACATCTTTTACTCTCATAAGACTGCATAGACCCAGTAACAATATGTAAAATCATAATATAAGTCCGGTCTTTAGTGATTACGTATAGGTATTTTGATGAGGGATAACACTCTCATTCAAACTACGATTTTATCTGTGTTATGTATGTAATTTTTATTATTTACGATTGCAATAATAATATATTAATATGAGTCTGAATATGACTATAATAATCAGTTGCGTGTAACATAGGATCCAAGTATTGCTCAGAATGAGACGATTTTCGCTTTAAGGTATCACAGGCTCAAGCACACCTTAAATATGGTTGGGTATTGTGTGAGTATTGATACAAGGAAAATAGGATATTTTCTCGATACCGGTCACCAAAAATTATTTAATCAACACCAATTTTTTTTTTTTTTATATATACACACCAGTGTCGCTACTGATAATAATGTATTATAGACTATAACGATGAACATTATATTAACATAACAGGAAGGTGATAAACAAATACATCTACAACATGTCAACATCCATAATATCTAAATATGTAATACCTAGGTATGTCCTATTATTTATTTATTTTAGATAAACTCATAGAATATAAATCGTCATCGAAAACCATAAACCAATAAAATTTGTCGATGATACTCATAATAATAATTTGTTTATCGATAAATTATTTGTAAAATTACTAAACCAACCAATCACTATAATGTATAATTTAGATTAGTTAAACCTTCTTGTTGTTAGTATCTGAACTTAGGCATTTGAAATTTATTAAGTCGTAAATTTTAATATATTCTTTATGAAATACGTATAATAATAAATTCATATAATAGATTAGTAATTAGTTAATGAGTTTAAAATAACATGTAAAAAATATGTATGTTGAAATGTGTATGAAAACATTTTTTTTATTAACGTTGTACCAATGTTTATAAATATTAGTATTTATAAATTATAATCAATGGTTGTAAATATACAAGAATACGGTAGGTATAGTTACCTAATAGTTGTTTAAAACGATATCATAAATCGTAACTGGTTCTAACTAAAATACATTTTTAACCTAAAGATCTATCCTCTATTAACTCTTGACAACATTTAAATTAAATACGAGTACCAACCTATAAATATTAATATATTATGCTATGAGAAACAGTAGGAAAAGTAAACTCTCAATTTGTTTTATTTTGTATATAATATACATTAGAATGAATATGGTAATTTTACCGAGAATAGTTTATGCGTACAATATTATAAGAAACTATTGACAATTTATATATTAGAGTAAAATGCCCCCTCGTAACTCGTAAAGCATTTAAACAAACATTATGAGTGCTTATAAAATCCAATTTTTATTCAAACATGTAAAATTATTTCTTTTTATTCTCGTTTAATTTTATGCTTTCCTGAGCACACAATGCAAATAATAATGATACTATATCAAGGAAACCATATACTTACATACATTTTATAATAATATATATTATGTACTAATTTTAAAACTTGTTTTTACTATTAATTTACGAGATCGTATTGCAAGGTATATAGTTCCGCTTTTGTCAAATAGTGAATGTAAGTTGGTAGGTAGGTATAGGTATTAAAAAAAAAATCTAAGTATTAACATGTTTCTATATTAAATGAATATTTAGTTAGCTTTTATTGTTTAAACATTGAACAGTATTTTAAATAAAAAGTCAAGTTTTTAGTTAAATTTATTTTATACATTTAAACTAATTTAAGACAAACGCCAAACAATTAAAAAAAAATAAAATAACCTAACCTAACCCAAAAAATAAAATGTTAAGTGGTTTAATAGTTAGTTATTCAATTTTCACTATTGTAAAAAAGTGATTGTATCATTTTCTAGATATGTAGAAATGTGAATTGTTTTTAAAGTAGTAAATATATAGGAACTAGTAACCAGGTATAAAAAATTACAAAGGGATATAAAATGTTATGGAAAATTATAGGGGTACTCATTTTAGATTCCGAGAGGGGCGATTAGATGACGTATTGATTTTAGTGTATTTTTTTTAATAAAAAAAAATTGCAAACTAGTTTTTAGTTAGAAATTCATAAAAGATAACTTTTTTAGCCAAGATTATACATTTTAATTAAAAGATTCGTCATAAGTTTTTCTACCTTTAACAAAAAACAGATAAAAACCATAAGATATTTTCGATTTTTAATAATTTTTATTTGAATTATTAAATTGTATTATTTATACAAGTAAGCCAGGATGAGACACTGTCAGTGTATGATTACACACTCCACTCAGAATCCTTAATTGTATACAATGATTTATCAGTGAATTCAAACCTAACACATATATTACAATGAAAACTACGCGACAACTACTGTGTACAGCAGAGCGATACCCCGATACCCACTTGTCCACCTTTTTTCTTTTGAAATAATTACAAAATAGTTTTAATAAAGTTAACATAAAAAACACCTATAAAATATAACGAATAGTAATAATAGTAAATAACATACCTTGCTTAATAAATCGTTTGGCACTGATTTTTGTGATGAAATGTAGTTATTTTGTGTGCATTCAATAAATTTTTTCAGATCACTAGCGGCTTCTTTAACTTTTTCGGATAAATCCTAGAAAAATTATTGAAAATTACTCTCAATAAATATTATAGCATATCTAAATATGTATGTTGCAAACAAAAAATATATATCTAATAAATCACTAGGTACCTATTTATATTAAATAACATTGCTTGGTTGGGAAAAATATTGTTATGAGCTACTCAATAAATAAACAATTTTCAATTAATTCTTATTAACAACTTGACCAACATAATTTAAGGCAGGACTCGTTTTTGTGAGTTTAAATTTTAAGGGTCAGTCTTACGAGAGAATCCTTGGCCAGTGGAACTTTATACATTATAATTTATAGGTACATTTATACGTATATACTATACATGGTATACCTATACCACTATACCTAACGTTGTTATATTTGTGGAGCCGCGATAACTCGTGTCTATCCGTTTAATGTAATTTATGTTTTAATAATCGATAAATTTCCATTATTTTATGACATAAATATTTGTGAAATTATATAACAAAATTATTGTACTTCTGTGAACTTACGTCAAATTCCTTTTGGGTTTGTTCCGTATCTTGAGCGAACACGTAAAAATATTCCACTTCAGGTTTAAGACTATTCAGAGACGATTCCAATTTGTCTAGTCGGGCCTCAACCTCGGTGAAATCATTCAAATACACTTCAAATTGACTGAGTTCGTTGTTCAATTGTTGCAAGAGTCTGAAACAAAATTAAAGTTTAAAACGCACTGCCGCACTGGAATATACTGGATCGAAATCGCACACTTTTTCGCCACTACACTAGAAGGCACGTACTAAAAAATGCCAACAGTTTATTATTGTAATTCTGGTTACATATATTCCAGTGCTATATTTATACATATAACTTTTGGACAAGACCCAATTATTTAGGACTAAATTGTAACGATGCGAATGTTTTATTTTAGTCGAGTGTTTTGAGTAGCAATTCGCACTAAAAAAATTCGACAATATTATGAAGTCTGAGTATATTACGACCACCGATTTATTATACAAATACAAATCAAAATATATTTACAGTTTCCCCACATTGTGTTTGAAAAACATCACAGTAAATCAGTAAATAACAATAAAGTATTATTATTAACTCACTTGTTAATTTTATCATAATATTAAAGACCTTTACTTAAAAAAAATAGTATTTTATGACATAAATATATCTGGGGCTTGGGTCAAAAAGGGCCAATCTCACTTTTTGGCGAAAATGAGTTATATGGCCAATCTTATAAAACTTTATACGCTTTTTCTAGTGGTAAAAGGGCGTATCGCAATAATCATTAGTGCGAGATATGAGAAGTCCAATGTCATGAAAATTACAAAATCTAAGGGGCCAATGTGAACATTGGCCCCATTTTGTTTAAAGAAACTTATGACTTTGGCCCTTATAGTAAAACTATAAGGTCATGATTTCTTTTTATAGGGCCAATGTAAATAGAAAACCTTCAATATTTCACTAAAAAATTCACACCATATTCTAAAATGTAGGGTAAACTATATTTACATCCATCACAAAAACAAAAACATGAACAATAAAAAAAAAATGCTACGAATTTTCAAAAAAAAAAGAAAGAGGTTTTATTCTTGATTTCTACAAAGTGATTAAAAGTGAGATTGGACCTTTTTGACCCAGATATAATTATGAAACAAATATATTCTATTAAAAACGTATATAGGAACGCCGTAAATATTTGAAATTTTGTTGCAATTTATATATTTTTGCTTGTGAAAACTACACGAAGAAAATAGAAAAAAAGTTACAATTCTATGTAAAGTATGTACCTACCAATTTTATCATAGTTCATAACATATAGTAACAATTTAAATGATAATTTTCATAATTTATATGCATTTTGTTAAAGGCTTTTATTTAATATCAAAAATATTAACTTTTTTTAAAAATCCAAATTAGAAAAACAACGTTGAGAAAACAACGAATAAAATATATTGTTCTCTATATTTTCTTACTATGAACTATGATACTACTAACTAAATTTCAACCATGCAATCACAATCTAGGAAGTACGGAATAGGTTCTAAGTACTCATAATTATGTAGGTAAAGGACAAATAATTTAAATGTTGAGTCCTCACTTGTCAATACGACAGTACCACTAGTGTACTAGCTGTTAAAATAAAAGTAAAGCTACGCAGAAGAGTTGAATTTCACGGAATTCTTTGTTGGTCAATTAAATATGTACTTCAAACTTAAATTGTTTCCAAAACTGAACCCCAATTTATAAGTATGGTGAACCTGAACAGCGTATTGATTTGATAAGTTCCGGTTCGTTCTGAGACCAGGAAATATAATGTAGATATAATGTACATCAATTTGCAATATAACATTAAAAATAAGTAATGATTAAATTTTCTAGGAAAACTTTTAAATTTTGTACTAAATACAGTCGAGTCTTGATAACTTAAATCTCAAGGAGAATAATTATAAATTCAACTTGTGCATTTTTCAAGTTATACCTCAAACATAGATAACTTAGACACACTTTAAAGGGCAAGAAAAAAATCGAGTTATCGAGGTTATCGAGTTATCCCGGTTCGAGTTATTGATACTCGGCTATAATGTGAAAAAATATTATGATCATTTTACATACAAGAAAGTACATATTTCTTAAAGACAGCTTTATAAGTGACAAATTGTATGCGTCAAATGTACCCATTGGCCATGTATTGTTCAACTTATAAAAGTTTTTTACAATATTATACAATTATTAGGTAAGTGATTTCTACATAGGTATTGTAAATTTGTCCTTATTTTTAAGAAAAATAAAATAATATTTCTCGGCCAAGTATAGAAGTAAACATTAAAATTTAGAAAAGGAAAAATTCAGTGTCAAGTAAAGTTGTTGACAAATTTAACTCTGTTTTACCTATATACAATAAACAGTATGTATGATGGAGAAAAAAGAACATAGGTGGTAATATAAGCCAAATAAAAGCTAATGAAAAATGTTCTCGCCCACGACAGTATATAGTATAGTGATAATTTAACGTATTTAAAGTGTTGATAGGTATACCTCCTATTTTTCTTTAAGTGTCCAAGCACCCTAATGATCAATAAACTCGAGCATCCGGCTTTTACACTCCATATTGCCTACATTAAACTCCTTATAAAAACAGACCATACGTGGAATCCTCTCAAATGTATAATGTTATACATTAAACGCTCGTCATGCCAAAGCACATGACTACATGAGGAACAGAAATAGTTATAATGTATCAAAAAGTTTGAGAACACGAAAAATTCAAGATATCGACGTTCAACATAATAATATAATCTACTATATTTGTATTTTAATGTTATGCAATGGCCCAATGTTCATTTTTATTTTTGGATTTTTTTTTAAGTTGTGTGTGCTAAATGCTAAGAGACTCTACAAGACTAAAAATTTCAGTTTTAAAAAAACTTCTACATTCGCAAAAATTTAATAAAAAAAAAACATTAAGAATAAAAATATTTTCATATCAAATCAAATCAAACTTAAAATAAACATTTTCTTAAAACAGAATGTATTAGATCATAAGACCCTTAACCGCCACAGATGCAATACCTATACCTAATATAAAACCATACACTATATAAATATACTATTCATTTATATTTTGCACGGACATACATTTAAATAATTTTATTGTTTTCCTCCAATGACAAATCAGTTTTTTTTTCGAAATCGCACTTAAGTGAATTTTAAACAAAACAGAAATAATTTAATATGACAGCAATATTTTGTATTACATACTATTTGAATATTAATAAAATTGCACGAGGTTTTATTTATATAATAAATGTATATAATACTATCATCTCCAAAATCTTACGTGTTATTATTTCGATATGAAATTATAATAGCTGTAATACTTCGTCTTTGAGGAGTATGACATAATCAATTAGGTGGTCTCATACATTAATTATCTGGCAGTGTGCCAATGAGTTAGAATTTTTTTTGAAAGCATGCGGTTTGTTCTGCTGAATGAGTCATATTATATCATATTATAGACTATAGGCTAACACACTACATGTCTACGCATAGTTACAATATATTTTACACTCGTCGTTCCGGAATAAAAATATATTGTGTATTAAGTATTTCATAAAATCAAATGAATAAAAATAAATAAAAATAACCAATAACCGAAACCATACGTTACGACTATAAATTGTTTGATTCAAAGTTGTAATGTACCTACGTATTTTCAATGGTCAATGGTCATAATAACTATGTCCACTGTTGAACTGTTGATAATATTGTTTTGACGGGCACCTATGCGTATTATATCTCGTATAGTTACGTTATGTACATACCCGTACCTATTATACATTTTTTTTAGTAAGGGGATTGGTGGCCCCCCAGTTTTTAAGGAGTTCGAACTTCGAATTAAGTAATTTTAAAATTGCATGCATGCAGGTCTTGTAAATGTGTGAGTAGTAAGTGATCATTAGTGGGTGTGACTATGTAAAATTGTAAGAGAAATAGCAGGGCGTTCCAGCACGCGCATGTACAAGTCACTGCCTTAGCGTTGCACGTTTTGTCTCAATAAGCTTGGATCAAATAAATTATATTTTTTTTAAATAAACCACTCTTGGACCACTCTTTTTTATTCATAGGTATACTTTTAATGATAATATTGATACACCCACGTCAACACCTGTTACTTGAATAGTTTAAACTATACTTGAATAGGTACTATAAAGCTCTTATAATAAAAACAAAATAATGTTAGGTTAGCCAACAATAATCCCTTATCCAACGAAACATTGGCTAGCTCCGTCAATGTAATATAACAAGTTATTTTTACATTTTATGGTACCTGGATATGAAATAAAAAGTAGCTATAGTTGTTGCGGTTTTGAATATTATAATATATTTATATCATTAAAAATTATAGAACAACACATTACCTGTGTCAATTTTACTATTCAATTAAGTAACATTGACGATTGACCTATTACCCAGAAATAAATAAATAGTTAATTTAAAAATAATTAAAATTCAAGGTGCATATTGTTATAGTGGAAAAACATGTGCTCAATTTTTTTTCTAATTTAAAAAAAACCTAACGTGTGACTGATAGCTCTGAATATTTAAGGAATGCAAGAAACTAATAAATAATAATTTTTAGTGGGGAACGTCTTAAATGATATTAATTAAACTATAAACTAATTAATTAATCATTTAATCATTGGTAAACATTGAAAATAGGTATTGATGTAAGGCGTGTATTCTCATATTGAACTTTAATACTTTATTCTCGATTAAAAATGATTATCCAATATCCAACGCTCTAAATGGAATCAAATTGATCACAACAATAATAAGACAAAAATAAGTTTTTATCAAAACAAAACTTTCTTTCGTTCAAAATCCTTATTTTTTGCTTACCCAAAACAAAGCAAATATTGGCTAGAAGTAATATTTACCTAACAAAAAGTGCACATGAACGTTCAATAAACGAAGATGTTTTATGAGTCAAGATTACGTCAATATAATATAATACATACATTACAATGAATGATACGATTACGCCCTTGTACTTAAATTGTATAAATTATATTTTCAACATAACTTGCGAGTTGGTCGAATGACCTGAAATACGTTTGCATTCTAAATGCAATAAAAACGGCATTCGCTACTTAACTGTTTAATGCCAATTTAAAATTGTTAATTATTTTCCTGCAAAGGGAGTTTTAAGTTATAATATTAAATGTAATGAACATTTTTTTTATATTATATTATAGCTAATAGGTAAATCAAAATATCTATTATAATATTCACTAATTATTAACTAGTAATTAATAACTATTCAGTAGGTATAATCAGTGGCGTATCAGTAGGAGGGATATGGTGGTCATATCCCACCCCCTGAGACCAAATTTTGTACACGATACAACATGTATGTAATAATATGAATATAATATGTGTACCTATACTGAATGTCTATTCAAAATTGTATATCCCCCCTTGAAAAAATCCAAGAAACGCTACAGGGTATAATATTATTTTTCATTTTACTTGATATTCAGTAAGAATAGATAACATAATACTGTATACTACTTATAGGTATTGAAAGTTTAAAAATTAAAAATGTATTTAAAAATTATTGTAAGCCTAATGTAGTTTAAGATTACGTGATACCCGCATGTGTTGTCTCCGGCTTACAAGTGCATAATATAGCACATTTTAGCAAAACACGTGTAGCTCCATCAATTTAATAATTAGAGTAAATTGACCTCTTATAAAATCTAAAGGTAAGATTATTACATAGAAAACCTCATGAGCCTTTTATTATATTTTAATTTTTAAGCGAGATATGAGTACCTACTTTAAGATGTACAAACAATTTATAATTTTAAAATACTCATAGCTCGCTTTAAAATTAAAATATAATAAAAAGCCCACGAGGTTGTCTAGATAATAATCTTACCTTTAGATTTTAGAAGAGGTCAATTGACTCTAATTTTTAAACCAACGGAGCTACACGTGTTCTGCTGAACGTAGAACTTGTTATGTTACGCACTTCTAAGACGGAGACAACGTCCTCTTAAACAGAAGAGCAAAATAATTTAACTTACGATTCATGTTTTTCGTCATGCGATTTAATGTCATCTTTCAAAATAGTGGATGCGGGATGAGATTCGGAAGTTAAAAAGTCGAGAACGCTCTCACCGACCGGCTTAGTATTATTGAGCTGATCACCACAAACATCCAAGTTGTCTTTAAGTTTCTAGAAAAGAAATCATCACCAATGTCAACATGCAACTAGAAAAATTTATAATAGGTGACATAGACAAGGCTTACGCGAAGTGTAGCTATAGATTCCACTATTTGATCTTTCGATCTAATCACTCGATCGACGCTCGTTAAAGCATCTTTAATGCGAGTAAATTCGATTTCAATTTTCCTATACTCGTCTTCGATATTTTTCCATTTATCACCCACTTCGGTCACTAACATTATTCGAGACGACATTTCTTTTTCTAGTTCAGACCACTGTTTCACAAGCGAATCGGTATTAGATTGGATTTCATCGTTGCCGACAATCAGTTTTGATTTGGTCAGTAATGAATCCAGTTCATTTTGTTGGCGCTAAAAATGCAAAAATCAGGTACCGATATTAATAATATTTTTTTACAAAACAAAACAACTTAACAGTATCCATCGCTTACAAGTAAATCGTTTTGCACTAATGTAATCTTTTCAACATTGAAGTATAAGCCAGCTAAGTTCTGAATAGGATCTTCCTTGTATTTACAGCGGTCTAAAATCGATGATACTTTGTCGACAACATTTCTGTACTCTTTGTAAACACCAAATTCGTCATCCATTTTTTTCTGAATGGCTTTAGCAGAATTCATTACGTCGTCGAGGTCTTTATTGAAACCCCGTTGTTCTGCCGTCAGAACATCGTTTTGCTGAGAAGTTAAGGAAGGTCTGATTTTATCTATGGAATGCTTGATTTTCTTAGTGACTAAATCATGAACAGTTTGATCACTGAAGAATGCCTGAAAAAAAATAAAAATTTAATTAACGGATCAATTCAACATATTACATATTATACAATGTACATCTTGCACTGTACATACTTTTAAATGCTCCATATTTGAAACCATATTAGCATAATCATTTTTGTCTTCTTCGACGGATGCCAATTTTTGTTTAGCTTCGTTAATCCACAGTACAAATTTGTCCTTTAACTGTTCGTAGTCCACACGATAGCCTTTATTTATATTTAAATATGTTTGTCTGTCCTGTAATTCTTTTGGTATAGTATTCAAAAATGAGCTAGCTTCACTCAAACATTCAAGCATTGTACTGTCTTCAATATTTTCGTTTTGGGCAGTTGAATGTATCGTCTTCAATCGAGACAAATGCTCATCAACTTTTACTTTTAATTCCTTAAACAAAAAAAAACATCACATTTCAAATTTTATATAAAATAGATTATTAATAATAAATGTACGAAAAGTATTCATAAGCTATTTTGCTTTCAAGTAGAATGCATATACCTATTATTCCAGTAGGTAGGTACTTAGGCATAAAGTTTGTACATGTAATGTAACATTAATATATAATAGTATTTAAATTTAACTACATGCAAAGGGCATGAGCATTAACATATTTTTATGAACAATTGGTTTCTATTAAGGGGTATGCATACCGACCGTTTCTAAGGAGTTCGGTATAGGCAATTTTCTAATTGTGTGCATGCGGGTCGTGTAAATGTGTGCGTAGTAAGTGATTATTAGTGTGAGTGACTGTGTATAAAATAAATAGTGGAGCACACCCGCACGTGCACGCACATGTCATTAACGGAACATTTTACACTCTAATTACAAATGTGAATTTTAGTGAAACACTGAAACTTAGTTTCGTATTTCCAATAATATAGCTTACTGAGTGACATTAAAATAAAAAGTGATTTATTTAACACTACCTTATTTAATTTGTCTAATATTTGATCTAATCTTCTCTTATCCTCTTCTATTTCTCTGCTTTCTATATCATATTTTCCCCCTTTTTATTTCTTCTACATACATTTATAACCACTATACTCTCAATATAATTATTTATTCATATTATGCTGCTTTTATATAATACCTATCTTTAAATTTAAATCCTTATTTAATATTTAATATTTGTATACATAAACTTTTTTTTTCTTTTTTCTTTTGTTCTTTTCTCTATTTTGTTCTGTTTTATGTTATTTGTATTGTATTCACATTACCTACTTTTAAGTTGTAACCCATATTATGTGCACTTAACACAAACTGTCACTACAATATTTTTGTAATTGGAATTTATTTCCGTAAATAAATTATTATTATTATTATTATTATTATTATTATTATTACAGTATGAACACCTATTATACAAATTGAAGAGAAGAAGTTTATCTAGGCTTGTATAGGAGTCGATTTTCGATATTTTATTTTCAAGGTCCAATATTTAACTCTAAAACTTATGATATTTTACTTTTTGAATTTGAATTATTGAGTTTAGTAATTACAAATATTACAATTTGACTTCTATACAGGCACAGATTAACTTCTCTTCTACAATATTGATAATAGGTGTTTTTACTCTCATACCACTTAATAAACCATATTAATGGAAATACAAAAGTACATTTTTATAGATTTTTTCAATACTATTCATACCCCTTAACTATTATCTTTTTTTTTTTTTAAGTAAATATACATTTTGATATAGGATATCTGGTAGGTTTATGTTATAGCCTATAAGATGAATTCCAAACATTTTTTTCTACTAATATAGAAACTAATTGCATATTATTCATAAATTATAGGTAGGTACCTACCTACTATGATTTGGTTGAATTGGTGTCATTAAAATTAGTTTTACCTAATTATTATACAACTCACCATGAAAATAGATTTTATTCAAACACCAGTACCTACCTATTATATTCAATACTTTTGAACTAATGTTATGGTCCTATCCTAGTTTCAGAATGTGTATTTAAATTTATTTAAATTTTTTTTAGATAATATTACCTCATGTGCCTTTAAATCGGTTTCAACACTATTGATATTAATTTCAAGCAGTGGTCTGGATTTAATGAGAGCTTCGTTTTCACGTATCCAATCTAAAACTTGTTCTAAATCCGCAGCAAGTTTAATGTGTTCCGCTGCGGTGGCTTCAAGTTTTTGTCTTTCTTTTTCCACAGCTTTTCTCAAAGTAAGCAACTGTTGTTTTAATGATTGCAACTGCTGAGTTATGTTGTTATGATCGAATGCAGAACCTACTTCTGCAATTCTTTCACCTTTATCTGTTGCCAACAAGAGAGTTGCTTCACACTCTTGAATTTTAACCGTAACCTATAATGTATTGAATAATAATCAATGTAAAATGTATTGTAAGTATTTAAGAAAAATATAAAACCTCATCAAACTGCTTGATTTTGTTTTGAATAGTGTTTCCAGATTTTCCAATCTCATTGACAACACTAGAATATTTTGTAAGAAACATGACAATATCAGCAATCAATGTCATAAACTGCTCATGAAGGTGCAACAATTGTCCAAGTTTTGATAATTGTTTTTCAATTGTATTGATCAGCTCTTCTTGCTGCTTAACAATTTCGTTAAGTGATTCATTATCATTATCACTTAATTTATCATTCCATTCTTTTAGTTCTTTTAACAATGTCTGCAAACATGGAATATCATAAATAATTAAATAATTTTATACAAATATATTTGTATAGCTATATAGGTACAAATTCTAAACATTTATGGTTAACTTACTTCATATGACTTTATCATGTCTTTGACATCATCCACAGTACTTCCCACTGGACGATCAAGCTCTTGCAAGTTTGACTGAACTTTTTGAATCATTTTCTTACTTTCGTCTACAAGTTTTGATATATTTTTCATTTTTTCTAGATATTGTCCAATCATTTCAATTCTATCTTTGATCATAGCTTTTGTTCTTTTTTGACTGTTTTCTAATGATAAAATCTGATCGCTAATCTTTAATGTATCCGATTCACTTAGTACCATTTTTTCACTAATTGTTTTAATTTGTTCAATAGTATTATCAATTTCAGAACTGCGATTATTAAGATCATCATACTGTAATTAAATCATTTCATATTTTTTATTGTTTAGTTAATGACATGTTAAAAATAATAATATCTAATAATTAATTTAAAAATTAAAATAAATTATTTACCTTTTGCAGTTGATCTTCTACAATATTTAAACTTGATAGACGAACATCAGCAGACATGATCACTTCTACTTCACTAAACCATTGCTGACATAAATTAACATTATTTTCAACATTTTTCCTATTTTCCAAAACAGATTTTGATTTTTCTTCAGCAAAATCACTCATTTTGTCAATTAGTTTAGTCTTATTGAGAACTTCTAAAAAAAAACAACATTTATTAAAGTTAAGTTAATAAAATAAATACATCGTTTGTGCTTAATTTAACAAAAATAATTTACCATTTAAGACTGATTGTATTACTGAAATATTATCTTTATCACAGAAAGCAGATAAAACTTGACTATTTTTTTCTAAGTCCGATAATTTTCCATCTTTAAAACATTGAATGTCTGCTTTTAAATTCTATTAACAACATTTTTTTTAATTAAATAAGTTTATCCATCATTGATCATTATATATTTATTAAATTAATAAATAGGTATATTTTACCAATATTTTCTCAACATTTTTCTCAGCTTTAATAAATTCTAAAGGTTCAAGTTTATATTTATCTGGTGAGAGATCTTTTTCACTGCGATCTAACCATACATTACACTGATTAAGTGCATTTTCAAACTTTTGACTGGCTTCATGCATGTTCTTAATTTTTAATAGACTTTCATTTATTTCTAGAACATACAGTAAATATTTTATAATTTTGCAATAAGGTAGGTATGTAAAAGTTAAGTTAAGTTGATTTAAAAATTGCAAAGAACCTATTTGGCTTACTTGTTTTAAAATTGTCCAATTTATTGATTGTAGGCTTGTATAACTTTTCCTCGAGATCGTTGAACTCTATAGGTTCTGATTCAAGTTCTATAGCATTGAGTTTAACTGTAAGTGAATCAGTTAAGAAAATGTGTTTTGTCTCTGCTTCTTTATTAATATTTTTTAAATCAATCAACTTCTTTTCAACACTGTTACTATCATAACTAACTATATTATTTTCATCCAACAGTTGTGATTTTGCATCTATCCAACTATTAATTTCTTCTATTTGTGATCTGGCATATAATAAATTTTTTTGGGAATTTTCTAAGATTTCATATTTTCTTTCCATTCTTGTCCAAAAGTCTTTATAACGCCGATCAGCTGATTTCATCTACAACAAAATTAAATTATATAATTTTTTTTAAAGTTTTTGCAGTTAAAAATGTCAATATAATATAACAATATATAGGTAAGTAATCAATAATCATATAAAATATACCTATGTATTATTATACACATGATTAAAGTTAACACAAAATATGACAAATATACCTGATCATCAAGTAACTGAGCATCTGAAATGCTGACTACTTGTCTTAAGTTTTGACAGTTCAACCTTAAATTATTAATAAGTTTTTCTCCATTATTAATATAATCTTCTTTTATATCATTAAACAGTTCTAGTTTGTGTTGACAAGTGTTTCCACTGCCTTTTTCCAAGGACTCAATACATTTGGATAAATTATCAAACCAATTTTGTAAATCTGTTTCGCTGTTTTTATATACTAACAATAAGTTTTGATCAGATTGTTTTTTCAGAAGTATTTCATTTACCTATAATAAATATAAAAAAAAATATTATTTAGTTCATAATATTCATTACATTTAAAATATTCTTTATAGCTTAACACATTTAAATTTGAATGTAACTTTTAAATAGTCTGTTTAATATAGGTAATTAGGTAGGTACTAAATTTACCATATCTGTCAAATTGTCTAAATCAGTAACAAGTTTATCTGATGTATCATCTGATACTAATTCAGCTATTTCCAATTTTTTATCATTGACATTTGTAATATTTCATGTTAAATGGGTTATTTCTTGAAGCAGTTGCATCTACGTTAACCCAGTTGGTGTTTCCTTCATTTTGTTCAAAATGCCCATTCTTCTTCAATCCATTCATAAACGATTGCACGCTGGTTGTGTTTATTTTCCAAAACTGATATCATATTGACCAATTCATCAACAAAGTTTTGTACCTACAAATAATAATTACTATTATAATCAAATTCATATAAAAAATCTTGTGTAATATTTTATGTTATGCTATTGAATATTAACATGTATCTCTTGTATGAACACATAATATTGTAAAGAATAGGTACATATTAAGAACAGAAGCTATTAACAAGCTATTACACAAGCTATTAACAATTAATATAAAAACATAACTACATACATAATCAGTAAATGGAATTAAAGTTAGGTATGCCTGTGTCTTCTAAGTGTTCAAGCATTGACAACAGTGTTTTAGATGGTTTTGGTGCCAGTTTGCTTTTCTACGTAGCATAAACAACATAAAAAAAAACAACACTACTTGGTTAAATGAAATCAAAACTACAAACATTAGTATTTATTAACACACAACTAATCATTTGTTTTATTTTTTATAAACATAAATTAAATTAAATTAAATTATTAAAAATCAAAACAATACATTCCGATTATTATAACAGTGTATTGTATTATGCAAAGTGGGTTACCTGATCAAGGTTTTCTTCTAAGCGTAAACGAATGGAAATTTCTTGTTCGGGAATCATAGAGTTGCTTGACTCCACAGGACTGCTAGGCCTAGAAATACTCGCTACTGCAGCTTCACAAGCCTGTACAGCTAAAGCCAACCTAGTTTTTTCCGCTTGTAACTTATTCAGGAGATCCTAAAATATTAAATAATATGATTTAAAAAAACGTCATACAATTATAATGTTAGAGAATTTCTATTCTTATGTGATATGTTCACAATTGATTTTATTCATTTTTTTCCTGGTCGATAACATGGCAACGCATTTATCAGGTAGTGTTAATTGCTAGTTAGTAATTTTTCAAGTTTTTATTAAGTAAATAAACAAACTATCTTTTTATATTTTTGTTTTTATATTAATTGTATAATTTAAGTATCAAGTCATATTATAACATTTTTTAGAACATATTTTAAGTGTATATTTGTTGTCTTTTTAGTGCATAAGTGCATACATATTATCAGGTTTACAAGGACTAGAAGTCCTCAGCCTTAGTGATTTCAAATATCAAAATGTCAGGTAGGTTAGGTACCTACTGCTTCAGAATTTTATTTGCACAAGCCTCCGGGAAGCTTTACAGCTATGCCTGATGTACAGGATTTTCTTTTGAGAGATTGGATAAAAGTATACATTTGTGATATGTATATATTTTCAATTTAAATTACCTCAAAAATTAAGATATTAAAAAAATCAATATTTTTAGCTAAGATATTTTCATATTTTTGTATTTTTTGTACCTTTTATAGTCTTTTCAAAATATTGAGAATATAATATAGGGTTAAAACATCAGACATAATAAAACATACATATTTTACCACAGTCAAACAAACACTAAAATGTTTTGAATGATTATATTATTATTTATTGATAAAATGATAATCATTAGGAACCTAGTCACCTAAATGAATGTTATTAGTTCATAAAATATCCTATTTAATATATGGAGTACGACTCCATGTTATTTATCTTGATTCTAATGTTAGCTGTTTATGCATAGGTAACATTTGTTGCCTGACTTACCAAAAAAAAATTTATAATAATTTATTCTTACCCGGTAAATTATTAATTGCTCTTTTGCTTCTGAAAGAGTCCAATTATCATCTATGGTTTTGTTCATAAATGGTTGGTAATCATCCAAGTTGGACCAAATGCTTTCCAACATGTCTTCGTATTGTTTGAATTTTAATAGAGACTCTTCGAGTCTAGCTTTTATTTGTTGGGCTGTGTTAAACAGTGAATTATAACTATCTTGAATATTATTCAATTGCTGTTCAACTATAGTCTGAATTGACGGTGTAGATGTAACATAACGCTGTATTTGAGTTTTTCCCTTTGATTTTAAATCATCTAACACTTCTTGGTACCTAAGAACAGACAAACATTTTAAATAAAATTATCCTTCATATTTTCAATTACAATATATTACTGAATAATTTCATTAAGTAGGACTTGGTGGTGACTTATTTGTTCTTGTGTCTGTTGTCTATTGGTGATATACAATGAGTTATGAGCCATCAACTGGAATGATATTTGTAATAACCATTTTTCAGATTCTTGGAGTGCTTGTAAATAATTGGAATGTTGAGATATTTCACTTTCTAGACTATCTATACGTTTCAATGTTTTTTCTTTAAGAATATTTTTCCTTGTTTTTAACTGTTTAATATCAGAATTTAGATTATTATTTTTACAGAACTTTGAAAGTTCTTCGGTTTCAGTGATAACATGGTTGAAATCAGTTTCTTTTTCATCAATCTCATTTATAGTATTATTTAATCTTTCGAGAATCGTTTTCATTTCTCCAACATCTGCTCTAAAATCATGCTTTTTAGTTGTTTTAGATTCCAAAGAACTTAGCCATTTCTCAAGATTATCCTTTGCTTCGTTGTTCTCTTCCCAGCGGGCTTGGAGAGATTTTAAATGTGCAATAACAGAATTTAAATCAATATTTAAACTGTTCCAACTGTTACTTAGTTCTTCCATAGAATTAACCAAAGCATTTCTTTCTGCTGCTAATGTGTTATTCAATGCTTTGGTGAAAACTTCTTGCATACCATTCATTAAATATTGACCTAAAATTTAAACATTAATAACAGTATTATTATTATTGTTTACACGGAAAAATGAAAATTTAATATCATAATATATATATTCACAAAATTACATTTTTGTCATAAATAATTCAATAGTATACCTTCAGTTATTCTAGAAGAAACCAGATTTACTGTTTGTAGTTTGTCTTTTACCCAATCTAAATCACCTTCTCCAATGCAATCTTGAACTGTACCATGAGCACGATTCAACCATTCTTCAACTTTTTCTTTTGCCGCTATAAATTCAGTATGATCAGTCAAACTCTTTTCTGCTTTTGATACAAGTCTATAAGACAGTAATAAATATAAACATTAGTACCAATTTTTTTTTAAAGTTATTCATAAAAATAAAAATATAATGTTCACCCTTGAGTAGTAGTTAATAAAGTTGTATATGATGATTGTATTTTTAGAGTGTCGTCTCTAACCCAATTGCATGCACTTAATTCCATTAAAGATTCACACCGATCAGTTAGTTCTTCAATAGATACATTTTGATTAATAATTTCTTGAAGCCAAAGTTTGTATTGGTCTAGATCATCTGGAGTGTATGCTTCATTAGACAATGAAGCTGTGCTGACTTTATTGGTTAAATCTGTTTCCCAATCTTTTAATGCCTTATATACTATATTAAAATCATCCCACGCCTTAGCACATTTATTTAATGCAGATTGCACTTCCTTAATAAAATGCTTCAGCTCGTCCCAGTCACTGTTCAATTGATTTTTATCTTGGTTTAATTTATCACAGCCTTCTGGCCCAGTACTGTTTTTCAGGGTTTCAATAAGTGCTAAAACATCTTTGATCATTCCTTCACCACTTTGAGAAGATTCTTCAATATCTTTTAGCTGGGTGATCTTAGAAGCATTAACTTTATTATCCCCATGTGTATCAGCACAACCTTGAACTGCAACTCGAGTTTTTCTCAACCAATCATTTAAGTTTATAAACGCACTTCTATAAGCTTCATGTTCTGCTACTTGATTTTCCATAGCTGATAGTTTATTAGTTATCTATAATATAAATAATAATTAGTAATAAAACAATATGAATGATTATTCATATTTTTAAATAAATTATTACCATATTAATAAGACTATTATATCTTGATACACAAGTTATGGATTCCTGAGGTGAAGAAGACTTGTTATCAATATTGGACGATAAGCGATTAACCTGTTAATTATTATTTTAATTATAAAACTTATTTAAATACAATTTTAAGCTTAAATTGCTTAAATTTATACATACTAAATCATTGTGAGTATTAAGTTCATGAAGCAGGGACTTCAATTTTTCAAATGCAGTTTTCTTTTCACTTAAGTCATTTAAGGGTTGATCAAGATCATTTCCATTGATTTTAGAGCTTATGTCATCTAAGCATTCATTTAATATTTTTATACATTTCTCTAATTCTTCAAGTTGTGATACTCTCAGTGTCAAATTATTGTTACAAACCTTTAAAACAATATTTTGTTTAAGTAGTAGAACTTATTTATTTAAAATATACAAAATAGATTTTACTAACTTGAATTTTATTAGAAAGTTTGTCAAATTCTTGTCTTAAATTTTCTGTGTCTTCTTCGATTTTAACAGTACCTTGAGGTTCAGTACTTAGAACAACTTTTTCTTTTAATTCCATTATATATCTTAATCGATTTTGACCTTGTTCGAGTGTTTGCCTAATCACTTTTAAGCTTTGAAGTTTACTCTTCACTTCATTTAAGCTGTTAGGTATTTCTTCACATTCATTTAACTACAAAATTAAAATTAATTTTTTCAATGATTTTCTAGTAAGATTTTCTTAGTGAAAATACCTTATCTCGAGTTCTTTCAAGCCAATCCAGACATTCCTGATATAGTGAATTATGTTGTTGGTGTTCTTGATAATGTAATTCTAAACGTCGCATTACTTCTTTAGCTAAAGAAAGTAATGTATTGTATTTGGTTGTCATCTGAGTGATTGAATTTGATAAACGTGTATCAGAACATGTTTCCAATAGAACCTAACAAATCACAGTATAAAATAAGAAAAATATTCATAAAAACTAATATTTTATATTAAATAAACAATAATGTTTTACAATTAATAAAAAAAATTATTTAGGTACCTACCTACCTAAATAGGGTACACAAATAACTTAATTAATTAAAAATAAATTATTTATATTTTTGAAATACCTGTGCTTTTCCATTTAAAATATCCAATTCCTTCTGCCAATCAAACAATGTTTGCAAATGAGTTTGAAATTCTTCCAATGCTTCCTTTTTTCCTTCTAAAGTTGGCTGAAGTTTATTGTATGATTGAACAAGTTGTTCAGTATTATTCAACCATTCAGTTGCGCCTTTAGAGTAGTCGTCAAAGTCATTCCATTTGTATATTCCGTCCTAGAGTTAAAAAAAAAAAATAGTTAATAATATATAAACTTTACAATCATCAATTAATATTTAATGATATTGGTTAGTTGAATTTGTTTTATTTACTTCTAATAATGCTTTTGTTTTTTGAAGAGTGTCGTTGTGTATATCAAATTCTTCTTGTAGCATTACCACTTCTTGTTCAATTATTTCTTTTTCTTCTTCATCAGCAAAGGAACAGGCTTTCTCTGCTCTTTCAAGAGCAACCTCCAATTTGTTTTGTCCAGTAGGTAATTCACTCTGTAGTACCTATAAAATAACAAACCATTTTTATAATAAAAACAATAATCATATTCATTATTATAATGCCAGTACCTTGAATTGCACAGACTTCGCACTCAACATTTCTTTATCTCCTGTTGGTTCAGATATTTTACTAACACGTTCTTTAGCTGACCGCAGCCATGCAGCAAAATCATTTCCGGCATCTATGAATTCTTGATGTAATCTAACTGTTTCTTTTTGTCTTTCATATAGATCTTTTGCTTTGATACTCAATGTATGATATTTATTAGTAATTTCATTTGCAGGTACAGCCTGTTGCAAATCTTCAGCCTTGAGTGTCACTTTTTGAATCATAGGTTCAAATGAAACTATGTCTTGAACAATACTATTTGTTCTACGTAATGTTGCTTTACGTTCTCCAATACTTAGGGATCCGATTCCAACTTGATTTTTTTTTGCTTTTGACACCTAATAGTAAATACATTTGGAATTATTAAGTATGTAGTATAATAATTCTTAGGAAGAAAATATAGGTAACTATTCTTCATTGTTAAATTAATAATATAATATTGAAAAGTAAGTCCAATTCAGAATGAAATATAAACTATTAATGAATATAATAGAACATTTAGTTATTTTTTTACAGCTAATAATAGAGTACTAATTAAAGAAAAAATTAAAAACCTAACTTAATTTTTATAGATTAAATCTAATAATATTAGAATTAGTAGGTAGATAAAAATAAACAATATAATTTGATATTATATTAAATACGAAGGATAAATAATTTATAAACAAGCAGCATCAATTATTTTGTTTAATTAAGATTTAATATAACAAATACCATAAATGTTGCTTGTTGTATCCTGTACAAATTGTAAAATTACTTAAATAAAAATAAAAATTAAGATTCTAATTTATCAGTTAGTACAGAAATTCTTAAAACTTCTACTTTTGCTTTTATAACATAAGTATAAAATATTTTATTATAAGCCTACATAGAGATTCAAGTCAGGTGCAGCAAACATTTTTACCAGCTCCTTTTTTATATAAATGGGCAACAGCTCATGGGACAATTGATTTATTTATAAGTTTGTAACTTCTTATCTTTTTGTTTAATAGATATTATGTTTTATAATAAAACTATTACTTATTGTCGTATAAAGAAGGTTAGGTTTATACATTTTATGATTTTCTTCTAAATAACACATAAGTACATAACAATTAAAAACCATTTCGTTAGAAAAGTAAAAAAAAAATATTTAGTGAAGAATAAGAAAAAATTAATTTTGTAATGATAGTTTTATGTTTCCTGATAAAAATGATTTTTTGAGATACAGCATATTGCTTCTTCACCGACGGTATGATACCTACATTATAATATTATTATTATCTTTGCTAACTTTATCTAATTTAATACTATAATAGCAGTATAGCTATATATGATATAATACACAGATATATCCAAGCCCTGATTTAGTAATTAATAAGTTCAATGGAATTTAACTATGGGCACTATAAGGGCTTAACTTAATTGGCTACCTTTATTACTATATAGTATATACACTTTTATTACCTACCTACTATATATTACAATGCCATAATATAATTTATGCACAATATACTATTAAATATTATTTTACATTAATTAATTTGTCTTCTGGGCCAGTTAGGAGCAGCAAATGCACCTTGCTGCTGCTGTGCGCACGCCTATGATTAAAAGCTAATTTAAGATAATGTGATTACCTTAAGTTCGCAAACTTCGTCAAGTTTGGCTTCACGATCTGAAATCCATTGTTCTAGATGCGAGTATGATGAATTATAATCAGCCCATTGTAGAAGGCTTGTTTCAATATGTACTTTTGATGTTGCTATTTTCTTCACAAGCCTATCCCAGTCTGCTTGGATTTCTTTTAATTGATTGTTTATTAAATCTTTCCCATCCGATCTAGTACTTCTCAGTACTTTTTCACCAGAATTTACAGTGGAATGAATAATTAATTGACCTTCTTCTTGTGATTTTAATAATTCCTATAATTTTTAAACGTTTAATATATTTTTCACTGTGCACAAAATATAATAGATTTTTACCAAAATATTATCAAGACGAGATTGTAAGACTTCTTTACTAGTATTAGCTGTTGTTGTTTCATTTCCACACCGAATTGCTTCTTTTGCATCATTTATCCATGTTTTAGCTTTTTGTAAATAGTTTTCATACTGCACATGATGTTCAAGGTTAGTCTCTACTTTCCTTTGAACATCTTTCGCCAAATTCACTTGAACCTAAAATATTTTATTTCAAATGTTTTAAATAGTAAAATGAAATCAATTTAAAAGTATTACTTCATAACGGGAATTAAGATGTCTTAACTGATTATTGACATAAGTTTCAAGATGAGATTTTAAAAGTGGGCCCGAACTTTCATTAAATCTCTCAATATTAGATTTTCCTTTTTCTAAATTATCTAACACGTCCTATAAAAGAAGTAATAAGATAACGTTATTTGCATAAAATAATTTTAAAATATTTATACAAAAATTATGAATATATCATGTCAATATACCTGTATTTGTTTTACTTGATCAGTTTTTTCTAATACAGTCGCTAATGGTGTATTTTTAATAGCCTTCATAGATATATCAATTTGTTGCAACCAATCTGATAGTTTTTCATATTCATCTTTATATTCTCTCCAATGTGTATGAATAGCATGGAGATTATCTTTTTGAGTTAATATATCTAGGTGAAAAGAATAAAATTGAAAACAAATATTATTAAATACGTATCTTTTTTGACATACCATCAAATAATTTATTCAATTCATCAGCTATGGATGAAATTTCTTGTTTTATAATTTTTTCTCCATTTTCAGAGGTACTTGTCATTATAATGCCTCCAATTGTGTTTAAGTTGTCTAAAAGCAATTCGCCTTGAGCTCTTTTATTTAATAGGGTTTCCAATGGTGTTATTGCATTTTCAATTGCTAATTTATCACTAAGTGGTCGTTCTTTCAGTGATGGTATTTTATCTCGAGATCTATTCAAAAAATTAGATAGCTCTTCGTATGCTGCCTTATAGGTTTTATGATCTTTATATTGTTGCTCACGTTGATTAAGTAATTTCTGAAATTTAAATTATAAACATTGTTTTGTTACATAGAAAATTATTTAAGTTATCAAATGTTTTACCTTGACTTTATCTGAAATTCGATCAAACTTATTAAATACTTCCTGTGTTTCTGCCACAGCATTGCTTTGATGCCCTGTCTTTAACATCTCTTGTGCTTTTGATTTCAAAGAATCCATTTCTAACTTTTCACAACGGATTTTTTCGTCTAAATGCTAAAATAAATCATAAAATTTATATATTTTTTTTTTTTTAACTGAAAAACTCGCTTATATTATAGAGTAGGTCAGTATAATATAATTGATATATAATAAATATTAAATTATTTGAATTGAATGTTAAATCATTATATTTAATAAAAAAAACTAGTCTGAGTGGAATCAGTTGTCGGTCTAATAGTCTAGAAAGTATAAATTCATATAGAAATCCAAATTCTTATGCTAAGAATAATCATAGGTTTCATTAATTTTTATCAAAACCATTCTCATAGTTACATTAAATAGAAATTATTATTATATTATTTCATAAAATATTACTAGCTGTTAATAACATAAGTGAATACCGACGTGTCATAGACCAATGAAAATAGGTACATAGTATAAGCAGCTTAAAATTAATCTAAATGTTTGTAAAATTTCATTGGGCTTAGTAAATAATAATATAATAATAATAATAATAATATACACTGAAGTATTGAGTATATAAATTGTACAATATATACTCAATGGTAGTAGTGAAAGTTTCAAGTTTCCACGAATAATGTTTTTCAATTACAACAAAATATCTAGTCATCCTTTTTATGTAGTTATACAATTTCATCAACATTTTAAATATGTGAATTTGTTCTATATTGTCTATAATATTTATTATTAAGACTTTTAGGATTCTGTAAGAACAACTAATGAAGAACCTGACATTTCAAGCTATAACTATTAAAATTAAAAATCGTATTAATTTAAATCTACAAAATAATTTACAAATTTTAGTGATGTTGATGAATTTTGTCAAAATATGAACTTCAAACGCCTATGAACAATATCATGGCATTTTCAGATTTATGACCGAGCCTAACATTTTTTATCAACACCAAAAAAAAACTAAAAACATTTGAAAATCAAATGTCTATTAACAGCTGAAAATTAGCCTGAATATTTTGAAAAAAATGATTATTTATGTTATAGGTAGTGGAATGTTTCAAGTGTTTAAGATTAATATTTTTTGAGTTTAAGAATTTGCTATTTTAAGTGTCATCAACATTTAAAATTAATTTACTTATAAAACTTTATTTAGTATGTGGCTTTAAGTCAAACTCTTTTTAAATTCCAAAAATTAAAACTTCTAAGGAATATTGTATTAGATTTTCAAACTTTAGGTTATTATTAAATAAATTGTTCCTACAAATTAAATTGAAACTAAAACGTACATCATTGTAAAATATATACATTCAATGCTTTAATTAAAATCTAAAAATGTAAAATCAAAAAGAAATTTTAAAATAAAAGTTTATACACTAGTATTAAATAATTATATACATCACATATAGTATATAAAACTCGCATATTTGATTGTGTTTATAAAATAGATAGGTATACAAATATTTAAAACTTAATTTATGTAAGAAAAATAATGTATTCACTTTTAATTTTTCTAATTGATCTCTTTTTTCAGACATGGTCCCTTGAAATTCTTCCAACTCTGGTAATGCATCCTCAAATTTGTCTATTATCTTTCCTACTTGTTTGACATGTTCTAAAAATCCTGACCACCGCTGGATTGATTCATCAATATTTGTCTACATCGTTCAATTAAACAAGTATTATTTAATAAAGTTCATGATTACTAATTAGTGTTTTGGAATATATTTTGTATCTACCTTAGTTTCAACCATCTTTGTTGCTAAACTACTCCAATGTTCTTGCAAAGATATAAGCGATTCATTTATTGATTTGTGACCAGCAGGTGCGGTATTAGCCAAGACTATTTGTGCTATTTCAATGCAATTTTGAACTTTATTAAAACCATCATCTTTATATAACAAGATGTCCTAAGAAAAATATTTAAATTATTATTTTCCATACATTTTAATTTGTATGTCATTACTTAAGAGGACGCTACCCATACATTTGTTGTATCCGACTTACATACGTACGACATACCAAATTGTCGTTCACTAGTTTCAATAGTGTGCTGGTGGTTTTGTTACTTGAGTGAATTGACCTATTATAAAACTTTTAGGTAAGAACATTATCTGTGCTTAAGAGTTGGCAATTTTTCAAAATTTTCATTTTCAAGCAAGATATGGGTATGTACAATATCAAAAATATCTCGCTTGAAAATTAAAATATTGAATAAAAGCCAACGCTTAAGCACAGATAATGTTATTATCTAAAAAAATTATAATATGTGAAATCACTCTATTATCAAAACTAATATTACACTATTGAAACTAGTGAACGAAATTTTGGTATGTCATACGTGTGTAAGACGGAGACAACAAATACATGGGTAGCATCCACTTAATGTCCACATTAGCTACATTGCAAAAACTATATAATATGGTTTTATTTAATATTATTTTCATGAGGTTCATTGAATATGACATTCATGAAATGTATATCCTTATATTTTACTAAAGTTGTGGTTTTTTTTTTTACAATGTGGACATTTTATTTATTCGTCATACAAATAAATAAAATGTCCACATTGAAAAACCACAACTTTAGTAAAATATAAGGTCATAAGGATATACATTTCATGAATGTCATATTCAATGAACCTCATGAAAATAATATTAAATAAAACCATATTATATAGGTTTTGCAATGTAGCTGTTTAAGTATCAAACATATTATAAAATATGGTAGTATACCAGATACCTACATGTATGTATATGTGTGTTACAAATCAATGATTCAACCACACTATACATTTTAATTAATGCTTAAAATCAAATAAGAATAAATATTATAAATTTGTAATTTTACTTGAATTAAAATTAGTTTTTCTTCTAAATCAGCTTTACTGGTAGATTTGAAGTCTGTACAACTTGTTAATTTATCGTCCACAGTATCTAACCAAATAATGGCTTCACTTAAACTGCTTTCAAATTCCAAGTGATTGTTAACAAACTGTTGCCACTTTCCAACCAATTCCTTTATTTAAAATTAAAATAATTAAATATATAAATAATTATGTGTATAAAAATGCAAAAAAAGTAATGATAGTAAAATAATTATAATTTTGAATTCAAATTCATATTATGCTGTTTCTTATTGGCTATTGTCAGTTATATCTAAACTTGTTACAATAATAATATGCATTTGTGAAACCTTAAAATAAAATGATTACAATTTATTTGTTTATAATCAATGAATAAATTTACTTTTATTTTCATCGAAAGCTGATGAAATTTCTGAACAATTTCTGTGATTTGAGAATTTTTGGTAGACATTGACATTGTGTAAAGGTTTTGTGATTTTTCTGTGATTGAATCAATTTCAAACTCTTTAGCTCGAATCACTCCTTGTAACTCCTATAATTATAAGTTTAAAATTTATAAATATTTTTAGCAGAATATTCAAAATTAAAGTGAATATTTACTATGAAAATTATTACCTTAAGTTCTTCCAGCTGAGTTTTCTTTTCTTGTAATGAATTTTTCAAATCAATAGCATGGATTTTATAATCAGTTTCTCGTAACCATGTTAAACATGATTCCTTGAGTACATCAAATTCATTCCAACTATTAAGTTTACTTTCTAAAGCTTCTATTGATGTTCTACAGAATAAGATTAATTTTTTCGATATATTACAATGCATATTTGTTTATTATTGGAAGTAGGTACTAAATGTAATTTAATTAAAATATTTTAATAATCGTACAAAAAATAGCTAAAACATTCCAGATTTTTCAAATAAGGGTTTGTTGAAGTTTTTTAAAGAATACTTTTTTTATACTCAGAATACTTGGATTTTCCTAAAGGTGCTCCTAATTGTCACGGGGAATTTTTTTTTTTTCAATTTTTGTATCATACATAATATTTTAGTACAACACACAAATACACGGGAAGCTTAGCTTGGCCTTTTTTTATTTAAATAAAAATGATCATACATAATATATTAATATATTGACATATTGTTTAAATTCTTAAATAATTCAAATATAATTACACACACACATATTCGTTTCAATCATAAGTCGATAACTAATAAATTATAAATGCGTATATTTTAATATGATTATACTATATTGATAGTGATAAATATGAAATAGGTGAATAATTAAACATTTGATTAAAACCTTCCCATTTAAATTGAAATGCATGGTAAATGAGAAACAATAAGATAACTATCTATTATACATAATAAAAAATTGTGATAATTATCTTTGAAATATTAACAACTACTAAACTATATAGGTACCTATAAGGAAACGTTATCATGATATATTGAATTTAAATAAAACACATTAGCATTCTAAAACAAATTATTTAAAATACCCATTTGGAATAAATAGGTAACCTAAGTTATTAAAATGTTTTTTATATACATGCATAATGCATATTATACTATATGTATACTACTCACTTTACTGTCGTCATGAGTCCTTCCCAATCTTGTTGTGATGAATCAATTTGCGCCCTAATATTTACTTGGCCATTTTCAACAGTACCAGGAATAACTTTTTCTGCTAGTTTTTGTATGTTATAAATCCTGTTTTCTTCTTCAGTAAGGCTTAATAACAAATTCTAAAGAATATGATTACATAATCAATCATTAAGTAGGTGAAACACATTTAATACGTAAAAAAAAAATGCTTATATTTACCTTTATTCTGTCCAGGTTGCTCAACAAAGAAATCTTTTCCAAATTTGTATCACCCCAGAGCATCAACGTATTATGTGTTGCATCAAGCCATTCTTGCATTTCCATTACAGATTTAGTATACTGTTCATGGTCTTTTACAATAGCTTCATATTTGTCTACAAAATCTTGAATTTGTTTTAAAATTTCATCATGTTGTTTGCTCATGGACGATAAAAGAATATCATTATTTTCTTGCATTTGCATTTTGCCAGTAAGGTCCTGTAACTTTACAATATCTTGCTTCCTTTTTAATGTGGCTTGGAGCATATCCCTGTAAATTTGTAACTGCATTTTCTTTTCATCCAATGTAGATTTGAGTACTAAATCCTTATTCAATATCTGCTTTGTATTATTGAACCATTGGTTCAGTTCATTATACAGTTCTTCAAATCCACTCCATCTAGTAAGTTGATCTTTAACTTCTCTGTTGATGTTCAAAATATCATCGTACAAAGTGTCAAATACAGTTTGAAGTTCATCCAACTGACATTTTATGTTTTCCCTTCCCGACGTGGACGTACTCAAATATAATTTTTCTCCTAATTCCATACAGCTATTCAACAAACATGTTACATTTGGTTTTGTGTCTAATAATTCATTTAATTTTCCATTTTTCTGTATTAAATATTGGTGAGCTTGTGATGATAATGGAGGTTTGTTTAAGTTTTTAAATTGACTTTGAACGTTTGAAAGTTGAATTGAACATTCGTTGTATTTATCCACATATTCTTGGTGGATTTTAATAGATTCATTACATTTATTTAAAATGTCCTTTGATTATAGTTAATATAAAATATAATACAAATTAGTTTCAGTTATTAAATTATTAATTTTAAGCTTTACCTTTATTGTAGTTTGCATTGATTGATAACGAGATGATATTTGTTTTACTTTGGTTGACAGTCGTACTTCTCCAGTAGATTCATAATCATTTGATTGATCAATAATTTTGTCTACGTCTAAAACTTTCTTTTTCAGATCGTCTATAATTGACTAAAATGTTTATGAATAATTATTAATTTGAATTAAGTAATATGTTTTTAATAATTTTTTTATAATTTTAATAACCATATAATGGAAATTAACAAAATTAGATTTTATTATGTATTTACTTAATATAATATTAATTGTTAAACATTATGTTTTTATATTTCTATGTATCTTTTTTACTTTATAATAATGTTAGTTAATAACATGGTTCATGCAATATTTGTTTTTTTTTTATAAATATGTCTTACTTGTTGAAGGTGATCGCCAAATGCAATTAAATCTTTCACCGAATTAGATTTTCCTTTAATTTCTTTTTCTAAATCCTAGATGAAGGTAAAAAGATATATTATTACCATCCGAATTTTAATTTTTTTTTAGCCAAATTTATTTTAAGTTATGATTTTTTTGCAGCTACTAAATAAAAGTTCTTAATAATTATATAGACATTTTATTATCCAAATGTTATTCACCTAATATGATAAAATTGAATAGAGCAATCAATTATTATAATAAAAATCCATAATGTACCACCATAGTAGCTAAATAAAAATAATTATATTTTTAGCTTATAACATACACATTAAATATTGTACTGTTTTTATGTTTTACTAATCAATATAAAAAGCAGTTTACTAATTAAATAAAAATATTATGAAAATAAAAATGTATTTTTTATTATTAATTTAACTCTGTCCTTTTTTATTTTTTATTAAATTTAATATAAAGCATCAAAATGTATATAGTTATAGTAACTTATAACTCATAATTTATAACATTATGATTTATGATACATTAAATAATGATAATATTATTTGATTGTTTAAATATAGAACCTTATACTTTTATAGAAGATATTTAATTAAAAATTAATTACCAGAAATTTATTATACTGCTGAGTTTTTTCTTCAAGTGTACCCTTTTCTGAATAGTTTTGCAATTTCTTTTCAGTATCATTGTGCCAAGAAATTAACTGATGCATCAAGTTTTCAAACTCTACCCATTGATTTATTCTACTTTGTAAACCTTCTAATAAATCATTTAACAATGACTGAAACTTTTCTTGTTCAAATCTATAACACAATCGTCATAGTTAATAGTAAGGTAATTTTTTAATGAATATTTCAAATATTTTACTGTAAATTTGTATGATCTCTCAACATTGTATCAATTGCTTTTTGTGGAATTGTATCCTTAGAGTTTTCAACAAAACGTTCCATTGTCAATAAAGTTGTTTTGTTGTTATTGAAAGTAGTTTGTATAACATTAACTTTATTTAATCGGGACTCTAAAATTTGTTTGTTTCCCGAATAATCTAAAATTATATATAGTAGTATAAAAACAATGAAAAAATAATGGCAAATTTGAATAAAATACCTGTATATATTGAGAGTTGGTCCCAAAGCTGTTTTTGAGTATCTTGGTATGATTTGTGTAAATCCTGATACTGTTGATAAGTCTCTAAGTAGTTTTCAAGTTGTGAAATAGAATTATTCATTTTTTCACGCAACAAATCATATCTGTCCTTCAATGATATATCAGAATCAGATTCGTCTTTGGGCTTCTTTATTGTTTTCCCTTTCTCCATTATCGTTTCTATCATACGACTATGTGAATTTATTTCTTGCATTGTTGCCTAAAACGTAATTAAATGTAAGTAAAAACAGTTTTTAAGTTTTAAAATTGAATCGGAAATATATTTTATAGTGTTCGTTTGCTGTTTTCCATCAATACCTTTTGCTTTAAAAGTTTTGATCTTATTTCTTGTGGAGAAGACCAAATGGGTGACTGGTTAGAAGCAATTATTTTTTCTATACCTTCCAACCAATTAATAGTTTGTAAAAGTGTTTCTTGATAACTATTCCATTGTTGTGATTGGACTCCAAGGGTTTTTTGAGCTGTCTTTACTTTTTCATCTAATGTATCCCATCTATATTACACACATTATAAGTCTTAGTGTCTATTTTACATATATTTTTATACCTTTATAATGATTTATTTATTTATACCTTTCGCGAATATCTTTGAGTTGCTGACGAATAGTTTCTCGCCCAGCAGCAGATGTATCAGGGTATAAACTTTCACCAATAGACGTTAATAAAGATATTTTCGCCGATGTTTGATCAGAACTACCATAAATACTTAGTAATTGTGATAGTTTTTTGTTTAAATCTAAATCGTTGTCATCCAGGATTTGAGCTGGTTTACTTTCCAAAGTTTCTAACCATGACTTGAATTCAGCCAATTTGTTGTTGAAATTTTTGTGATCATCAGCAATATTTTGCCATTTAGCCACAATTTCTTTACTTAAAACTAAAATTAATTGGTACCTGTAACAAATATATGTAAAAAATTACATAAATATTTTTTTAAAAATATTGAGTACCTAATATAAAATAGTTAGGCATGTTAGCAAATAAAAGGGATTTTTCTTTACGTATATATCGTTCTTACCGGTTTCCAACTTGGAGTATAAGTGGTTTTAGACGTTCTACTCCACTTGTATGCAACAAGTTATTTGAACTATCAATGAACTTTTCTATTTTGGGCTCATAATTTAATACTTCGTTTCGTTTATCCACAAAAAGTTTTAATTTATTTTCTTTAGTTTCAAATGTTGATTGCAATTGTTGATCTTTAATAAGTGATTCTGTTAATCTAAACCAGTTGGTAATCTCATCAAATTCACTTTCAAAATCAGTCCATTGAATCAGTATTTCTTCCATTTTTTCAATAATGTTATCTAAAATAAAATTTGTTTTTATTGCTTATAAATTTAATTTTTGGGTATATTTTAACTTCTGAAAAAAATTACCTAGCTGTATTATTAACTGTGATTTATCACTATCTATTTTTGATATTTCTTTTGACATAACATTAATGCCTTTCTTTGTGGTTGTTTTGCTAACCAATTGAAATACATCTCCAAGATGATTTCGTAATTCATTTTCAGTTGTATTTGCGGTTTTCATTTCCTATAGTTAGTAATATTAAAATTATTAATGGAAATGATTAGGTCATTAAAGAGCTATATAATATTTACTTTAAATATATTAATTTTTTTAACAATATTGTCTTTTTCTGCAGCAATACTATCATTTTCTCGAATTTTATCACGTTGTTCTTTTAAAATCAATTTAAGTTTCTGACAAACTTGATTGAATTCAGAATGATTTTGAACAGAAAGCTCTAACGAATCCATCAACTCCTAAATTTAAATAAAAAGATTAAATTTGAATTAAATTGTAAAATTTAAATTAATTTTTTTTTATTAACCTTAGACTTTGTAACAATCTTTTCATAAAGATTTTTAATTGATTCTAAATACGTGTTTAAAGTGTTATCTTTTGTTTGATTCACGAGTTCTTGAGCCTTTTCACACACTGATTGTACAAGATTTTGATGAGACAGTATTTCTTGGTTGATAACAACATGGTTCTAATTTAAACAAATAATTAAATGGTTAATATTTGATACGTAATATCTTAGTTTGATTTCAAGCATAAAAAATATACCTGAAGTTGAGCTTTTTTCTCTTGTAAAGTAGCTTTTGTTTCAGTGTGTTGTTGCATTGCTTGCTCAATATTTTTCAGCCATTTGGTCAGTTGTTCTTGTGACAATGAAAATTCAGCAAATTGCAATAAACAATTATCAAGTTTGCTTAGACTGGATTGCAAAGTCTCGGACACTGATTCCCAAGCATTTCTCAAATCCCTAAAATCAAAATTCATTAGTATTTTTGATCAATAACTATATAAAATAAATTGGTACTTCATATTTTGGCGAATTATTTCTCTTCCGTCTGGAGAGGTTTGGGCATATAATTTTTCCGCCATATTAACAAGGGACTCATACTGGACACTTTGTTGGCATTTTGAATCTGACAATGCTAACAGTTTTTTTTGCCTTGCCTTAATAATAATAATAAAATAAATATATGAAAAATTTAAAAATTATATTTTGTTATGATTTACTTGTAGAAGTCCTAAATCACCAACAACTTCGCTGTAATTGTTTAGTTCTTCTGTTAAACATTTTACTAATCCAGTAAACTCTTCATAACTTGAATCAAAATGTTGGTGTTCTCTTACAAAATTTTCATACCTTAATATTGATTCCTAAAATAAATTGTTATTTAATTATTTAATTCTCATTGCTTATTAATACGTTAGTACCTTTGTTCTGGTTTTAACACTCTGATAAGTTTTTATTAAACTAGTAATTGCACTGTTTACATTGGGTGAAACCTCAATAGTTTCAGATTGTATTTCTAAAATCTCCTTGTGTTTTTTTGTGATATCTTCGTCAAATTGTTTCAATTTTTCTAAATATTGTTGTTTACTTGCCAAAGAATTTTTTAGACTTCTATCTTTAATTTGTGTTTCAATTGATTTTAAATATTTATCAAGATTTTCAATTTTTGTTAAAATTTTATCATTTTGATTTTGTTTTTGGCTTAACATTTTTGAAGTATTTTCACAATTTAACATTAAACTTTCCCAATTAATTTTAATTTCATCGAGTTCATTCTGTATTGCAGTCTTACCATCTACATCGGTTTCTTTTAATACAGTACTTCCAATTTCTCTACATTTTTCTAGTAATGACTCTCCTTCAGATTTATGACCAATTATATTCATAAACACATCAGACTCAGTTTCTGAAACATTGTTCACTGCAACTGAATACTCGTCTTGTAATACCTTGAGATAATTCTTAAATATTTCTACATTTTCTAAATACAATTCATGATTTTTCAAATGTGTCTCATTTAATTTTAAACATTTATTCACACCTAATACAATACTGTCATATTTTTTGAAGAAATCTTTAAGTTTTAAAGCAGTGTCTGGTTCATTTAGTTGATTTACCTTTTCTTTCAATTGATTAATGTTATCTTTATAAGCAACCAAATCTTGTTTCAATGTTTTTAAATTATTGCAATTAGTTTTTTTGTCTATAATATTGTTTCTCTTTATTCTTTTACAATCATTGAATTTTTCTTCTGTTTCATGAAGCCAATTTTGAATTTGATTACAACTTTCATCAAAAGATGATTTTTGTACTAAAATATTTTCAATTGTTTTTGTTATATTTCCACATTCGTCATTTAAATTTTCACACGCTAATCTTAATTGCTTAACTTTGGATCTTATTTCTTCCCGATTTTCCATAGTAATATCAGGGTACATACATTCACCTTTTGATACTGTGTCATTGACTAATTGTTGACTTTCTTCAAGTTGTTTGTTAAGATTTTTCATAATTCCCAAATCCGATTGCGCATTTTGAATAGATTTTTTTCCCGCAGGTTGAGTGGTTTCAATAGATTTCAATTTATTATTTAATTCATTTATTAATTTATTAGCTTTTTCAAAAGAAACATTAAATTCTATTTTCATTTCTTTTAGATGTTCTGTTCTTTCCAAGCATTTACCAATGCTATTTTGATAAGATTCTAACTTCCGTTTAATTTTTATAGCTTGATTATCTAATGTTGATTTACTATCAATGCATTTGATATTTTTGACACAAGATTCAAGTTCATTCAAAAATTGTTTAGCTGTATCGACTTTGACCTGGAATTTATTTACATTTTCTTCCATTATATTTATTGAATTCATATCAATAGGAATTTCTACGGACGTTTTTATATCATTTTCTAAAATATTTACTAATGGAAGGATATTATCAAGATATTTTTGATACTCAATCCAGAAATTAATTATTTTTTCTAGAGCATCCTTTCGTTCATTTATTTGTTTTTCAGTGTTCTCGAGGTTAACACTTAAGAGCTCATCGTTGTTGCTCAATTCTTCCAAGTTTACATCCGACGATGAATACTGATTGAGGTATTCTAAGACATGGTCTATTTTAGATTTTTGTTCCTTAATCACTGATAAGTTTCCTTTGATACCCTCAACAGAAACAAGTTTAACTTCTATTTGTTCTTTCTCAATTTCTTCTTCAGGCTTACACCAT